CCAAAAGTGCCCTCAGTGTGCTCCTTTCCCATAATCTCACAACCCTCTTCTCCCCCACCCACGCCTCCAAAACTGGCAATCCTTCGCTCTGGATCCTCCATCTACATACTTCGGCAGATTGTACGTCTTGCTTGACGAACATCTTCACGCCGCAGTGTACGAATTTGATGCCAGAGCTTGCGTTGGCGGTCAGGATGGCGCGGGCAAGAGCGGAGGTGTAGTAGATTGTTTTGGAGGGGTGGCCGAGGGCGTTGCGGACCATAAATCTGTCTCGTGGGAATACGGGTGAGAGGTCGTAGAATTCGTAAATTGATCGCAGGTCCGGCTGGTCAGGGTCGAGGTATTTGAAGGGTTCTTCGTAGGGTTGCTTGTTCTTGTAGAATTGCTTCTGGTTCTCACCGAGCGGTGGAGCCGGAGAAGGGAGTGATGTTTGTGTTTCAGGACGACTCGCGTCGAGCTGAGCGGCTGGTGGTGGGGGCCAGTGTACTTGACGATCTTCATCGCCTTGGGGTGCTGGATCTTCGACTTCAATTCCGTCTCTGGTTTTGAGACGTTTGGTCGACATTGCAGCGTCAGTCTCAGCGTCGTGTTCTCGTTTGACGGCCGTGGTGGTGCTGCCGGGAGCGTTCTCTTGGTTTTGGCGGGCTGCTGCTGATACGCCTTCTGCGTAGTCGTTGGTTTGTGGTTGCACGATCTTATCGGCAGCTTCGATTTTTTGAAGTGGGTCGCTGCCGTTTGTGGTTTTGGCCTCGATCTCTTTGACAACGTCCATAATGGAAGTGGGCTCTGGCTCGGGTTTCTTGGATTCGGCTTCTGGTCTTGTTTTGATCTCGATTTTCTTCTCCAGGACAGTGATGAAAAATGCGCCCGTGTCTTGCAGGTGTCCGTAGACGCGCATACACCGGTCAAGCGAGACAGCCTCTGCTCTTTTGGTTGAGGGGAACATGAACTCGGATAGTCTTCCAAGACCTTCCTCGCCATTTTTGGCTTTCTCAGCTTCTACTGCTTGCCAGGATGGCCAGATCCTGCCTTGCTTGTCCATCACTTTCCAGTCGTTGAAGCCTTGCCGTCTCTTCAATTCAGGCAGAGCGCTACTGCAGTCAATGATGTCAACCTTAGACATGCCACCACATCGATCGATAGCTGTTGCTACGACTGCCTCGTTCTCCACGGGATTCATGCTGCAAGTTGAATAGACCACTCTCCCTCCGACTTTCAGCATTTGCAGTGCGCGGACCAGAATACGGACCTGCGTGGAGAACAGCCCAAGCGCATTGCCAGGATTCCAATCTTTCCAAACATTGACATTCTTTCGACAAGTTCCATCGCCAGAGCATGGCACATCGGCTAGTATGCGATCAAACTTGAGATATCTGTTTTTTGTTTCGCCGCCCTCTCGTATGGGATCGGTTGGAAGCTTTATGGACGGGTACATTGTTGCATCGTGATTCGTTACGATCAGGTTCGGGGAATTGAGTCTTTTCATCTGGTGTACGAGCATGTGCGCGCGCTTATAGTCGGCATCGTTGGCGATTAGCAACCCAGTGGTTCTCCCATCGTCCGACCAGTCGCCAGTTTGTTCTTCCTCTTCCATTTGTTCTTCCGTTAATCGACCGTCAGGGCTCGTTTCTCGCCCTTGGTCCATCTTCATCTTGCGGACTACTTTTCGCGTTCGAGCCTCCTCTCCACCATGGACCATTTCGATTAATTGAGCCGCTTTGCTACCAGGCGCCGCACACAAGTCCAAGACGGTCATGCCTGGTTTGACGTCCATGAGAAGCGGCGGGATCATGCTAACCACCTCCTGCCGACTTATATTTCCGACACTCGTCTCTGAGACCAAGAACTTTTGGAACGAAGCAAACGGTGGGAATTTGCGCACGACGCTCTTGGGTGTGGTCATCTGCCATGCCAATTGATCTGGGAACCATGATATAGCATTTGGCGGATTGACGAGCTCACCATTATGCTCTATAGAGGTGATCTCCGGTATGTAGCGGTCCTTCAGTAGCTGCTGCACCGGTAGAGCTTGCCTGCAGAATTCAAGCAATCAGCATGAGCCTATGAAATTGGTAGGGGCTTGAGTACCCTTTTGAACCAGTGAAACGAAAGCTATTTGGGAGTTCTCTTCGCAACGCAGTCCAGAAATCTTCCCTTTCGGCCTCTTCGACCAAGCCTAGTTCATTGTAGTATTGCTCATATTGTGCATTTGCTTTGGGCACTTCCGAGTAGTCTGTGCGAATTGATCGCTGACCACCCCCACGACCACCGCCTCTGCTCCCGCCTCGACCCTGCGACGAGAAGTGTTAGCTCCTTGCTTTGGAGGACCACGCGTCGGACATACTGACTCTTTTGCCCCCACGGTTACCCATTTTTGAGTAGTTTCACAAAAGGAAAAGCGGTGGTCGGCTCTCCAAGTAGTGAGCTCCAATGAATTTTGGGCTGGCGGTGAGGTCATGTAACTTTCTCCGACTTGGTACGGTTGGCTACAAGCTGCCTCATGCAATCCCTTTTCCGTTTCACTCGCAGATCATCCATTGACTTTAGCATCAACTTCAATTTCAAGTCACCTTCGTCTAATTCGCACGCAGGTATGCATGTTGGCTCAGAGACGCTCTTATCGCCTTCCTCTGGCTACAACGCGCCAGTGGCTTCCCACTACCTTAACCTCTTGCAAGAAGTTCAGAAACACAAAGAGGAACTAAACTTTATAGATAGACAGTGGTGGATGAACTGGAACTCCCAGAAAGTTCGCGCAGCTTGGAGCTCGATGCTAAGTTTTATTTGTTTGTCTACTTCCCGTTCGTACCTTCATCTTCAGGAGGTCTCAACACTACTCGAGAGACACGTCTCAACTCCATGTAAGGCCGAAAAACGCTCACTATCAGGCCCCTAGAGTACCTAGGGATCGACATTCAGGCATTCGCATTGACACTGGATTCCATTGACCCTGGAAAGTACCCTCGGTTTCATTCTTTTTTATCATCAGTGTATACTCCTAAAAAGGAGAACGCTGAGCCAGAGTCCTTCCTTTTACTCGATTTTCTATCGATTCTCTTCTATGCACCCTTTTTTCCATCCACCCTTGATTCATCAGGCATTCCGATCCGACTTCTGCATCGAAGGAAATGCCTTACACGTCCTCTATCTTCCAAGCATTCGCCTGAATTTTAGGCCTCGGCTACTCTCGCCCTGAACTAAGAGACCCCGCCTCGCCCCGCAAGAGGATCCATCGACAAGAACACTCATGCTATCTTCACTCTCTTTCCTTCTTTACATCCGCCCAGGGACCACATCAAAATGGCACCACCATCAGCGACGACCACACAAAGCGAAACCAATGGCTCCTATCCCTCCACCAAAGCGCCCCTTGAGCCCGGCTTAAGCGAATCCCGAGCCAGAGGGCAAATGGCACACTTCCCCGGCCCTCCCACCTTCACTGATAAATACGAAGAGCGCGAATACCTCAAAGGCCGACTCGCGGCCGCCTTCCGTATATTCGGGAAGTATGGCTTCGACGAAGGGGTGGCGGGACACATCACACTTCGAGATCCAGTGGACCCTACTACGTTTTGGGTGAACCCGTGGGGGGTGGCATTCTCGTTAATAAAGAGGAGTGAATTGATACAAGTGGACCACAGTGGAAAGATTATTGGTGGAGGGAGTGTCAAGTTGTTGAATACAGCTGCGTTTATGATACATGGCGCAGTGCATAAGGCGAGGCCGGATGTGATGTGTGCTGCGCACAGCCATAGTATCTATGGACGCTCCTTCTGCACCTTAGGCCAGAAGCTCGACACCATAACGCAAGATTCCTGCGCATTTCATGACGTGCGACTGAATTTGTCTTCCTGTTTGGATAAAGGTGCTGACAACCTCAACAGGACCACGTCCTCTACTCAACATTCAACGGCATCGTCCTTGCCGAAAAGGAAGGCGAAGAGATTGCACACGCCCTGGGAGACAAAAAGGCCGCTCTTCTCCAAAACCACGGCCTCCTGACGGTCGGCGGAACCATTGAAGCTGCGGTGTTCTGGTTCATGAGCCTCGAGAAATGCTGTCACGCGCAGCTGATGGCAGACGCCGCTGCTGGAGGCCGAGGTCACGAAACCGTAAAGATCAATGATGAGGATGCAGCATTCACATATAAGACTATTGGAACGCCAAGAGGCGGCTGGTTTAGTGCCAAGCCGCTGTTCGATGTCATTGAGAAGGAGTGTGGTGCAGATTATTTGCAATAGGTGTCAAATTTCACGGTCTCAAAATTGAAGGTATTCATATTTCGACGAAAATTGTCCGCATCGATTTTCGGCTGTATAAAAATATCCTCGCCTATGAGTAATCTTATGTGTATTCGGTTAATCAGTTAGATGGTTGGATTGGCAGTCTATGGAAACTCATTTCTACCGCTGTCGGTGCCGTTCTTTGACGTGATCGATATTTTGTGCAAAATCATTGGACTGCTATGCTGCCGTCCAGCTTTGGTTGCACACCTCCGTAGAGTGGAGGTTTTTTAATTGGGTCATCTTAGCTTGACGCGCCTGTACCAGTTTTTTGCTGCTTCTCAGCTTGCTTGGCCTTTCTATGTGTGTCGTTGGTGTTAGAGGCGTTGATGCTGTTGGGAAGAAGAAGAGGTGGAAGTGGAAGCCTGGGGAGCCTGCGGATGATACAAGAGGGTTACTGCGCTAGGCCTTTGTGACTGGGTTGAAAATGCAGCGCCTTCTCAGAGGGACGTCCTTGTTTTGATCCGGGAAAGATCAGTAGCTGTCCGGTCAGAAAGTCGCGAAGTTTCGAATAGTCACATTGGAATTTCACAATCGCATTCTTTGATTATATTTCTGGAGCCACCACGTAGCGCTGCTTGCATCCTTGCCGCTGCATTCTAGTGAAAAAGGAGCAAGCACCCGGAATTGCGTCCGCTCCTTCAAACCTCCATCACCCTCGAAATTAAATTACGAGCCCGATCCCCAGATTCCTCATGAGACTGCTCTTGAGATCCCTCACGAACCCGGCCCCAACTCCCCCTCCACAATCCTCCCAAGATCCCAGGCATACCTAACCAGTCCGTCATCCCCACCACCGTCCCCCTTGTCCCACCGATAAACCGAAGCAACCTCTTCTCTCATTTCCAGATCCAGATCGAAATGTCCCCTGTCTGGATCGTAAAGGTCTATCTTCGAAAGAACGAGGTGTGTCAGATTCGGAAGGTAATTTCTAATTTTCGCCAGTTCTTTGACCGGCATTTGACCCGGAGTTGCATCGAAGACCACCCTGTGTAGTTGAATACTTCGGAGGGTTCGCTGGTGCATCACGGCGAGATAGAGCAGTCCTTCTTCGCGGAGGGGGCAGTTGATTAGGGACAGGGATTCGAGTCGTGGGAAGGTGCAGTCATTGATCACACCAGCCTCACTGATTCCCTTGTGTTTTCGATACTCGAGCTCACAGGTGGCAGCCTCCAGACGATCCACGCTAAGCTCGGGGCCGGTGAGCAGGTTATCGAAGTACAAATGGGGTCCGCCCATTTCGAACCACTCGTCCTCGTTGGGGTACAATCCCTCGCACGAGAGACTGAGCCGCAGCGTCTTGAGACGCTTGAGGGCCGTGAACTGTTTCCGCCAATCTTGCACGGCGAAGCACGTTTGTACTGGGTCCTCGAGAGTGCCAATTTCTTGACTGATCCTGAGCTCGATGTCGAGATGCACGACTTGGTCTGGGATGCGCCAATGGTAGAGCCAGTTTTCGAAGGGTACCTCGCGGAGCTTCAAGCTGGTGATGCTGATCGTTAGGGAGGTCATGAGGTATGAGACCCCTCGTCCTAAAGTATCACTTTGATCATTCGTTACAGTAGGGAAGTTTCCGGACAGGTCGATGCCCATCTCGTCCCAAATCTTTTGGTAAGCCATTGCCGTTCGCTCAGGTTCATGGGTAGAGACTGAGTTTTCGACATGGTAGAGCGTGGGCAAGACCGCCATAGTCTCACGCAAGATCTTTCTGATCGCCTGAAGGACTTTTGTTAGAACTGCTTGAGCCTCACACAAGAATGGACGAAAGGAAGACCTTACGTCAAAATTGGGGATCTCATCCTCCCATTGAGCCTCCAAAGGCGCTATGACCAGCTCGTGGATCCTGGCAGAGTTTCGCACTCTCAATTCTAATGCCGACGAAAGTTCAGTCTCGTACAAGTGACGTAGATGTGCAACACAAGGAGAGCTGGGGTGCCAGCGGGGGTCACAGAAAGCAGTGGTCGTGACTGGCGTCCTTAGCTGGAGACGCTGAACGTGTATTGCAAGCCTGAGTTTTTCTCTGGCAAAAGTGATAATTCTGGATAAATGACTTTAGTCTGGATAGCTCATCATTCCGGGTGCATCAAACCTTTTCATATCAGCAAGCTTGAAGGAGCTGAAGTCAAGCACAACGTTCTTGAAGAGGATTGGAGTAGCCACAGTTTTGAACTATGAGCACGCATCAGCCAAACTCAATGTCTTGTCTCACAGAAGAATATGGTGGCAAGCGGGAGCCAGTTTGACTAACCCTATGGGAAACAAGTCTCAGGCTCTGCAAATCCTTGGTTGCAACCGGATCAAAGTGATTGATTCTTCGACCAACCAGAAACCTGACAATCATGACGAGCATCTCGTTTGGCAGCTCCCAAAGCAATGCCATGTTGACGATACCCAGCTTCAGATGGAAGTAAGGGCCTTCGACCAAAGATTAATCACAATAAGAATCCAATGGTATGGCTGTACTGTGGAAGACAGAGGCTGGAGACCGATGAAGTTCTTTAGCGTAGGAATGGAAGGCGCAGGGTAGAAACCGATGAAGAATTCTGGAGTAGCGAGGCTTTGCACGATCGGATTGAAAGTGTGTGCTGAGTTCCGGATGGTGTGCTTGCCTTTCAGAAGACGAGGGTTAGAGACCAACGGATAGCTTCAGAGTAGCAGTGGAGGACACAGGCTGAGGATCAATGCCAACTTCGAAGTACCAAGGATGTGTAGGATGGAAGAGAAAGTATGTGCTGAGCTCCGGATGTTAAGCTGCCAAAACAAACGCTATAAGCGCCTGCTTCACGTTTCTGACAAATTCACGGTATATATGTATAATAAGCGGCAGATTCATTCTGTCCGACAGCTTCTCGATGTATATATACATTGGCCACGTCTGTAAGCTACGGAAAACAGATGCCATAAGCGCCTTCTTCACGTTTCCGCAGAGATTTATATATAATAAGCCCCAGATTTTTTCCGTGCGACAGCTTCTCGGTGTACATTCACCTTAGCCGCGGTATTCACAGACTCTCATAGCCTTTGCACAGCTATGGATGTAGCCGCGGATGCCCGTCTTCACTTGTTGTTAAGGCTGCATTACTTTTACTACTGTGATCACTTGCGAACGGAATGAATAGACCAGGGCATATGATGCCAGAGAAAATGCACTGGCTGAGATAATGATTGTGTCAGTCACTTCAAGAGAAGATTTCTCGACAACTCTTAGGCCTACAATCTTTGCTGCTAAATTCACTCTTGAAAGGAGATAATGAAGCAACGCATAGAATCTGAGAGATGGTAAATAATGCTCAAGCATACTTCATTTGTCAATACTGTCCGTCTGCAAAAAACTTGAGATATGCTTTGTCTTGGCCACCAATATATCAAATCCTTTGGTACGTTCATGGAAGATACAGATACTAAGCTGTTTGATACTTTGCATCAGTTCTTGTAAACAGGATGGCGTTCAAAGGATGGCGTTCAACTCGTACTTGGCAAAATTTTCATTCGCATTGAAATTCAAGAAGAGGACAGGATAAATCGAATATGCAACTGTGCCGTCCTTGAGGCTTTTTAGAGTAGAATGCCGATGTGATTCCGTCCCTCACCTCCGCAACCTAATGTGAGAAAGCATCATTGAGTTGACATATGGAAGTCGTACAGACTTCGGAAGCACCTACATTTAGTGATTCATTTCTCTCTCAAGCGAAGTCATTGTTGAGCTAGGGATGTGAGATGAGGATGTGAAGAATGGGGTACTGATACAGTGTTCTTGTAAGGAAAGGTATCTGATCGTCTATGGTACGCAGATATGTAAATCCAATACCTGTGGTCCACGTGTGACGTCTGGAGGTTCAATCAATCTGAGATATCATTGTCTCTTGGATTAGGTCGTCTAACCACTCTGCGGGTTGCAGTATCTGATTCTGGGTCAAGGAGTGTCCGACACACCAAGGAAGGGCTTCACGTACCAATGGTGGCAGTATTGTTCTGAGAAGCATCCTCGGCGCTCTTACGCGCATCTTCCATCTCAGCGCGAAGATTCTTGACCTGCTGGCTCATGACTCGCCAGAACAAGAGGTGATCAAGCTCGTGACTCTCTGCACCAGCCTCCGGTAGGTCATCGATTGCTTTGCTCGTCCCTTTGTGAGACCCGACGATCATGAGAAGCGAAGTAATGAAACTTTCCTTAAGATAAGCGAAGCTGAAGCCTTCGGTGATCGCTGCAATAGCTTCGGAGAGCTTGGGTGGAAAGTCGACAGTAGTGTTGTTGGAAAGCTTAAATCTCCAGTAGTCGCAGTATTTGACCCTCTCAGGTAAGGCAGGAAGGACGAAATGGTACTTGCGGTCGAATCGACCTGGGCGCTTGGAGATACCTGCATCCAGCCTCTCGAGATAGTTGGTGCTTCCAAGCATCATGAGTCCCTCATTTGACTCCAAGCCATCGACTTCATTGAGAAAGAAGCTCTTGACCTTGTCTGTGATCAAGCTGTCGAGGTCCTCGAAGATTAAGAGACATGGGCTAGACAGTCTAGCTTTGACGAAGATTTCTCGGATAGCATACTCAGGGCCATGACTGTAGAATGAGTTAGCTTTGCGTGCAACTTATCAACAGAGAGTCACTTACCATCCGGCAAGAGATTTGACGTAGAGCGTGGGAACAGGGTCTGGACGCTTGTAGAGAGCATGCATGAGAGCCTTGATGGAAATAGTTTTGCCATTTCCAGGTAGGCCATGGAATATGATGCCCCTCTTCCATGGTACCGCAAACTCCCTGTATTCGTCTCTGCAGTCGAAGAAGCCTTCAACGTCGTTGACCAGTGTCTCTTTCATGTCCTTGTCCATGATCACATCGTCCCAGCTTGCATTCTGAACAGAAGCCCATAATTCTTTGTTCTTGGTCCAGCGCTCTTGATCGAACACCAGCACCTCGTCATGGACGTTGTTGTTCCACTTCGTAGCTGCAGCAATAAGCTCATCGGTAGCCTTGCAACGTCCATCAACAAGCCCATGGTCACGTTTGTGTAAGACGTAGTTGTTCTTGACTTGTCCAAAGCCTTGTTGGAAAGTAGCCGTATACACGATGAAGACCTCGCTCTTCCACTCATAGTCATATTTTCCAAAGTGGACCTTGTCCGTCATTTTGCCCTCCTCCTGAGAGATACGCTGGCTAGGTGGAACATGCAGACGCCATGCTGACAATGACTCGGTCTTGGTGTCTAGTTCTGCCTTGGCCTGTCCAGCTCGAGCAAAGGCAAGAAGGCCTGTGTGACCAGGCGTGACCGTCACGGTCCAGTCTGGATAACGGCCCCGAAGGGAAGATACGATGGCGGTCTCGCTAGATATTTGGAGGCCAGCATTGTGCTTTTGGTAGTCTTCAAAGACGTTGTCAGCAGCCTTATCGGTAGCGAAGGTCTCCTCCATCTTGTGGGTGTAGGAGGCTTCTCCTTTTCTCATAATCTAATATCTTTCGACAAGCCGGGCTCAGGAAAGTATTTCGGCTTTGGTACAGGAAGGCGTAGATGGCAAGGAGCTACAGAGTGTTCTTGCCATCGTAGGTGGAAACTCCCTACCTTATATACTAACCTGCAAGGCTACGCTTCCCGGGCATCTGCCCTGCTTGGATGCAACTCCAGGCAGAAGTGCATGGATCTGTCATCATTTCGGCTCCTAGCCTCGCCCGTGCCGACGGGCCTATGATTTCAAGGCGCCTCAATTGGAAAGCCTGATGTACGAGTCTCGTACAAGCATTTGAGGTCGAATGTCTCAGGTGGAATCAGCCTTGGAGTGAAGTCGGCAGAGTAGATTTTAGCCGCGAAGCGCGATCCAAGCTAGCCAGAAACGTTGTGCTTGAAGCCATCCAAACGCCCTTTCCCATTGCATCATCCAGCTCGACATCATGGACAACCAAGATGCGGAAAGAGCGAAGATAGCTGCAGATGCTGATAGAGAACTCACCCGTTTATGGCGGGCATGGCGAACGATACACCAAATGTGCCAGGACAGGGTACAAGCTTCCCATGCCTGTACTCCAGTGACACCCCGCTGACGTCCTCCACAAGGGCTACGAGATAGGAGAGGAAGAAGTCAAGATATCTCTCGAAGATTTCCGCAAGAACTACGCTGATCCTAGCGGTGCGCCTGAGTCTGTCCCCCAACCCCATTACTGTGCAATCCCCTCGTGAGTGAGTAACGACGAGACTGACACACCACCCAGCCGCAAGAAAATGAACACCTCCTTCAGACCCACGGACGCCATGATTGCAAAATACACCGCCCTACCTACAAAAGCCGAACCCAACCCTCAGCCCCAAATCGGCACCATCTGGATCGAATTCTCCTCCGACGCCAGCATCGGTATAAAACAAATGCGCGCCTTCGCCCACCACGTCAACCAGCATAAATTCTACACCGGCATTCTAGTTACGCAAGCATCCATTACGCCTGCAGCGCTAAAAATAATTCCCGTCGTTCTGCCTTCCATCATTGAAACGTTCCAAGAGCAAGATTTGTTAGTGAATATTACGCACCATGAACTGGTGCCAACGCATGAGCTGTTGAGTGCGGAGCAGAAGGTGGAATTACTGAAGCGGTATCGGTTGAAGGAGAGTCAATTGCCGAGGATCCAGGTGGGGGATCCGGTGGCGAAGTATTTGGGGTTGAGGAAGGGGCAGGTGGTGAAGATCATTAGGAGGAGTGAGACGGCGGGGAGGTATGCTAGTTATCGGTGGGCGATATGATTGAGAGAGGGGGTTGTCACAGCTTCTAACGGTCTTTGCTTGAGGTGAATGCAGGAGAGTGTGCTTGAGTCGCATTTCAAGATGGATTGATGGGAAGAGACACCTTATGCATGCTTTGCGGGATGCTTGTTTCGTCTTGCAGTAGAAATATCTGCAGTCAGTATGACCTCGTTCGGTGACCTGAAATGAAGGGATAGTAAAGGGAAAAAGCGCGGAGTTTAGGTGGAGGTGGTCATCGACAGAAATACCCAAGATTCAATGCAATGCCAGATCTCCAATTGCGCGTTCTCCTTTAATCTCCCTGATCTTTGTACCGTTATCTACCTTCTTGAATTGCTGCCATTGCTCAGTGCTGAGTGGTGACAACGTGTCGAGCTGCATGCTACGAAGCACTTTCTTAAAGGGACGGAGGCATCTCTTTATTCTTGCTGGCGACGTATTTGTACCATGGTATGATACAATATTGATCAATACTCATTCAGAAAAAGGCGCTCCCATTTGCTTATTAGTACAGTGTTTTTGATTTGCTATGTGCTGTAGAACAAGGGTACACATAAAATAGTATCAGTTGCTTCATCTACAATTTCGCCTTTTCCTTGACATCGTCTTTGAGCTTCGTGCTCTTGTCTGCCTTGGCTTGATCTCTCAACATCCTCCTGAGGATTTTCCCACTAGCAGATTTCGGTATGATTCTACAAGATGCCGGCGTCAGCACTTCTTCAGAGTACATCTCGACTTGAACGACGTCTCGATGGAGCCTACACAAGAGACGAGCATTACGGCAACCATTCTATGGCTGGTAAGAAGGGATGTCTTACCCAACAAACTCCAGTTCAGTGATCCACTTAGTCCTCGACTTTCTCTCTTGCACATATTTAATCAATTCCTGTCCAAATTCTTGGCTGCCTTCGAATTCATCTTTTGGGACAACGTAAGCCTTCGGTCTCTCGCCGGTATAGTCGTCTGGCACGCTCATTACAGCAGCGTCTTCCACTTTGGGGTGGCCAAGCAGCAAGTCTTCAAGTTCAGCAGGGGCTAACACCAATGCCTTTAACCTTGATTAATTCCTTTATGCGGTCGGTGATGGTTAGCATGCCCTCCTCGTCGATGATGCCTTGATCTCCGGTATGTAGCCAGCCGTCTTTGTCGAAAGTCTCAGCTGTGGCTTTGGGATTGTTGAGGTATCCCATCGTGATTTGGGGACCCCTAGTCAGAATCTTCGAAAAGCGCGTTAGATCAGCCAACCCATTATAGGAGATCTAACCTGCCCTTACCTCTCCGGGTTGATTGAGACCAAGCTCATTGCCATATAGATCAATTACTTTGATTTCTGTGCTTGCGCAGATTGTTCCCACAGTGTGACCGTACCTGTAATCATACTTCTCTGGTGGATGAGCCGTAATGCAAGAGCAAGACTCGGTCATACCATACGCTAGTAGAGATGTTTAATTTAAATGTTGATGGGCAAGACTAGAACTCGTACCTTGCTTGAACTCAGTCTGTGGGAACTTCTTCTTGAGAAGGTGGAGTATCTCTTCCGATAGAGGAGCAGCACCAGTAGAGAATCGGCGTAAGCAAGATAAGTCGTACTTATCGACGAGTGGGTCGCGAACAAGTCTGATTAGAATGGGCGGTACGAGGAGCAATTCTCGGAGCTGGTGTTTGACCACTGTATCTAGCAAGTCCTTCATTGTGAAAGCTGGAAGCATGTATACTTCAGCATTGATGGAGATAGGGAGGTGAAGGGCGTGGACCAGGCCAGTGACTGGTGGCGTTGATCATTAGCCATAAGCAACCCATGAGCTGTCTATTTTGGACAAAATTCCTAGGGTTTCGGCATTGTGACATTTCTCCAGCGCTATCCAGCCACAATCTGGAGTCGGGATACCACAAATATCTTGGGCTGCTGTACAAGAAACCGTGTAGCACTTACTGTGAAAGACAGGAAGTACAGCCAAAATCTTCTGCAGGTTGGGTGGTGTAATCATTTGTACCTGCAAGACCTGTGCGATCACGTTCTGATGAGCCTGAAACCAAGGGTATTAGGATGAGTACGGTATAGAGGCAAAACAGCATGGTGTCATACTATCATCACAGCCTTCGGCAACCCAGTCGTGCCAGAGCTGAAGCTCAAAAAAGCACAAACGTCCTTACTTTCCTTGCCTTCGGGAATCTTGAAGCTCGGAATCTGGCCGTTTTCCGCATATGATCTTCCAATATCCAAAAGTGTCTGCATGGCCGTGAAACCCTCTAGCTCGCCTTCAAGAAGAAACACCCGCTCCTTGGGAATCCCAGCGCTCTTTGCTGCTGCGGCAGCAACGTCCATTGACGCAGGTACGGTCATAAGGAACCTAGCACCGGCCTTGTTAAGTGCGTATGTCATCTCTTCGATGTTGTAGGCCGGCGACGCCCCAGAGACAACCCCACCTATTGCTCGCACTTTTCGTCAACCATGTAGCTTGGCCAGCCAGAAGACCACATAGCATACCAGCTCTCAGGGTTCCTAGCATAGCTACTGGATACCAGATATTGTTAGGGCTGAACAATGCCACTGCTTCCCCCTCTTTCAGTCCATATCGTTTGACCAACGCCGTCGAGAGGTAGGTCGTCGCCTCTTGAACCTGAGCGTAGTTGATCCGCTCGCCTGTGATGCCATTACTGTAGCCACGCAGTGCTGAGGACGGATGCTTTTTGAGCGAAGAGGAGGGAGAATCAAATAGCCAGTCCCAGATCGTGACATCTGTCGGCACTGTAGTCAATTGAGTGAGTCAGCCTTTTCTTCACAGACCTAGAGCTAAATGACGTACGCGGGATATCTGGCTGAGTGGACTTGAAAGGCATTTTGCCGGTCAGTAAAATGGTCTGTTTCACGGACGTAGATACATAGACAGGTGTGAGGAGAAAGCTTCTCACCAAAGCAGATCCCCTCACTGATAGTCCCGCAAGTTCCAGGTACAAGGGTTTTTGAGCGTCTGCGTTCCCTTTGCTGCGGGGATGGTGTCGCGGGGAAGGAGCGCTGGGGAAGGCTGAGGACGGCGCTATTTCCGTAATTCCGCCTATTCATATTCCTTGACCATCCTCGATCATCATTACTACTAACCTTCTACTCAGACTCTCGAGCTATGGCAACTCTTTCATCGTCACGGGAGCCAAATATAGTCGTGAGCCGGGCACCTTCCCCTGTGGATCGGGCGCGATCTCCTATCAGTCGGTCTACAACTCCAGTACCGAAAATTGGAGATACGGCTACGATCGTTGCCTTTAGAAATGCCAGAGACACCTACCGAAAATCTCTATCAGAAAAAGATATGAAACGTATCATGATACCTACTGGACCCGAAGATGTCGTCAATGAGATCGAAAAATGGCATGAAAGACACTCGGACAGCAAGGTTGCTGCCGGTGTCCGCGGTGGCCTCGTTCGTTTGCAAAGGTTCAGCGCCTCAATCGATATGCTTGCTCAAGGAACACCAAGCCCAGGATGTTTATTGTGGGGTAGCATCAAGTTCGTCCTGACGGTAAATACTATGCTTATTCTGTCGTCGTCTCGTTTCCTCTTCCTTGTAAGCATCGAAATCTTCGAGCCAATGAACAGCGCTGCCAAGCGCCCTCCCAATCTCTGGCATTTGTCGACAAGATTCATAGATCCTAGAAGATGTATCACAATGACATGTTCGTTGCTTATGCCTAGCTGTCTTCTCGTGTAGATTGTACAAGACGCAGCGGAGGCATACGAACAACTCTGCAAGGCTCTCACCCGGATGATCGATTGCTTGCCTCGGATTGAGCTTTATACGGAGACTTTTCTCGACTCAATATTAGTGGCACATTGCGTAAATGCGTTCTATGTTTCAATTATCGGGTTCTGGGCAAAAGCTTGCAAATTTTATAGGAGACGCCGACTGTGGAATTTCCTGCGTGTCATCTGGAACGACTTCAATACAGAATTCAGCGATCTCGAGTTTGAAATGATCAGGAACCGAGATAGAGTAGAAAGTACGTGACCTGGATCATGGCTTTCAAGAGCGCAAATGCCTAACGGACAAGTCAGGTGCTGCGCTTGCAGAACATATAGGGGAGTCGAAAGTTGCAAGAGTGAATCAAAAACTGATGAGTCTGGAAATATTGCATGCCCAGAGCTTGACACGGCGGAAGGAGATCACCGCGTGGCTGGCGCCTGCTGCCTACGATGTCGAATACTACTCAAATGATCTCGCTAGCGCAAGAGCACTCCGTCATCCGAAGACTTGCATCTGGGTCCTGGACAAGACTGAAGTGATGCAGCTCTGTGATACAAGCCACAGGTCTGGGCAATCACTATTGTGGATCTGTGCGAACCCTGGGGCAGGCAAGACGATACTGTCTTCGTTCCTGATAGATCATTTTGAGTCCGAGGAACCGGATCCTGCCAGAGAAGATGTGTTCTACTTTTTCTGCAAGAAAACTGACGTCGACAAGAATACACCTACTGCAATTATACGATCTCTTCTCTATCAGCTGTATAAGTCGGTCAAAGGTCAAGTGACAATGGAGTCTCTGAATGATGACTTGGGACTCGCCTTGGATAGATCTGGGCAGCAGAGAGCGGTAAATTTTGCTGTCCTCTGGCAGCTGTTCTCCACTCATGTCAAAAGTCTGACCCCGGCAACAGTAATTTTAGATGCGTTGGATGAATGCCAAGATCCCAGCCGATTGATTCAAGGTCTGATAGGGCTTTCTACGCTGAGATCTATCAAGGTGATAGTGACGAGTCGCAAGGAATCGCATCTACACAACGAACTGAAAAATGTTTCCTCCATCGAGATAGCTCCGGAGGACATCAATGCTGATATCGCAGCTTATGTCGAAGCCAAAATCGAAGCGTCTTCCCGGCTTTCACATCCCTTGGTGCGTGGTCTAGTCTTCACAAAGCTATGCAATGCCCATGACGGGATGTTCTTGTGGGTCTATCTTATGCTCAAGGAGCTCAAGTCTTGCTTTTCGATGGTTCAAGTCCAAGATGCGTTGGCAAAGTTACCGACGGGCCTGGATGGAATGTATAAGAGCATTCTGCAAAGACTTCAAACCACACTTACCCGTTCCTCCTTCGATCTTTGTTCTAAGGTACTCATATGGGTTGTCACGGCTGTTGTAGGTAGCATTCTAGTCCTAAGTCGGCTGCATGAGGGACTGACATCTCTTCAGCGCCCACTTGGTATTGACGAGATCAAGCAAGCTCTCACCCTCCACTACGAGATGGATGGTGATACTCTACTTACGGATGACCGATCGTTTCCTTACTCCGACAAGGACGTCGAATTGATATGTGGTTCATTGGTTACGATCCGCAAAGGAACTTTGCAAGTGATCCACCTAACAGTCAAGGAGTTTCTAAGATCACGACATAAAAAAGATCGTTCTGCTTTCTCTAGCCTTCTCGTTGACCCTGAACGTGGGAGTCTGCAGCTCACGCTAGTGTGTTTGCGATGCGTTGCCACCAATGCCGAGCCTCTAGTAGACTTGGGATCCAAAGCTCCACAAATAGATTGGGCCTTCGAAACTGACACACTTGACCGCTGTCAAGCTCGAGCACCTCTGCTTGAATATGCAAGTTTCTCCTGGTTGGTGCATTTGATAGACTGCAAGCTGGATGACTTACTCGAGGTCACTCCGACATTTGAGAAGACATTTAATTCCCCAGCAACTTTTTCTTGGGTCGAAACGTGTATGGCTTCGCAACCGGACACCACATTACGCCTATTGGTAGGTGTCGATGAGGTTCGTGACAGATTCTACGGTTCTAGGGAAGACCCTTGGCCTCGACAAGAAGCCAGCTCCCAATTTCTCGCCAGCTGGTGCATTGCAATGTCGCGGGTGTTCGAAGAGTATGGTGGAATTCTTGCTCGACGACCCTGGGAAATCTATGTCATAGATTTGTGCGATATCTTTAGTGTTGACCCAAGTCTACGAAAGCTGTGGCAGGAGCACGGCGAGACTCCTTTAAGGAAAAAGGACCTGCACTTGAACAAATATCGAGCTCCTCATCCACCGCAGGTAAAGCCCCAGCCGCACCTCCAATTGCAACAAAGCCTCCATATCGGGTCTTCGAACCAGGAGCCGGTCTTTCTGGTCCACGATGAGGGTCGAAATGTCTACATCTGGGGAGAAACCGTGATTAGAGCTGATAATCAGGCTATTTGTGTCCAACATGACGAGACAGGACACCGTCTACCCCCAGCCGAAGAGTTCGGTGGAGGGCCGGACCAGATATGGCGGCTTATTGACCTTGAATTGAGCCCAAGCGGTGGGTACCTCGCCTTAGTCTATATTACAGAGTTTCCCAGTTCGAACGCAGCACCCTGGAACCCTCGCGAATTGACAGTTGTCTGGAAACTTGATGAAAACATGAGCTTCAAAAGACGGATGAATTGCGAGCCTTGGGCGAGGGTTGTTTTCAGAATTGAGTCCAGTCCCGCGCTTTTCATGGATGGCTCGAGAGCTGTCATGTTCAAGGATGACCGCCATTGCGTTACTCCAAGCGGGATGTTGGATCTTCTTACAGGTAGCAGACGACCGCTTCCTGATGGTATCCGTGATTACGTTGGTTCGTACCATTATATGTTCTACAGCTGTAATGGCCAATATCTGTTTAGTTCTGTGCCTGACGCCCATGAGTCGTCCGAGGAATACTCCATCCAAGCTAGGCGAGTTGACCCCTTTGAACCAAGCCCGTCTGTCAATTTTTCGTGGGAAGATAAAAGGAGATATTTAGTCGACGTAAGTCCTACTGGTCGATACCTGGTGCTGGGAGTGCCATTCGGTCATCTTGCATTCAATTTTGGAGAAGAAATATTATACCTTTACGACACAGATTCCAAAAAGCTCATTGAACTTCGGTTCCCTGAGCCACTGAACTACTGGGAGGGCAAATTCCACTTCACACGGCATGAAACAAGGCTTATTAGCTTTCTCCTGTGTCACCCTAGTAAATTGCATGTGATGATTTGGGATTGTCTTGCAACCGCACCTAGGCTTACGAGTCATGCCACGAGCCCGGCCAACTCGCACCTAGATTTGGTACCACAGCGATACCAGATCCATGTGCACAAGGCCGCAACTTCGGCAGTGATGGTCACCGATACGAGATCAATACAGCGGATAGAGCTTGGTGATGAGATAAAGTTCCTCGATGCTAACAAGACGATTGACGACTATTCCTATAGACTATCGACTGTCTCGAGAGATGGTTCACACTGGGCTTTGCTGTGCTACGGGCGGGAGGGTGGGAAGGTACAGATCATAGATCTGACGTCGCCCGACGCACCCGCTCGCCATTTTGACCTTGAATGGTCGCAAAGCGATATTCCAAGGGTTCTTACCCAGGGCACTAGTTTTCCTATAGGTTTCAGTCCGGACCTCCGTGTACTTATAATCAACGCAGAAGTTTTCGACATCACCACCACCGAGGGCGACGACCTTTCGAAAAGGTTGACCCTAACCCCTTTCACAATGGAGGCTCTCCCAACCTTGCTCGAACCTCACCGGCACAAAATCCCGTCCTGGGGTCTGGATTGCCAGATCAGTGCGTGCAATTCTTATGTCATCTACATGGGCAGAGGCGACCAGTGGGGGGACACATCCAGATACTCTTCAGCTATCTTTTTATACCGTATAGATCTCCAGAAGAGGACGTCAGCCCGACTTGAGCTGATACTACCCGAGGGATTAATTTCTCTGAATGCCTCTCTCCACCCGTCGCTGCCTTTGATGACGATAAGCTATGCATCACCAACATCGACCGAGCTCGAGGATATTCGAGAAAGGGCTCCTCCATTGCGTCTCGCCATATTCGACCTCATGAGATTGGAAAAGAGGGTCCTCGAGAATCCTAAGGGTCAAGCCACGAAGGCTATGGCAGAGTAAGATGATCTCCTAGAACTCGTCTCTGACGATTGAATGCTTAAGATAACATTCAATTTAGGTCCTGGCGGAGAAACGGCTTTCTACCTCGGCTTCTGTTCTCTGACTCTGGCGAATTCGCCTATCTCGAGGGAAGAGGCGAGCCTGAAGCATTATGGTTTCAGTCAATTTGTCAGATGGACATCAACCCCGTACCTTCTCGATTCATCTGCGATTCCATTTCACTGGATAATTCCCTCGTAATCTTTCACGACGGCAATAATGCCTCTGTCGCACTCGAGCTCATAAAATTCGATGACAACGGTTTCTGGATAGGCACAAGACCCGCGGTGGTGCTACGTGATATCGCCGCATACTCGTCGCATTCCGCTGTTGCTGACCGGTACCTTCTTCTTGGCGCCAACGATGACGAAAAAATGCGTCTGCTAATTGCCCCGACGGATGGACGGACTCCGGTCATCAAGACCCTCTCACTCACATTTGCTGAGGCAAGAGCGAGACTGGAAAAGGAGTGGCAGAGGCTGCACGCCAACTCCCAAGACCAAGATCTCAGCGAGACTGTCTAATTTGGCAATGGCCACTGGCACATTTGGGATCTTTTGCATGCGGGAGGAACGATTTATCCCAAGGGTGTATCCAAAGTGATTTTCCAGGCATATGACTCATGATTCCTGGGAAAGTGGACAGAGAATTCTGTGAGAACTTGCTGGAATGGCCGCCGAAGGATTATTTCGGATTGGGAGTGGAACTCTTGCTGCTTGGCGGCGGACTGTGGGGCCTGGGATGGAAGAACAGTCTTGATAGGATACAGAGGCGGTTTCACAAGAGCGTTGGGAGACTTGGGGGGGGGCGCATGAGGTTTACTATCAGATGCGAAGGTCCGGGCCTTGACGAATCAAAAGACTCTGTGCCGTCAGTGGCGAGGTATTGGGTTATTCATGAAAGGTTTCCTGTTTCTATCTCCATTCTATAAGCTAGACAGTATTCTGTTCCTGCCTCCGATAGTCTTCCACGCTTTCCATGACGACAACGCGGCCTGCAAGTGTTCGATCATTATCATGTGTCCGACCCTGCTCGCGCTCTACTAGTCATATAGAAGAGCATGTGCGAGCTAGCACAGGTTTACCGATTGTTCTCCGAGCTCACACAGCCTCCCAAACGGCTCGAATAGCATCGAAGTCGATTGCTTCCACCACTCTGAAGCTTATCGTGTCGCTCCATTACCATTCCCGCCTGCTCAGGTGCGGCCTTTGGAAACAAGTCCGCCAGCGCTCTGAGAACGGTGGATCCATCGTCCTCGGCGTTTAGAGACTCTTCGAACAGCCGCAACTCGTCCTCACCTTCGCCTAAAGCCCGATGGGCGCGAGCGGTGCACAAGGTTACGTACACCCGCGCTTGGTTTGGGACTAACCCCGCCTCGAGTAAACCTCTTGGAGCATCTTCGTCCAGTTTCAGGCAGAGATGATGCTTTAAGAATTCCGTCACATGGTCATATTGAGCAATGGCTTTACTCAATTTTCCAGCGACATATGCTTTATCTCCTTCGACAAGGTAAGCCTGTGAGACATTTTGTATTTGCTCCGCAGTCTTAGATCCTGATCCAGCACGATGCAGGATTTCGTCAACGCAAGCTGGGTCGACAGAACCTTGAATGGTCAGGTTCTGTAAGCCGCAGTGAAGACCGCAATTCCAAACTTCCGACTGGCTTCGTCTCACTTTGTTGGCGGTCAAGTACTCTGAACGTGTATTGCTCGAATAATGCCACCAATTTTTGATGGCTGTTTGCATTTCGTGGAACTGCTTTCTACAATTCTTTATCTTTCAAGGAGGTAGATACAAGCTCTACAGAGTCGCTAACCCGCCAAATATCTTTCGTCAATTCAACACCGTCAATTTCGGTCCGAATGGGTTTTGTTGTAGGCCCACAACTCACGCTGGCGCTTACACCTCGCGGCAATTGCTTACCAGCCTTGAGAAATAGGGAACTCAATTACCTCGTGGCCTGCCTGGCCGTCTCCGGCGTCGATACGCCGCAAGCTGTCCACTTCGGCCTTCTTTGCAGTATGCCAGCAGATTGTCCAGTTCTTTGAGGATAGCGCTCTTGATTTCGATCCGGACGGACCTGGTGGTATAAACCGCTGCACGATATTTGGGAGACCGACCTCGAAATTGGCAATGTTATCGCAGACAAATCCGAATCGTGGAGCAAACCATGGATTCCCACGTGTCGTCGAGTCAGCTTTGAGACTAATGAAGACTGATGCCAATACCTCCAAGGATAAGTCCACCGATTCCAACATCGAACACACGTCCGCCCACGATGGCAAGGCCCATAGCATCGAGCTTGGAATAAATTGCTGACCACCGCGTCCCACCGCCTGCAGATGTAATTTTGCGACCTGCCGAAACAGAGACAGATGTAAAGGAGCTCAGATCGATGGTCACTCCGCCTGCGATATTAGCAGATCCGGCCCAGAACATGTGACCACCACCACGTATAGCGAATTGACAGTGAAGCTTGGCGAGTTCTGAAACAGCAACGGAGACATCGTTCGTGGAGTTGGGGGTCAATCTGCATGCAGGAATCACGCTTTGCTCTTGGACCGACCAGTATCCAAGCGTAGTGTCATTCTGCTCGCTGATGAAGACAGTAGATCCAAGAAAGGAAATTTTACTGCCGAGATTGGCTTGCAATGCAGAGCATTAATGCGATTTATTAGTGAAGTCTTGATGGAATTGGAGTGCGCTCACGCAGTGAGCGCCTTTGCTAGTTAATCTAGCCACCACACTGGAATGTCCAACGAAAGGAGCCTCGTAGAGCACATTACCAAGCACTAGAGCTACCAGCAAGCATGTAGGCAATACCAACTTCATGGTGCGACTTTATTTGGTGTCTCAATCTAAACGACAATTTTGATGGCTTTGAAAGAGGGGGAGCAAAGGCTTCATACAAGACATCTGAAAGCTTGGACTTGACTAAGGGGTTTTCTATTGGGTGGCACTGCCACATCCATTCTGTGGATGCGGACGAATCTCGAGATCCCTTGATGAGAATGATAGACTAGTCGCTGGTGTGCCATTGAAGCCGTGGGATTGTAGAGACGGGATCTGCAAGAAAAAGGGCGGCGTCGATGATCAGCCAGCCGCACCAATCGTGCCTATCTCAACAAGCAGCACACACGAGATACTTCCCCGCCTCGCAATGTCTGCCCAACGTAGTCTGATGTAGTTTAGGAGTCAATCTCGAATCGTAAAAGCGCATTAACGCCGGGGAAGTCATTCCTTCACTCTTCACTAGATTGTGCAGCATCAAGTACTTTCCGTGTCTTCGCGTCTCTCCCCTTCGTATCAACGACCCCATAAGCTTCCTTTGTCTGATAGTAGATGTTCTTCTCCCATCCTTCGCCCGTGTTCACCTTCCCGATGTCATCCCAACAAGCCTGTACCGTAGCACCAATATTCTTGAAGAAAGCCTCAATCCCACCCTCACCCCCTCCGGCCTGATAGCTCTTGAAAGGGCCGGAGACAGCCCATCGTGGACCAAGGCTATTCTCCATGACGCTATCGATATCTTCGACCGAAGCCACACCCTCATTGACCAGATGTATGGCTTCCCTCAAAAGGGCGAAGGCAAGTCTGTTACCCGCGAACCCTGTGATTTCTTTCTGGAGCAAGACAGGGACTTTGCCCATGCTCTTCCAGAACTCCATCGTCCGCAATATCACTTTCGGGCTTGTATATGGAGAAGGGACCACTTCGATTAAAGGCATGACATGAGGTGGGTTCCATGGGTGCGCAACGATTAGGCGGGAGCGGTCTTTCATGTCGGTGGACTGGGTTGAGGCAGAAATGCCACTCGTGGAGCTCCAGAGTAAGGCGTCGGGTGGGCAGTGCTGCTCGACCTTAGGCCAGAGGGCGGTCTTGAAGGCGGCATTCTCCGGCCCTTGCTCTTGGATGATACTCGCTTTCGACACTGCGGTCTCCAGATTATTATCAACGATTAATGTATTGCTTCTGGCGTGTCCTAGGACATCGTCTAGGGTCACATCATAGCCACCTGTCACGTAGACTTTCTTCGTAATCTCTGCATTGGTGTATGCAGGCAGTGTGTTGAGTATGTACTCTTCAATGTCAGGCCGGGAGTCGTGGATGGTCAGCTCGAGGCTCGACGCTCCTTGGGAAATAGCTTGTTCGAAATGTAGAGCTACGAAAGAAAGGCCAATGGTGCCAGCACCAATCAATGTGATTTTTAATGGCTCATTCTGAGACATGGTGGCATGCAGGTGATGGTCCGCCTGGTGGATCCTTCTGCGGCTGCGCTTACAAGTACAACATAAATTTGTCTCAAAAATGCAAGGGTAATCTTAAACGATAGAAAAAATAGCAACCATTGGGTATAAGACCCCATGGCAAACGAAGAGTCAGACTACAGACGAGTTTTGAGAAAGATGCTTGAAAGCACTAGACACGTCCATCAATTTGGAGGCATTTCGTCACCTCTCTACATCAGATCCTTCATCGTTTTGCCGCAGACATTGGCGGATGACCCCCACAAGATGCCGTGGTGCAGGTCTCAGGAGGTGGATCCAATGACTACGAGAGCGGCAAAGAGTAATCTTCCGCACAATTCGCGCCCTGCATGAAGGCTTCCTAGGGTCCAGCTACAATTCTAGCATGTCGACTCGCATCCCTCGCATCTGTCCAGTACCGGGTCCTCATCGATTTTGATACACGTTCCGGGTAATGCCATCCAGAAGATCGGGAGGGTAGAGATAGTAACGCGCCAAGTGGATCTTATTCAATGAATTCATGTGCCACCGCAGCTCTTTCCCTCCCTCTCATCTCCCGCGTCAGTTGTGTTACCTTTGTTAAGAGCGGTACTTTCGCCCCTGTAAGGAAGCTGTCTTCTACGAACAGTAGCATTAATCAATGCTCGCAGCACGCTTCAATATTTCCAATACGATCCTGTCGTTCCTCGCTTTCCTCTCTTCCGCAACAGCAGATCCCGTCTGCGACCTAATATATGGCCAGCCAATCTATAATGATTGTCGTGACCTCGTGCTCGCGTTACATGACGGTTGGCCAGGACAAACTACTGATCGAAGAGAACATTACTTCTCCATACGTGGAGAAGAGCCCCCCCCTTGGATCAATCCTGTAGCTCGAAATTTTCGAGAATACGTGCCGAGATTTGTGCTTCAAGGTCAGCCAGCTCTCAATCATGATTGCAGGCCTTCTTCCGACTGTTGTGAATCATGGTACAGGCCATTGCAAAGTCGCGATGACATCGATACGCCTTCTCAACGAAACAACCACGAGTGATTCCGCATACTGGCCCGACATCTGGCTGAACGCCAACTCGGTACTCACCCGTTGTGTGGATCTCGGTATCGGAGGGTACCACCATGTAGGTACGAAGAACCTCAGAAGACTATCTTACTATCTTTCACTTTTGAAGCTACTCAAAGCTAACTCTACTTGAGCACTATCAGGCTCCTTGAACAGACTGATACTTACACTCTATGCACCTGGCTCTATTTATGATACTCAAATTGAGCACATACTCGATCAAGGTGGGGTTGTTTGCTCTAAGGAAGCCGTGTCATGGGGCAAATTACCTCAAGATTCCGAAGTCATCTCAGGATCAATCAGTTGCGGCTCTGCGATAGAGCTTGCGATGCAAGAACCGACATCAGAATGCTGCAACTCATCAACAAGTCAGATTCAATCGATCAAGCGTGGGAATGGGACCTTTTGTTTCTCCTGCGGCGCAAATTTAGAGGCTAATTCATAGGATCTTCCATCAGATTGAGATTTGGCCTTGCTATTTCGATGATCTGTAAAAGGAGCCTTTGTCATCTTGTGCTCTTCTACCAGTGTTTGTCGCTACCTTTCAAAACTTGCCCTTTTCGCCAATGCCTCCTTGCCCAGCTCCCCATCGTTCTCCCCCAAATGTGCCTAACCAATCAAAGCGAATGGGCATGCACCGTTATAGTCACGGTCAGGCACAACATTATACTGCCGTGACGAGGCAGCTGAGTTCCTAGAGAAGTCAGTCCTGCGGCCAAATACCACAATTCTCAGCAATGCTTACCAATAAATGCAGCGAGCATGGTGTTGGCAACGTGTGATACATTGGCAGTCAAAACGAATAGGTAATCATGGTATGTGTGCCAATCTTGTCTATTCTAAGTGCAACTTTGGAACCTAAGTACATGATACCAAGCCACTACCTTGCCGACCTTACTACTTTCCCAACCCTATCTATACCTTGCCGATTTCCTAACAGTTGGCCCCAACAAGAAAAAGCACCCCTTGTTACTAGATAGTTCTTCAAGCAATGCATTTGACGCTATCGTGCAGCACTACTAACCCAGTGCCGTGATACCTTGCCACAGGGCAAGGCTTCAGTCCGTCAAGTTTTACCTACGCATATCCGCCTTAACTTCAAGGTAATCTTTCAACATCTTCTTGCCGAGTTCCTTGTCCTTTCCCTTGCCATGCTTGCTGGGGGTATCGTTGGCTCGAAGATGGTCGTCATCGGTACTCTCAACCACGATCACTGCGCCCCTGTCAGCATATTCGCAGTCCAAAGTTATAGAATGGGTCTGATCTACATTCGTCCTTTTTCGTGGCCGTACCTGCCGCCGCTTTCCCAGCCTTCTTCTCTCTGTCCGCCGCAGGGCCTATTGGCAGAGTCATCACAACGTCCATATTATAGCATGTGGTACATGAATGAACGCCGGCGAATCCCAACATCTGACCCCTCTGCACTTCTAGCGTACGCTCAAACCAATATACTCCTTGACTTGCTTCGCCCGTGGGCGAGGTGAATGAATCAGGTTTTAGCGTGTGGAGCATAGGCCTGGTAGATCACGGCCGCGACGATTATTCGCTGCATCTGGGAGCGTGCCTTTGCCATAGAGATGGCGCTCATCCCTCCCCTACGCCCATCATAGGTCCGCACGTCGTCCACGTTGTGTCTCCAGTAGAGTACGAAGTGATTGGCGTTCATGTGCCGGATGACTCCGATCCAGCGGTAGTCTACAATCCTCCCACACTTAAACCAAGGTCGCGAGGCGGAAACGGTAATGTCATCGAGAATCTCTTTTTTTGCCTGCGCGCCTATCTGCTCGAGTCCATAGCTTACGACCAGGAACGGCGGCAGTCGATCCAGCACAAAGGTGAGTGGTGCCAATCGCTGCAAACAACGTTCGCACCCCAATTGTTTGAGACCATCTAGATCACCTGACGTCTTTGCCTTGAAGGGGAGGTTCACCCAGTCCTTCCAGGCTCTGGCTTCGGCGCGTTTCGCATTATTGTCGGTCTCGAAGCCGGTATGGTGGACTCGGAAGGCCGAATCGTCGTCGTAAGTTTTCACAGTGCAGCCGAGACACTGGTAGCCACCCTTCTGCGTCCTACTCAGGTGTGTTGGGGACTGGCTTAGGAAGGGGAGTTGGTGGAGGGAGATCAAGGCCACGATAGTAGGCGCTAGGGGCACGAAGTAGTAGCCCTTGATACCGCTCTGAAATAGAAGGAACGATATCACGACTCTCAGAACGAGAGTAGGGAGGTGGAGGCTCTGCTGGAGTCTCTTGTTGTAAGGTGACAGGCTGACGGACTGAGTTAAGGCGAGCCGTACTTGGAGCGATCGCTTCCGAATAGGCGGTTCTGGGATGCGGAGGTGTGCCAACAGGCATTCGCACGCTTCCTCTAGGTACAGGCCGGTCAGGTAAGCGAGAAAAGATCTCAGGTAGAAGAACCCTCAAAGATTCAAGATCGTATGTTTCATTCAAGGAACGAACATCATCAGAATCGATAGAAGAAGTGGACTCGGTCGATGTAGACTGAGAGGGAGAAGGACTGTTTGGATGTTCTTGTCCAGGCTGCTCAGATGCAGGAGTTGAAGCTGAAGTGGCAGGTACTGCGGTTGACTGAGCCGAAGATACAGAAGGACGCAGGTGTGACATTCCAAGATCCCGTCTAGACCCCGGCGCATTGGCGATAGGGAAAGGAAGTTCGCGATAAGCAGAAGACCGAACAGGAGCAACGCGAGAATAATTCGGAGGAGGATGAGAAGGTTGAACAGGTAGCTGCTGATTTCCAGGTTGAACCCGAGTTGGTGGTTGAACCGGAGGTGCAGGTTGGGGATGGCTTGCAGGTTGAAACTGAGGCACAGGAACAAGCGTCGGAGGTCGACTTAAAGGCCACACGTGAATGGTGGGAGGATCGGCGGGTGCACCGGTGTGCCCCAGGATACGCTACGGCATCCTTCGAAAAGAAGGTGGAGTATATAATCGTGTGGGAGAAAACCGCCTTTGCGCTCATCTGGAGTTGCATATAAACGAGTACGGATCAACGTGACGAGGGCATCTCTGGTCTCGTTCAGTTCGTCTTGCGTCAAATCTTGCCAAGGACGGGCGATGGTCGCCCTCATCCAGAACCCATGTCCTCACGGGCAACGGGAAGTCTCGGCAGGCGCCATGTCGAGTGCAGAGATGGCGTGCCGAGGTGGTCAGGCAGCTGAGTGCGGCGAGGCTGGCAGATCTCGAGCTTGAAAAGCCTGAGCCGAAGCCCAAACATACTGTAAAAAACACTGAGGCACCATGCCCCATGGAGGTGGTGTTGGACATGGCTATGCCGCAGAGAAGATCCATGACTCTTCCAATCCCTCATGACCGCGCACGGCCGGATCAATTTCTGTTGCATTGGTCTTGATTGATCTCAACGTCGCAAACATGGCCTGCGATGCGGCCGACATCGGCGAGGTGTTCACGTCGAGGTCTATTGCTATTGGGCTTTGCTCAAGTCTCCAATTTGCCCCTAAAATGTAAGCCCCAGAAATGGAAGACCATGGCTTTTCGTCATCAACGAACAAGGGATAATGTGCCACGTGAAGTCATTCAACGTCCACTAGCTGCATGGAGAAAGGGGAGGGCCTCCGGCTAGGAGAATCTGGACAAATAGGCACATGTCGATTGAGGGCGTTTGACGGTTGTTGGCAGGTCCATCCCATAGAACGAAGCATCACAGCTTGTTTACTGGGCTTCTGAATCGGCTTCAGCCGGAAGTGAGGAGCGTCCGAGCCGCCAGCGATATCAAACTTCATTGTTGGTAAGAGTATCCCCACATTTTTGGTGCCGCTCAATCGTGTCCCTCAGAGCGCTCACACAACATAACGTGTCGTCCTTGCAAAACCAGTGGTTCCCGAACAGCCAAGACTCTCTTTCGTGCTTTCCTGGAAGACGACGCGACCCCAGTTCGATTGTCTCGCCCCAAGCATTCCAAGCCGGCCGATAATTTGTGCCTCTTCTTCCACTTTTCGGGCTTCGGCAGCTGTGGCATACTCTTCGGTCCACACCTGTAGCGCTTGTCTACCGGTAGACTTGATCGGCAGTCGAGGGAAGTGACGTCGTCCTCGCTGAGTTCGTCAAAAAATGTCTACCGTCTAAAGTGTGGTCTGATCCTCGCCACAAATCTGACCTCTCGTGATCTGAGCGTTTAGATCTCCCTTTGTCTCCTGTAAGCGTATTTTGTTCAAAGACTTGATGAGCTTTCTGGTCGTTCTCACTTCAATGCGGAGGTCGCAGACTTCAAAAACTACTGCGGCCATTGTTTTTGGATTCAAGGAGACAGGCGAGAGGTAATCGAACCATACGTGTTAAGATAGCTCTATTATATGAGAAGAAGCTAATGAACAGGAGACTGGTCGATACCAGTGGAGTGATGTTAAAAGAAAGAACTTTCAAAGGAGAAACATCAAAACGGGTATTTGTAACATCCCTTCTTCCAGTCGTCCTTGCCAATGTGCTGAGAAATATAGATACGGCTAATAAGCGCAGAGTTGGTCATCAATGAAGGCTTTCGAGTTGATAATGCCGTAAGTAGCGCGTTGCTGAAATCGCATTAGCATTCGTAATCAGACTAGATAGAGGGAACTTACGTTGCTGATGGAGTCTCTGACAGCCTCCACGGCAGTCTTTCGAGCCTTCCACGGTTGCCATTTGGTGATGTCCGTGGCTTTGAGAGATTCGCCGACGGCATCATCAATCTGAAGCACCTGGTCGATCCCGATTAGATGATCGACTTTATTGTGAGATGCGAATGCGTCAGCTGGAGACAGTGGGAACATGGAGAGCGTGTTTATCATGGTGATATAAGGGTCATGGTGATATAAGGGCTGGATAAGGCCGGAGATGCTTTCGACAGGAAACTTGATGCTTTTGAATGCGGGAAAGAGATATGGATTTAGTAAACCGTGTGATGTGCTTCTCGATGGATGAGAATCATGGGATTCTTGAACGAGTTTGTGGTGATGGTAGGTATGATGACTGGAAAAGAAATCACAATGTGAGATATAGAGGGTTTAGATACCCACGGAGGATCACTGACACACGCTGACATTCCGGCTTCCAATTTTTCTTTTGATCTCCACATTCATTCGAGTCTCTACACGGCAGCCCGCCTTTATTGTTGTTTTGTACACTCGAAGGCCGTTTTGGTACTGGCCAGTAACGGAAGTGACGATGAATCAAAAGTCCACGTACTAATGGGTCATCGGCCAATCCCAGAAGATGATCATCCTGCGGCAGTTCACGTGGCATGTATCCTGTGTGATCCCAGCGACGAACCGCAACTTGGCATCTCATGCTACCCGCGTAATTTGCGAAGCTTGGCCGGTCCGGCTTTCTAGGAGGTGTGCCGGCATGGCGTTGGTGACACTTAGATCGGCTTCAGTAGCCAACTGTTTGGCGTATTCACGGCATTCTTGCCAAATTTCCTCATCTGCTATGACGCTGCAGATTAAAAAGATAGGTCGCGTAGCACTCGGAGCGATACACTTGGCTCCAACCGTCATGGCTCCAATGTCGCGCTTTGGGTGTGGAACGTCCAGAATGAGTCTTCGGCCGGGACTTTGAAGGGCGAGCCTCCCAAGTGATGAGACACTCTAGTCGCGCCACCTTCGACTTCCTACACCGTGACGTTGAGGGAAGTATCAAGTGAGACGTCTGTGATCTGACTGACCCCAAGCACGTAATATAGGCTTTGATGAGGAAGTAGGCGGCGTGGGGGAAGAGGAGGACGGGCATTTCCGCTGAGGATAAAACGATTATGGTGTGGTTGAGGGATGGATGAGAGGGGAAATTGCCTTGGGAGCATTTGATGAATGGTGTCATGTGGTTTCGAAGGGTTCACAGCTTATAGGTGATATTTGTATATATGGGAAGAGGGCAGCGCTGAGATTTAAGAGCTATGATGAGATGCGGAAAGCTGGATGCAGCTGCTCAGGTGTTGGATGATGCTAAGGAGGAAGAGATCATTCTGTCAGATGGCAAAAAATGAGGTGATGTATCTGTCTAGCCTCGTCCGAACATCTTCGAGCTCAGCAAAAACTTCTGAACCCTACCTATACCTCAGCAAATGCATCTTCTTCAAGAAATTCGGTCCTGACCTTGGTCCTAGCTTTGGGGAACATTTCAAGAATGCCACTCACCATGATCAACGGGAAAAAATGATGAAATTCTTGCAAGACTTTCATCTATGTGTTCTCCGACTCTCCGTCGCGACGCTCGATCCATCGCTCCCAACTCCCGTCAGCGCTCGGTAAAGCCGCACGTCCGTGATAAGGCATTCTGTTTTATCGAAGAAAAGATCTAGAATTTGATGTAGTCTCGCACGTGGAATGATGAGAAATGATGCGGAAAGAGCGAAGAAATGAGTCAGAGTTGCGACATGAGCAAGTTTTTATTTAGGAACAATGTTCACAAAGATTCGTATTGGGGTGCTCAATGGCATCGTCTTTGTGAACGTTGTAGCGATCTCAAGCTGAATGTATGAGTGATTGAAGGTGAGAGGATCTTGGGATTAACACGCGAGTACCGTTAGGAGACGTATACTCTAAGCAGTGGGACGACAGAGTCTGATAGGTAATGGAGGAGAAAGGACAGGACTCAGGCCAATCGCACAACTGGGGCTGCAAAAGGCTTCAGAAAACCAAATGGATGTAATGACAAGCTTGCTGGGCCACTACCATCGCACCGTGGTCGCCACACGAGCAGGTGTTCGGCTTTACCTGTGCTGTGGCCGATGAGAAACTCTTTTCTCTCCTTTTGCTCACCGTACCATTGAAAGAAAAGAGACTCCAATAACTTGGTCACCAGATTGTCTGCTTCACCATACGTGCAATGTTTCTGTACTTTCTTGCCAGTACATGATCTTCCTCTTCTGCAAATCTGCAGGTGTAGATACATGCGCCGCCGCGCGCAACGTATTTCTCCGCGGTCCTCGAGACCTCCGAGTTGAAATATGCGGTTGATGGTCGTGTTTGGCAGACCGGCCGTCTGCTCTCCATGGCTATTTGAGATGCTCTTGCTGGTAGCGGGGGTCCTTCGCAGGCTTGCGGAACCCATAGGGAACGGTCCTGAGCTTGTGGGCTTGACGGTGCTCCCGCTCGTCCGGAAGCTCGTTTTTGGCGCTGGTGTCATGGGCGTCGATCCAAAGGTACCTGGGGGGACTTTGGACGCAGCGTTTCACATAGAGTTGGGTGCATTGGCCCTCGAGGAGCGTTACGCGGCTCACCACATCCTCGTCATCATTGCAGATGGCTTGCATCACGACCGCACAGCTCCCGGGGGCATCAATGGTCACGGCGCGCCTTGTAATCCTCATAGCAAATCAGGGCGCCGTGACGGCTGTTGGCACGAGCGAGTAAGCTGTCGGTAAGGTAAAAAACAAGACGCAAATTTATTTAGAATAATGTCGTCCTAAGTCACGGCCAAGCTGGTCACCAGGATCTGCCAAGGGTCATTGGTGTCGTTGAAGCCATCTGGGCCGCTTCGTGCTCGCTGGACATGTACGTCGAGCGGACGCCGAGGACTTTCCATAGTGGTTCCCCAGAAAGGTCTCAACCTGGAATTGTGTCACCGACTAATCGCAGAAGATGAATATCTTTCGGCGACCCATGTCGAGGACTTCGCTGTGAAGGTGGTGGGAGTCGGGTGTTGGTACGCTTCAGAAAGTGCAGATATCTATGGAATGCTGTTATGGAAGTCTGACTCTTCTCCAAACCAAAATGTGAGCTCAAAATGAGGCATCGTGAGCAGAAAGTAGATGACGAGAGCTAGAAACGCAGGATCAGATATTCGTCTATTGCAAGGTTCAATTATTTTGCGCAAGTGAATTTCAGATACTGACAAGGAAGCCTTGAAGTATCCCCAAGTCAAAGAGGCCTTCTCAAGCTTACTCAATCATTGAGACGTTGAACCTTTCTCAGACTAAGAGCAGTTAGAGCGCCAATGTTCTTGCAGATTACATCTATCACTTGCAGGGATAGAAAAAAAGAACAGCAAAATATCCATCAAACAAGACACAAATGACATTAGCCACTTCAAGTTCTCAGCAAAGAGAGTCATATCAAAGCACTGCCACAATGAACTCTTACAGCCACGAGATTGGTCAAAGATTTGTACCGTAGATCAGAGGAGGAAGTCCCATGGTAGCTTGAGTTCTAGACAACATGACGTCAGCTGACTCTTCGCTAACATATCTGGAAATGCAGGGATACTTACGCAACGGGATTGATGCCAGTGAAGCTGCGAATCTATATGTATACTTGTCGACCAAAAGCAAGTCCAAACATATGTGAAGCAGACCTTTCTTGGCAAGGAGCGATGCAGAAAAGAGAAGGAGTGCTGAGATGAAACCGTGCATGTGAATCACAGGGTAGTAGGAAGCTCTCTCAATTAGCTTAAAACGACTCGGAGAAGTCAGGAATTCGGTGAATGATTGAATACTTGCCCCAGGGTCGACTACAAATTGGTTGGTCGCTAACCCATGTAAGCTGAGGTCAGTGCTTCAGGATTGACGATAAGATATCAACGAGCTTCTCATTGGCGTGGAAGTAGCATGCATTGAGGAGTAAATATAGACGTGAAGTAAAGAAATAGAAAAGTAGCCACCGTAGTCCTGCATGGGTATCTTCCCTCCCGACCATCCCATCCATCCCTTTCAAATCCATGTACATGCGAGAGAATCGAAAGAATCATCGATTCCCCAAGTCCAAATCCTCGTCTCGTGAGAGGCTCAGTCTTATGTTTGCTCCTTGAGCGCCGAACACCTTACTCCATATCAATGAATATCGCAGGCACGAAATAATGAAAGTAGAATTCGTCATTGAGAATGTTATCGAAGCAACCTGACCGTAGGGTGATGGAAGAGACAAGGTTAAGATAATAAGCCTCCGACATCCTGCAGTCCCTGTGAGCCACGCCGTCTTTGAGGAGGGAATGCGGAGGGCTTTGGCGACAAAATGGGCGATGAACTTGGCGGCGTAAATTGCAGTGCTTCTATTAGTCCAGAGTGTTGAGAACTCGGAGCTGGGCGTGCATTCGTAGTTTGTGGGGAGGGTGATAGTAAGCCGCCGATATCTTGCAGTCCAGGTGACTCGCCTCGTCGCTGAGCTGGAGGTACAGAGGGTCGAGGTGAGGAATTAGGTGGTGTAGACTGTAAGGCCTCTATCAAGTCAGAATTTTGAGAACTTGGCGGCGGGCGCAATGTGGTAGTCCGAGGCGATTGTGGCGCATGTTCAATCAGTCCGCCAATGTCCTGGAGCAGAGCATGGCTACCTCTCCTTGACCCAGCTGCATGCGGATGCAAGCCTGACGATGGTAAGGTAGAGGGCCGTTGCTGGTATACCGCCATTGATCGTCGATGACGGACTTGAGGTGGGTCGTTCTCACCAAGCAGACCGCCGACATCAAAGAATGACATACGGCGGGGTGTAGTCGGTATCTCAGTGGGGCTTGGCTGTGATTCAAGGATAGGTCCTGGAGACTTCATGTCAGTTTCATCTGTCTCAACAGATGCACGAGTTGGGAAAGTCCAACTCCTGTCAACGAGATCTGAGGTATTGATGTTTGATGTCGAGTGTAGTGACATAGCTACAGGTGCTGGTCTTGCAATAGTTGACGGTTTTTCGGTCAGCTCAGGATCTAATCTCATGCCTAGGTCGCCCACGAGATCGGCATCACTGCCCCAATTTCTTGCCGTGATAGCTCGACGAGGAGCAGTAGTTGAGCGATCCAAGCTACTGTGTCCACCGGTGCTGCCAAAACGAAAGCGCTGCTTTTTGGCGCCACGGTCACGGACAAATGAGCCTAGAACAAGTGCGTTGGAGACTGCAGCAGCGGCAAGGATTTCGAGGGAGGCCAGAAGCGAGCGGAATCGTTGATCATAATGACGATCTATCACACTGACGACACGATAAAGGGTGATGGCAACGAGTATGAGAGAGAGCGCGAAGAGGAGGACCAGCGATATTTTTCTGCTATAGTCATCAGTACAGATCTAATCCATGTCAGATGTACATGAGCGCTTACCGCTTCGTATTCATGGCAGATTTGAGTACAATGGGTATTGGGAAGCCCACGATCAAAAGATCGGTAATGACATCGCTCGTACCCATGGTAACGAGTTGAGCAGTGCCTTGCCTGCATTTCGCTCCTGGATCTGGGACTACTTGCCAGTAGTGGCTGAAAGGTTGACATTCGGAGAGAGTCGCGATGACCACAGCGACGAAGGTAACGGCTAGGAACCAACGGATGCATTGTAGACAGAACTCATACGAATCTTTCCAAACATGACTCGTGAGGCGCTTGAGGAACTCGGAGATTGTGAATTTGGCGATCCACAAGCTTCGTAAAAATTAGCGCTGTCCTCCTTCACTGTGCTGATATGGAAGGAAACTGACAACATCGCGTACATGATCCTGGAGACTAGGACAAGTCTACTCCCAATCTGGCGATAATGAATGTCCCGCGCTGTCAGGCCCTCAGTTGTGGTATTGTTCGTTCCCCACAGCAACACCAAGTGAACGAGGCCCATCCTAGCCAACAGTGGTATCAAGCTCAAAGCCATGATCTTATCCTCTCTGAACAGTCTTTCCGTGCGTACATATCGTCCAGCTATTCGTACCAGTATGATTGCCACTGCGAACCCTGTACACCACCATGAGACGAGAAGCGTCGGGTTGTCTTGCTTAGCATCCCGGGGTGGGGGTGAGCTCGAGTAGAGGTCGCGTGGTAGAAGCATCACCGGGAGCTGTTCACGCCCACCAACCTCCGAAGAGGGGTGAGCGTAGAGATTCGATATGAAAGCAGAGCTATGAGGCCATGGAAAGTCGCAGTGACAAGGGATGTGAGGGTCGCATGCACATGGGATTGACAGAAGCTTGGACCAGGTCCCTCCAGGTTATCTCCGATAAGTGCCGAGGTCCGCCACTTTCACAATTCGATTGTTCTGCGCACAAATGAATGATGTTGCGACGAGCACAAGTACATTGTCAATGGCGAAGACGAGATAATGGCGATGATGATTATGATGATGATGACGAAGAAGGTGAAAGGTTGCGTGTCGGTGAGGTGTAAGCAGAGAAAAGAAAAGGTGAAGGAGTTGGGCAGCAAATGGAAGGGACAGGCGAGGCCTCTGCGGATGCGAGATATGCCGACTCGGGTCCAACAAGCAGATAAAGTACTCGCTGGCGGGCCACCGTGGGGCTGGGTGTGGCACTTTCATCTTTCTCGGCGACCAACGGCGATCTTTCAATTAGCGAGGGCGCTAAGTACGCCCGGGGAGTCCGTGATAAGGCAGGGCTAGCTTTGGGGGATTGGGGGATTGGGGGCTTTTAAGCCTCAATTGACTTTCCTGTGTGGGGGGTGGCCGCGCGGGCTATGGGCGATGGCACGAATACTGATATCAATATCACTTCCATGAAACCTCCAACAATCTATCCGCCTGGAAATAACCTACCTAGTCATTGTGATTATACCGATTCCGTGGCCCATTTTCGCCACTTGTACAGTTTTCGCTCGATGAATGTAGTATCCACATCACAGGGAGTGCTCGTCTCTGTGGTAGTTGGTGGGCGAGAAGCTAGATCTCGTCCCTCGTTAGGCGAACAGTCTCGTGAGCTGGAGGTCTCGAGGAGCTCGTCCGAGCCGTATACCGATTCTTTTGTGGGTCCTAATAGCTCGGAAGGTGATCTTGTTGGTGCAGTCGTTTTGCCGTATACGCTCTCCAGCCAATCTTCAACCATCACTTCCCTCGTGATACTGGGTAAGCGTGCTAGTTCAAGGATGGTAAATTTGTCGAGTCGAGCAGGCTCTGCACATAGTGATGGGCAACCTGCCTTTGTGTTGTCTCGTCTGGAGGTTGTGGTTTCCATTATGTATTTTTATAATAGGGTTCATGTGGTCATCAGATAGCCTGGTGTACTGGACACTGTGCTTACATGCTCTGACTGTCTTGTCTTGTAGTGTCTTTGAAGATACAGCTTCACCAGCTTTAGTCTTTGGTGATCGCTTAGTCGTCAACAAAGCCGGACTTTTCCTTCCATCAGCGGCAAATATCATGTATTGATTTTCTGTGCATGTCGTTGATCACACCGTCTAAATAGGCCATAGATTGGCGTTCTCTAGGCAGTACGATCAATCATCCAAAAGTCCCACAGTCCATTCTGGTATTTGGTCGACACCTTCACCCCGGATAGCACTAACAGGTATCGCAGCCAATCTGCCCTTCCATACATTTTTCCTTTTGCTTGGGTGGTCCACTGTACCACTCGCCAGAGCCGTGAGGTAAGCTTGCAGTTTCGCAAAATTTGCTTGAGTGCCTTCAAGATCTGCCTTGGTTGCCACGACAAACCAAGGCTTCGATGATATTGGTGCCATTGGCAGAGCTGTTAGCGATTTCGACCCAGAGGGTTCGATGATTATGTTTTCATCATTCCTTGCTACTGTACCATCATGAGCAGATGCAGAAGAGGTGGATCTGCTGAAAGCTTTCCACTCGACAACCCGCGATTCCGTTTGCATGTTGGTCTCCATACCTCTCAGTGTCTCAAATTCGCCAAGCTCCTTCCAGAGATCATTCAACGCCTCGACAACATCACCAGCGCTGAGGTCAACCACAAATGCGAGCACTTGAGCTCTTTCGACATGACGAAGGAAGCCAAGGCCGAGCCCCTTGTCCAAGTGAGCATTCGGTATCAGTCCCGGGATATCGGCGACAGATATTTGAGTCCTTGGTTCTCCACTAGCTCTGTTGACTTGTACTTGAGGCCTCCCACGACTATTGTCCAGGACCATGGTTCCAATGTTAGGCTGCAGGGTCGTGAAAGCCCAATCTCCAACCCTCGCCCTGCTTCGGCTGAGAGCTCGAAGCAGAGTACTTTTGCCGGCGTTTGGCATTCCCACGAAGCCCACGTCAGCGAGGAGCTTGAGCTCCAGCTCTAACGTCACTGACATGCCCTCCTCACCTCTCGTTGCAAACTTAGGGCGTCGATCTGAACTCGATACAAAGTGCGGGTTCCCCAGACCTCCCATAGCCCCTGCAGCAAGCAGCATCGGTTTCTCCATTGGCTCAGATAGATCCAGCTCTATAGGCGGTTCAGGTTGAGCCATCATCAAATTTGACCTCCTTGGCCTTGGAAGGGGAGGGAACTCCGCAGTCGCGTACTCAGATGGCGTGGACGCTGGATAGAGGACCCATTTATCCCTCCTCCAGGTTCCCCTTGTCTCTCCCTCGACAAGTTCGCTCCCTTCTTCCAGCCTCCTATTCTCCTCCTCCTCGGCAATAGGATCATGCCTGCTCACCTCCCTCACGAAGGTCCCCACAGGTACCTGCACTAGCACATCTTCTCCTCTTGTGCCCCCTTTGCTTTTCCCTTGGCCATTCTTCCCTCGTCCTGCTCGTATTATACTGCGTCGAGCAAGCTTGTGTAGACTTGTTTCTCCCCGTACCGCTTGGATATAAATGCTGCCTCCACTACCACCATCGCCGCCATTAGCAGGCCCAGCATCAATGAACTTTTCCCGGAGGAATGATATACAGCCGTGGCCACCAGAGCCGGCCGACAACGTCACGGTAGCCTTATCAGCGAATATTGTGCGGCCGTAGTCTGTGGGTGAGGGGTTGAGGTGTGAGATTTGAGAGAGTGTGTCTGTTTGCGGCTGCTCTAGGGATGCTGATTCTGTAGACTGAAGCCGTCTGGGATAAAGGCTTAGAGAAAGCAAGTTTAGAGGTCTGTGAAGCCGGAGAAGTGTAGATTCCAAACAAGGATGGAGGAATGGAAGAAGGGGGCCTTGGAGACGAGCCATTTGTGAATTGTTTTGGGTGTCACCTCAGCATAGCATGCATTGCACATGTGTGTCTCCAGAATGTTTTAATAATTGTCAGTCATATTTACCGCAGGATTTGGAAGTCAACTCATAAAGTAGACACTATCTCGAAGTCTCCGAGAGATCTACAAGAAATCCTGCGGCAGAGGAGCGAAGCTTTCTTAAGTCTCTCTCGATGATGATATGACCTCCCTGCATCAGCTTCCATGGCATCACAACATCCAGCAACATGCGCTGCTCGAGTAGTAAGTGCACATAATCGATATTAGAAGCCTTTAGTCAGATCTGAATGTCTACAGCGCGAGTCTTAAGCAAGCATGTCCAGAAGGGATCTATTTGAGTCTGAAGCCCGGAGCTTCAACGCAGTGGTCTGGCGTACTCTTCGTTCGCAAAGGTACAAGGCATATCAGATCCAGTGTTAAGAGCCTTCCCATTGGAAAACCGGCTGACCCATTTCAGGCCCTTATGCGCCAGCAATCCTACGCTTCCTGGTCTCCTTCCCCCCCGACTATCCTACCCTACCCCCCGTTATCACCTTCATTAGCGACATCTTCCATCCTCTGGTCGCGCCATTGACTACCTACACATACACGACTGGATCTTCGAGCTCAGAGACTGTCAGCGCCACTGATGAAGAGCGACTTCCCCCGGGCGGCTTTAGCCTGAGGCATGGATTTCCACATTGGTTTGGGAGGTCGCAGAAGAGCGCTAAGTTTTCAGCAACGAGCTCGAGAAACGTGAGCGATGCGCACCCAGGCGCTGCAAACCAGCGTGAAGACGTGTATAAGCCACCTCCGCCGGAAGATTTGAGTTCTAGAGAGTCCTCTCCAAGATCTGCAACATTTCGCATGAGCCATGTTCGAACACGACCAAGACGTTCAATCCAGCCTAGCCAGCAGACAAAGATCACCGAGGTTTTGGAGTACATGAAAAGCGCTTTTGACGATGAGATCGCGTTGGACACACTGCCATTGGAGGCTGCCGGAAACTCGGGTGCTTGGAAAGCATGGCGGGCGTACCGTAGGAGCAATGAGGCAGACAGCAAACTTGTCGACTCGGCGCCGAGCTTGCACAAGCAAGATGAATGGAGCTGGGATGGGGTCTGGGAAGAAAGAGTTCGAAAGGGCGTAGACGCAAGCATTGCAGAGTCTACACTCTACGGGGGTACTAGCGGAGGAGATGATCTGGTAAGCTTCCTGCGTTCGCTACCGATTTCTCACACTATCTGATTTCGTGTTTCAGATCCGATTCGTCGATGTAGGCAATGATTTGACTGAAGCAGTCAGAGCAGGAGTGGTTAGTCATGTGGGCGGCTCGTAGTGGCCTGTGGGATTCGCACTGGAATCCATGTATTCTGAATGCCTTCTTTGTTAGAGGAGGGCCATCTTGCAAACTCTCTAGGTGCGGTGCACTTACCGCAAACCATATCGTGAAATCGTTGCTCCTTCCTCGAACTCGGACGACCTCTTCTCAGTGAGAATGGACTCTTCTGAACCAACGACATCAATACCCTCTCAACATTATAGCATTCAGATAGCAGCTCTACGTGCAGTTAAGTGTAAAGCTATTGTCTACGAATTCTATGAAGGGTGTCAACAAAAGCTCTTGGGCTCCGGCTCCTATTGTTGCGCTGACTATTGTCCCAATCTTGATACTCGCCTTGGTGACATACACCGCAATTAAGTGTACCACCTGGGCCCCAGCACTGCGGTTGAGATTTGGGACCTGGCCGTTTCCTTGGGCAAAGCCCAGCTTCATCTTAGGGCACAAGAGGAACACATCCGATTCTACCGGAGAAGGTATTGGGAGTTGACCTTCGAGAGTTCGTTGGTCACGAATTTGACAAGCAAAGTGGGGTGTTGACCATCTCTTTGTTTGCCACAAGTCACCATGTCTATTGCCACTGAGCTGTTAAAAAGTTCCCTAGCCAATGGCGGCTTTGGGGATCCGGATCTCACACCCAAACCATTACGAATTTCTAAGCGAGACCATACTGAAACATCGACTGCCGGCACCGTTAACACCTCGCTCTCCATACGTAAATCGCAAACACATCGCAACTTGCAGGCGCTTGCGCCAAGCAAGAGATCCTCAATCCGTGTCAATAGCACGCAGCTGGACCTGTCCCTACAGAATCCCGCTGCGCCAACCTCACAATGGGCCCGCCGAAACACCTTCCTTCACGTGCATAAGCAGCGTCATTCTGAGCCGATCAACACGAATACGGCCGCTCTCACCGCGACATCCAAGGAGCCGATTGGCTTCTCGCCTTTCAATCCTCCTGCAAGATCCCGCGACTCATGCCCTACAATGGGCCAACCGGGAAGCAGCTCCGATGCAAGCACAGCCATTGGTGCAGTCAGACCAGCCTCTGCACGAGCGTTCACTACCGGGACTTACAGAAGGCCAAATCCATTGAGTCCGGTCCATGAGGTTTCATCGTCACCTTCAATACCATCAGCACCGCGAGGGGGTCAACGAAGAGCCGTGACTAACGTGGAGGCGTTCCACAAAGATCTGGACGCCTCTAAATCCCGCCCACATCACGGCTTAGGGAAGCAAAGTTCTATTAAGAATAGTCTAATGTCTCGAATGATGAGCGGTTTGGCGAACAGAACTCATGCCGGCCATGCAGTGTCGCGAGGTGGAAAAGATGCTACGCAGATCCCCCAGGACTCTTTCCCGGCTACTGAATCTCGAGCTCGCGAAGATACGTACGCTTCACGGCAAAGCAGTTCAAGTACGGGGACAGATACGTACTGCGCGTACTGCGGAAGCGACCACGACGATACCCCGGCGGGTTTCCCGGTCCCACCAATGTCTAAAGCTACGTCTCCCACGACCGCTGGGTCACTCAGCTCCTGTAACTCATCCAGGTCGATAAGATACAGAGAGCTCTGCACGCCCGCCAATGCTGTCCTGATGGGTGCTGAGCTCACGTTGACCCCAGAATACGACCAGTTGAGCACTGAGAAGGGCCGAAGCATGTTTGTGTCACTCGACATCAAGGGCACCACGAACTCAACATCCAGCGTACAAGATGTCTGGTCACAGCATACGGGCCTCGATGTAGTTGTGGTCATTGATAACTCGTGAGTCTCGCTATATTATCCCAAAGCCCAGACGCTTATCAGGGCCCCAGGCTCTATACCTCCCCGGCCGTACTAATGGCAAGTTGTGAGACTGCAAGATTCTTGGCGTCAATCTTGAATGTGATAACCGATAGATTGGCGATCATTTGTACATCAACCATGGACACGAGTGGCGCCAACTCCAGGGTTGTCAGGGATTTGGATAAAGTAGAGATGCCCATGATAAAAGATGCTCTGGATGCCATCACGAGCTCAATTGAGAAGCCAAATACAGAAGCCTGGACCGATACTATTGACTGCGCAAAAGAACTCCTACTGAAATCCGCAGAGCCAGACCCAGATGAAGAGCTACTTCAGGACACCTTCGGACATATCTTCCTTCTCACCCCAGATACTGATAGGCTTCCTTCCAAGTCACTGGCGCACGAGAAGCTGACGTTCCACATCATCAGTCCTGCAGGCGCCCCGAAGAATGATCAGTCCTCCATTCACTGCAATGGATGGAAAATGCGCTCGTTATCTGGGAACGACACACAAGTCGTGAGCGCAAAGAAGGATCTTGACCCAACCAGTGTGTCGAACCGACTTCGAGTTCTAATCCCTCAAGCTCGCAGTGGAAAGTTCTTGGGAAATCTGACCGAGCTTGTCCTGGAGGTTTCCGCGGGCCCAGATTGTGTCATTGAGGGCGTCATAGGCAAAGTCAAGTTCACCAAGCTACACCCTGGTGAAGTCTTTACGGTACTGTTCAAGCTCAGAGTTCCTGCTGCAAGGGTACAGGAGTACGCTGTATCTCGTACTCCAACACGGTCATCAGAGGCGTTACCGAATACTCAAGATATCCTGAGTCAGCTGGACAGGATGCTGGGGACTACAGACGCAAAGATACTCTGTGCGACACTCACGTACAAAAACTCGTTGCTTCCAGCAGGCACTACGTGCTCCGTCACGACCGTGTGCCACACGAAGAAGGGCCTTCCAGATCTTGATCAAAAGCCAAGCCCTTCGAAATTCAGGTTGCTTCAGGCCAGAGATTGTACCGTCTTGGTGCATAAGCGCCTCGCATACCATCTGGCCACTCATGGATCACCCAGAAACGCTTTCAAAACTCTACACAGCGAGTTCGGTGATAGATTTCAGCTCTCGCTCTGCCCAGACTACATCAATCTTCTCGCCAAAGAGCTCAAATACCAGGCCAGGATCGTGGAGCGCCTGGAGATCGGGGTGTCGCCTAAGAAGTCTTCCGCCGTCCACGCTGCCAGCAGCCCTTCTGAAAACCGCGGCCAAAGCTCCTTTGGTGCTGAACTACACAAGCCCCAGCATTGTGCCACCAGTGACATTCCAACCGAGGAGCTTTTCAAAGTGGAGCCAGCTCTAGCCGTCCTGTCCCTCAAAGAGTCAAGAGAGCATCTGCGCACAGACGAGGCGCGGAGAATATGGGGCGACCTGAGGAAGATGAAGAGACCGCCTGACCAGACTGTGAGGGGTCGATCGGTAAGCTCGCAGTTAGATGAGGCCAGGAAAAAGGGTATCAAGGAACTCGCTGTCAAGAACAAGAGGAGTCTGGGATCTGATACTCTCAGGAGTATCTTCTCGGCTGGGGAGAGCATGGGAAAGGGGCTTGGTTCACCTTGGATGTGAGGTCTGCTGGGGATCAGGATTCGTAGGTGGTGGAGAGGCTTGCGGGGGGCTGGCATCATGGATGGCGTTGCTTCAGTGAGCTTTGCTGGCTTCTGACAATTCGTGTCTCTGCTTTTGCTTGCTTCGGTCGCTATTCTTCGGGTAGTATGTTTTCAGCCAGGCACTTGCCTAGTTGCATTAAGTATTTATCTAGATCCCGTACTCGAAAGCCATTCTCAATTCGCGCTTCGTAAAGCCGTGAAAAAGTTCCCGGGGATTCAGGTACGCCTCCAGCTCCCCAACCAAACATTTATCATGGCCCCATGAACTCCCTGACATCCCAAACACAAAGCCTCTCATCCCAACCCGTGCTAGCCACCCACCCTTCACTCCCGAATAAGCACCAATCCACCCCACACACGAACTCCGTATGCCGGCACATCCTTCCCAACTCCCTGCCTTGCTCACCACCAAAACCCTCTGAGCCGGCATGAGGTGGCTCTGCTTTGGCACTCCCATCTGTCCATATCCGACATGTCATATCGTAGCTCGCGCTGAGCAATGTGTCCGAGAGATGCGGACTCCACGACACCCTCCTGACCGCATAATCGTGCCCAGGAAGTATCACCAGCGGTCCCTGCCCCGGCGCCCTGATATCGAACGTCCGTATTAACCTGTCAACCCCTGCCGTCGCCACGATTGAGGAGCGATATTTGTTCCAGTCATGCGTGAGCGCTTCATTTGGAGGGAATTGCCCGGCTGGGCCGGATGGCTGGGTTGCGGATATCTGGGTAGGCGCTTGGGCTGAATGGATGGGGATTGTGAGGGCGAGGTGGTTGGAGGCGGAAGCGGGGGTGCGGAGGTCGAAGAGGCGGAAGTGCGAGTCGCTGGAGACGGAGGAGAGGAGGGAGGGTGAGTGCGGGGAGAAGGAGGCGGAGTAGGTGCATGAGTGGATGGGGAGGGTGAGGAGGGAGGTTGGGCGGGTTGGGTTCCACTGTGAAACTATTAGAATCGTAGGGACCGGCGACGTTGGTAGCAAGGGATAGCGTACCACTCTAATAGTACCATCCCAGGAGCTCGAGCAAAATGTATCCTTGGACACTAGGTTCCAATGCACAGCAAAGACCTCTCTCATGTGCTCTTTCCAGGACTGAACGGGGAATTCATCGATACCGATGTCGAAGAGCTTGACGGAACCATCGCCTGCAGCGACTAGGACTTGGTTCTCGTGCGTTTCGGACCAGGCGAGGTCGAAGAGGGAGTCTTGCGTGTCGAACCTTAGCACTTTGTGAGCTTTAAGGTGGATGAAGAGAGACTACCTGTACGAAGGATTGGTGGGAGATGGATAGCTACCATTTCTCAGCAATAATGCCCTTAGGCGTCAATCCCAGGACATAGAGGCGTCCATTTCCTACCAGACCAAAGTGCTGGGAGGATGCTACTGCGATTCGAGAGTCAAGGAATGGAGAGTATTTTACAGCGTAGCCATTGAAGCCTTGAGTACGGTATTCGAGCATGGCTGATTATGAGGGAATGCTTGCATATGTACATAATGAAAAAGGATGGTGTCTCATTTGGATCTGTATAGAGATTGTGGAGACATTGAGGGCATGAATAGCAAGCACCAAAGCATTGCAATCATCCACTAGCGGTAAAAGCTCGGCGAAGAAGCACAAATGCCGACACTCCGTCCTCGCTTAGGTAGGTAGCAATGCCACACAGCCTTTCTCATGTCCTTTCCATCCGCCATATCACTCGCATCCTTCGTTTTGCAACACCATGATCCTCCTGCTATCCGCTCACTGTATCAATCACCAGACCTCAAGGCCCATGTCTCTTGTCTTCCTGGCCGCATGGTTAGGCTCATGGTCTCTACTATAAGTTAGCATCCAGGTGAGTTGCAATCTTCCTTACGTCCTTACCTTTTGCATAAGGCTTTCCGGAATCTTATCGACGTCGATGCTCTCGTGATCAAACCAGTAAGCACCAGTCAAGTTTCCGTTCTCGTCCACACAGCCAGGAAAGTGTGTGTAGATGGCACGATGGTCGCGGAAAGCTTCATTGCAATTGATGCAACGAAGGTGGTAACCGCTCTTGTCCCGATTGCTCGTACGAGGGACCCGAATTAGCCATATGTCAGGTGCTGCGACAACTTTGCCGCAGCAGCGTGTAAGTACAGGCATAACTGTACCGTCATCCGCCAACGGAGGAGACCCGTTGCTGTTCCCTGGATTTGGAGCACCGTGGCCTCGCCCGATGCTTGTGGGATGAACAGCGCTTGGGAGATTTCCAGCGCTACTCCTTGAATGGACAAATGTGGGCCTGACCCCTCTCGTCATGAGATCGAGGACGTCTCGATCCATGTTCTCATAACCTCGTCCGATATCGTCGATCGATGTCGACATCCTATCCCAAGCCTCTCCCCTGAGGCTCAGCTCGTCAGCGACTTCCCTGACTCCTGTCAGGATCGACCGCCGAGCGTTTCTCTGGTCCTCAAGCAACGCTTTCCAGCGGTCGTTGAGGGCTAAAAGCTCTGCGGTCGGCTTTCGACCCAGTGAGCTACTGTTGTTGCGGTTTCGTGCGGGAACATTCCCGCCTGAAGGCCCTGTACAACGTCAGAATATAATAGGATGAGCGTGAAATGAGGGTAGTGTACCAGAAGATTGCCTTTGTCCTTGATCTCCCCGCCGTGGGGCGATATCTCCATGTAGATATTCACGGATCGAGGGTAGTGTACCAGACGATCGCACATTGACTTGCTCTCCGACCTGTGAAACGCCACCTCTGTTCCAGTGTTGGTGAGTCGAAGGTGTGACATTCGAAGGAGGCCTGCTTCCTTGGTCTCCACCCTGTCGACCGGCGCCTCTCTGCGGATTGAGATGAAATGGGGCTAATGTATTGGAAGGCCGCATGTTGCTTTCATCTGCAGCATGCGTACTGGTGCCACTATACCACTGTTGGTGACTCGGAGGTATCGTATCCGAAGGAGGCCTGTTCCCTTGGTCTCCACCTTGTCGACCGTCGCCTCTCTGCGGGTTGTGATGAATTGGGGCTAATGTATTGGAAGGCCGCATGTTGCTTTCATCTGCAACCTGCGCAACGGTGCCACTATACCACTGTTGGTGACTCGGAGGTACGGTACCTAGAGGACGCCTGGTTCCAAGTCCTCCAGCCTGTGGAGCGCGACCTCCGTGCGGATATTGATCTACCCAGAATGTGTCAACAACAGCCTACGAAGCTGCGGAGGTGCATCTCTATACCTCTCCTATGTCCTTCCATGTCTGATGAAGAGCTCGCTGTGTAGTTTTCGAATGCTGATTTTGATGTTGTCGAAGCAAAATGTGCAGAATTTGGAGCTGAGGTGAGGCGAGCTTCGTTTGTGGATCTACCTCGCTTAAGGCCGGTATCATGCCGGGTTGCCGGAGACCCTACAAGATTCACTACGCTGTTTTCTCCTTGATCGTCGATCTCTCGTGTCCGTCACTGCCTGCTTTTGGGGTCAAATACTACCTTAGTACGACGAAGGAAAAGATTGTGGAGCCCGCTCTCCGGTTGGCGAGGTCCAGGGTGTTGGGCCTGAATTGGGAGTTGTACGTGGAACAAGGCCAGGCGGTCAAGGTCTACAAGGTCCAGAAAAGGTACTCGTGGGGCCAGCTTGACGTTGAAACAGTCTAACTGCCTAGGCTTCTTGAAACGTACCAGGAAGAAGCGTGAAAGATAGACGTACAATGAGAGCTCGATTCCCTGTGCTGAAGCCTGTCGAAGATCGAAAGATTTACCGGTTCGTGGAGGGTACGGAGAAAAGGCCTAGGCAACAGAATTTGGACAGGATCGAATTCTACATACCAGGGCAGCTTTCGTGTCAAGACAGCAGAATATCATGGGATTCTCGTGAAAGGAGAGCGTTTGATCGGGTTTTCCGTGGCGTGGTTACAAGCAAGTTCGGGAATATGACCCTCCGTCAGAGTGTGTTGGAGAAAATAGGCCATAGGTACCGACGTTGATGTTGAGTATAGAGATCACACTGGCTACCAAGTTCCTGTTGACCATCTTCGTTTCTCCAATAGCATGCCACTCTTGATGCTCGCCATCCAGATGCTCTCGTAGAAAGCGGACAACTTCCTCCCCATGCTCGAAAGGATATCCGGCGCGTCGCCAATCATAGACAGGTTGTGGGGCTTCCGGCACGACTTCACGGTCAGCGGCCATTCCGAATGCCTATGCGCCGGCGGCGGCGGGGATTCTCCAGACGATGCGATTATCTTCATGAATGTGCAAAACGTGGTCAACGGCATATTGTAAAAAACCCTCGGCTTCATCCAACGGATCTCCCTCGTCCCTACAGTTGCAAGTCCTCCACTTGGCACCACACATGTAGCAGAATTCGGCGCCGCAAGTGCATCTGGAAGATCCGGTCAGAAGTCGTAGCCTTACCATTTCTCCGTGAAAGAGTCAACTTACGTGATGTGGTCGCAGCCATTAATCCGCTCAATCATCCTCTTGCACTCTTGGCATTGTTGAAAGCCCGCCTCAGCCGCGGCTGTCATAAGAGACTGAGCGGCCGGGTCCTCGAGGCAGCCACCCTCATGAACTTCTTCTTTGCACACGATGCACGTCAACTTTTGACAAGCAGGGCATTTTGCTTGGCCGTCATCAACTGCCTTTGGTGAAATGAAGGTTACACACTCAGGATCGGAGCAGTAGGTTCGATTTGTCGTTGAATATTCCTCGGATTTCTTCTGGAACTTGTCGTAGATATCCGAAGATAGGAATGATTCAGCGTTTGCAAGTGTGATGATTTGGCCGCAGCATTTTGGCGGGAAATTGAACTCATGCTTTGCGGCACGATCGAAGACCTCATTGACGCATCCGCCGCAGTAGAGTTCACCACATGGTGCTGTCATGACGTTGGAGTCTACCTCCTGGTTTCTACACACCACGCACTCCATCGTTCGGAGGAAGTCCACTTCCCGCCGGACAGTCTCGCGAATCCCTTGAGCACTGGCTTCACCGAACACAGGCGTCGCAGGAATTAAGATCATCATCGCGTCATCCATGTCGGCCATTTGATGAGGGCTCACGTAGAGGTGGCTGGGGGAATAGAGGCGTCCGGAAAGCAGGCTGAAGTGGGACGATGGGAAGGAGGGCACTGCCGGATGGAAGAAGAGCCCGAGAAACGATACCCGAAGTAGGTAGAACACCCCAGAAGTGCAATGTTGAGTTGACGAGGTGTATGTTGAAGCGCTGGTGGTGCGGAAGATGATCAACACAGCCATTGTTTTTGGATGGACGAGACCGAAAATGGACCAACGGTAGGGCTGATCGGAAGTGACGCTACCACCATTGCCATCCCTACTCCTTCGACTCCCATCTTCCGATTCGTGGGTAGAGAACCATGAACAGATTGCCATTCCAGGGACTTTTTCCAGTGTCGACGGTCAAAGTATAAGACCTTTCACAGGATTGTGAGTGAAGACTCTCCTAGGCGGAGAACTTGCGGCCGAAGGGAAAGCCAAGGATCCAAGAAGACAACACTCCATCTTTCCAGAACTTTGAGCTTCTTTCCTTTCTGCTATAGGGTTCTCCCAAACGCAAGTGAAAGTTTTGAACAACACTGAAAGAAGAACAGGCAAAACAAGGGAGAACTCATGCTCTGTAGCACGCCAGCAGCGCCCATGGACTTTCTGGCAACTCATAGTGGCATATATATGATATTTAGGAGCTCCCGACTTGGTTTGATATCCTACGTCGGGGTTATTACTTTACTAGAATTTTACAAGACATCGATGAACTTAATGAAAGTATCCTAATAGCCGCGGGACGCTTTTGCCGCGTTGGTGTCAACTCTATTCGCCACCCAGGGCTTGAGCTGTCTCCTAAGATGCAAGTCGAGATACACACAGAGGCTTCCCTTGTTTTACCCAGCGTGTATTAGGCCTGGCCTTTGTTACTGAAATTTTCCGCCAGACAGAAGTTCACAGGTACTGTCTTTATAGCTTTTTGATTGTCCTCTTTCCTCTTAGAAACATGCGCTATTCGAGGAGTGCGATGTAATCCAAATTACTTTGATCTCACGAGAGACCGCAGGGGTCTATATTGGCCCTCGAAATCTAGAATCTATCAGAGCAGTTAAGACAATAAAGTTAAGTTCGCCAATCTTGACTCCCTGTTTCCAAGAATAGATGAAGCAATATTGCCCAGTTTTCTCACTCCAACAGACGAATTGTACAACTTCTACTGCCTGCTCAACTGCACCGCAGTGCTTGGTGGGTCGTTCGCTTAGGACAGGGGCTTGAGCTGTACGATCGATCGTCTGTCGTGCTCGTAGGATCGGTTACCTCTCAAGCCCGACCAGCGGCCCGCTGCACGTTTGAACATGATACCTTGTTTCATAGCCTTCTCGGTCTATGATGTCCATCATTCCTGCAAGTAAACGTCATACTTAGAAAGCAGGTTGCGATCCTATATCCTGGGAGAAAGTCAGACTCAGGGGTAATTGCCAAGGCGCCCATGAATTTTACATGGAGGTTACTTGTATATGGGATATATTCTATTGTAGCCCAGGGTCCGTTTTCTCTGGTCCAACCGCAAACACTCCTAGAAGAGCAAACATTCAAGGAAGCCAAAAAGTGTCAACCACAGTACTTCCATTTTCAACGGCAGTGTCATCCAGCATTGTACTGTAGCATAATGCACAAAATTGGGAAGAAGCTTTTGTTTCTCAAGTTGTGCCCCTAAGCCTTCGATGTGTCCAAGCCCGGATCCAATCTCTCCCACTCGGCCCGTATTCGATTCCCCAAATCCGTTGCCGTCATTCGCATTTCTGCCCCTCCCGCCAGCTGAACACATCGACCACCAATCCATCTTCCACCTCTTTCCAGGCCCCCCGATCTACGAGCAATACGCATCCACGTTTACAAACCCCACGTTTGTGTTAACTTGATCAGGATCACACGTGGCATAGTCTCCATACAGCGTCCCTGGTGGATTCGACGCCGGCTTGCACTTCAGCGCCGGCGCACCGCCATCCGAGACCCCTGTGGGTACATATTCGGGACCACCTTGGTTAGGATTGGGTTTGCAGCCGGTGAACTGGATGCCTTGGTGACCTAGAATGGTGATGGGGCCTTCCTTGCAGTAGTTGCCCGAGCAGAAGGCATCACCGAAAGTTGCGTTGCCGTCCGTGCAGGGGTTGCTGTCCGAGAAGAAGGCGATGCATTGGTATGGGCTGTCAGAGTGTCATTGAGTTGAGGAGTAACGTCGATAACAAAAGTATGAGAAGAGAGTTCTCTCCGATGATCTAAGAGGGTTTTGCAACTGGTAATTGGAACAAGAGGATTAACCTAGAAGATACGTACCCAGCAGAAGAGCCGACTGTTCCAAAGTAGATGGTTTGAAGAGCTGCGGCAATAGGAACAAGAGAGATAGCAACCAAAGATTGAAGGAAACTGGATCGCATCCTGACGAGTGTCGGTTTGATAGTTTCGTTGGTGGACCTCTTGGGAAGTTTCGTCCTTGCAGGTTGGGTAATAGAATAAGATAGAACAAGGAATCCGAATAAGCTAGAGAATCCGAATAAGCTGGAGCATCCAGCTATTTATGTACTCTCTCTGGCAATCCCCGTTTTATCGAATAATAATTCTAAAGCCAGAATGGGCAATCGTGGCGCATGGAAACGGTTGAAAAGGCTCGTAAGCTAAGCGTAATCAGGATAGAATAGGCGAATCGTGTGCCACAGAAGCTTCGGGGCAAGCCTCCCGGAAACTTTTCTATGCGACGTAGAACCACGCGCGCGCAGACATGTGACATTAGAGTCTTCACAAAAGCAACACGAGTTCTTCTAACATACTGTACTCATCTGTCACTTAAGCAACAGCCATACCCTTGCCACCACCGTCCAAAATACTGGTCCCATAGGAAAAGCTACTTACTTATTTACGTACCGTGGAACATTTTCAGTAACTCGTTAAACCAGTAACTCGTTAAACCAGTATGACAAACAAAATGCATCACTACCTGTACGAATTTGATAAAGTCAGGGCACGTAGTAACCGTACCTCGAAGTAGTTCTAATACCGAACAAATGATGAGACTTCTTGATCGCATTTTTTACGGCCTCGAGACGCCGATGAAGATCCTAATTAGTAGTGTCGCATTGTGGTCGAAAGGCATTTCACGGTAGCTGGATCGAGCTAGCCATCCGAGCTCTGTTTGGAGCACATTAGCATACACGAAAAATATATATATGCCTTTCCTTGAGCTGTAACCCCCGTGAGGAATCAATCATCTTCTTTCTTCCGCCGAGGACATCTCATCTTTCTCTCTGCTTATACATTGCCCACGAAGTCATCAACTTCGATCATCAGTCTCAGCATCTGAGGCCATGTCATCCGATGTAGCTCCTCCCTATAACGGTTCTCCTCTCAAACATCCCAACAACCCCTGTTGTTACGAGGAAACCTTCAGCCCAGACAGACACAATGGTCCTGATTGTAATGGCCCCCAGACCGACCCCACGGACACGGAAGTGCTTGCCGAGGCACCACAGCACGCACAGCACAATCCGCCAAACGAAGAATCCGATCACCACGAGCAGGCAGCGCTCGACGAATCGCTCTCATGGATCGCCAATACTAATCGACAAAAGCATGCGGGCGTCCACGCGCCGCTGGCAGTAAGCAAGAAAACCCCGTTCACAACTGCAAGACCTCACATCCAGAGCAGGTGCCAGTCGTGATACCGCAAACAGCACCGGGAATGCAATCTTCGTTTAGTCGCGCCTGGGCTCCGGTATTAGCAGAACATGACGTTCGACCCGAAGACTTTCTGCAATTCATGGATCATTTGAATGTATGCAAGGCCGCATCGCCGCCTTTCCAAGTCCTCAATCTCGCCGGGACTGTCTTGGGCTGCACGTTCGTCTTGCCCCGTCCATGTTCGTGTTTAATCGCGAATCAATCCTTGCCAGCAGACGTCACTGATCCTAATGTCGTTCGTTACAGCCCAATTCCCTTTGCCGGCCTGGTCGGCCTAGGCACATCAGTCGCCGCCGGCGCAGGCACCTACGCCACCGCCCGAATCCGAATAACTCGTTATCTCGAGCAGGCGAACCAGGAGTATTTTGCCCCAAGAGGACTGCTCGCGCGGATCGCCAAGCAGAATGTGCTCCCGCAGATCGTCGGACAGCCTGAAAACGCACCATTGCTAGCGCCACTACCTAGACATGCGAGTAAAAGCAATGGCTCAATCACCCCGCCTTCTCTCCGTGACAGGAGATTGCAAGCTTTGGGTTCGCACATAGCACGGATCGAATTCTGCGACCTGCCCACTCCGCAAGAGGAACACAACATGTTAGACAAGCTGTCCGCCAAAATGACGGCGCGTAAGACGAAGAAGCAAGAAGAAAAGGTAGTGAAAAATAGTATGAAGAGTCAAGAGGAGGAGTCTAAAAAGAAGGAAAAGCTGGTGAAGGAGGAGGCGAAGATTAGGCAAAAGATGGAGAAGGCGAGGTTCAAAGGGAGCAGAAACGAGGCGAAGATGGAGGGAAAAATGATGGAGGTGAGGGAGAAGTATGATGAAAAGGCTGGAGAGGGGGGAGAGAAGGAGATGAAGGCTGCGAAGAAATTTTTGTTCGTTGTTGTACAGAACGCGCAGGCGGCGGCTGCTGCAGACTCTTAGATAAGCTTCTTGGTAATCAGCATATGCAATTCTTGAAGGGAGTTTCTTGCCGTGGCTTAAGGCAATTCCACAGAGAACGGATCCGACTACTCCATGAGTCAAGCGTGCTCGAGGAGGTTTCTCCCGCTAGCGCGCGTGCCATTGGAACCGCAAAACGGCAGCTCTCTGAAACAAAGAAGGGGACACCCGAAGACATGCCTTTGCAATCATTCGATGTTTTGAGGTGCAGAAGAAAGGATGGGCGAGCTGAAAAATAGCAACTCTAAATATTCTTGCACTAAAGAGTGACTGCGTAAGCCCGGTCTGTTCTCCGTAGATAGTCTGGGAAGTGCATATCAATCGAAAAGGTAAGGACACGAGACAGGTATTCCCGCATATAGCGGGCCTGTAGACGGAATCGGAAGATGAGGAGAGAGGAATTTGACCACTCACATCGATATTCAAGGCCATCATGCAAGAAAGCAAGCGGAACAACCCCGACGACGCTGAGGCTCCGGACATGAGCTTCAGCTCCGACTGCGGATTCGTTTCATGCACAAATGTTGCAACTGACGCCCGAGGTGCAGAAACCCGCTGAGTTGGCTGCTGGGCAGCTCTTTCCCTCCCCATTCATCTTGGTCTCAATCCACAGTGCAGGTCACGATGTATGATAGTTCGCCGATGGGTTTGGTCCCGATGTTTTTGTCATGCATAGTCACCGCACAGCAGAGGCGACGTGCCAATTGGAGTGGTCGCATCATCTGGCCTTTAATTGGGTGGTGTCGGTAAACAAAGCTAGATATCCGGGCAGCTACCCCAGGGCAACTTTTCACACAAGAATTCTACACAACAACATCAGGCCCTACCCATCGGCCGCTAACTCGATTAGGTAGCAACACGGAGTTAGCGGGATTAGACGATAAATGTATTTAATACTCATGAGTCTGATCAACCAAGTGGTTATTAATTACGATGAAAATGACTAGATTTGATAGGTACATAGTAAGGCGGTCTTTGCTTTTGATTTTGGTAGGGCAAATAATAAAAACCTTTTTGGTCACTACGATTCGGCGGCAAGGCTGATCCTGGCTCAAGCGAAGAAAACATTACCCGTCAGTCGACAACAGTATTCTAGCGTACCACCCGTTGTTTCTTCATTTGGACACCTGCTCAAGCCCCATGAATCCAAAACCCTCTACACAATGGAAGCCTTCATTTCCCGCAAAAGACCAAAGACTTCCCCGAACACATCAAAGACCCAAGGAAATCCATCTCCTCAAAGTAAACCCCTACCAAACGAAGACGAAGGGTCCACAGATCTCAAACTCGCCACTCTATCTTCCCTGTTCCCAACTGTAGACCAAGCAACCCTGCTCGACCTGCTCGTATCTGCAGACGGCTCCGTCGAGGCGGTCTTCGACTCTCTTTCTGGAAAGCCCGAGGTTGGATCCCCTCGCAAGAGACCTGCGGCAAGGGTTGGGTACCAGACTTCTCTGTCCGCGTTCCGGAGAGTTGGGAGTGCGGAGTCGGGGTCACCGTCTGCGAAGCGGAGGGTACTGACCAAGAAGGGACAGACGCTACATCTGTATACGCCAGAGGATATCGCTGCCCATACACCTTGCTCTATCATCCACAACTTCTTGCCTACTCAAGAAGCGGATAATCTGCTCAGAGAACTGCTTGAAGAAGCGCCTACTTTCGAAAGGCAGACCTTCAAATTGTTTGATAATGTGGTGCAGTCTCCACATTCTGCGTGCTTCTACGTTGATAGCTTGGAAGAGCGCGAGAGACAAAAGACCGAGTATCTATATAATGGCAGCTATCTAGAAGTATGTCTACGGTCCAGTTATCTCCAGAATATGGTTTGGGCCCCTGGCTGCTGCTAATAATGCCTATCATAGGACATTCGCCAGATCACACCCCAAATGCGAACCATTTCCAACAAAGTTCAGCCAGCTGTCAACGAAGAGATCACCAAACGCATCCGAACTAACTACCCAGACGGTAAGAAGCTCAAGTATCAATCACCCTACGAGTGGGTCCCGAACGCGGCGTTCGTCAACTGCTACCAAGGCGGAAGCGAAAGCGTGGGCTATCACTGCGATCAGCTGACCTACCTTGGACCGCGAGCCATCATTGGCAGCCTGAGTCTTGGGGTTGCTCGAGAATTTCGAGTACGGAAAATCGTAGCCCGGGATGACGAAGAGCCAGCAGCCTCCAAAGACCAGAGGGCAGACGCTGAAGGCCAGATCTCGATACACTTGCCGCACAACTCGCTTCTGGTGATGCATGCGGAGATGCAAGAGGAATGGAAGCATAGCATTCATCCTTCTTCTGTGATCGATCCTCATCCCATAGCGGGCAACAAACGAATCAACGTCACTTACAGATATTACCGCGAAAGCTTCCATCCCACGTATACACCAAGATGCAAATGCAACGTAGCGACAGTGTTACGTTGTGTTCAAAGAAAGAAGGAAAATAAGGGGAGGTACATGTGGATGTGCCACGCGGGCCTTACACCAGGCAAAGACGGGTGAGGGCTCCCTTTAATCCCAATAGCATAAATCATTCTGACCGAGTCGATCAGTTGCACCTTTTTCCAGTGGGCTGAGTTCGACGACGACGGAGAGCCCCCCTGGGCGAAGATTTAACGTGGATCTGGGATTCAAACCTAGCGATCCTATCTTTGCACTGTTCGGCCCGCTGTTGCCGTGGTTGGGTGCAAAACAATCGTCACAAACGGACTAACTCAGGGCCGAAGGCGGTTGTTTCCTGGGAAGGGTACCGGAAGGTAGTCCAGTCTCAATTCCACCAAAAGCTTACACTGAAGCTGACGGTCAGGCTCCGCACATAGTGCCACCATCCCACAGGGATATACAGGCATTCGCCCTCGTCCAGGATCGTCTCGACATACACCGCCCCTCGAAAGAGCGGAAATCCCTCATCAAGCACTCCTTCTTCTGCCTCAACATCGACTTCACTCGTATTGCTCATGTCGACCCCACCTCCCTCCATACCCTTCGGATAAAGCTTTTCACTCTCGCTCGGGCTATAGAGTCTTACATACTTCTTGCCCACAGCCTGAGACAAGATGTTGTGATAAGGGTCCGTATGCAATGGCGAGACTGTTCCAGCTGGCCCAAACCACGCATTCAGCAATGGCTCGTCCAACTTCGGCTGTAGCTCTTTGACACCCAGCGGTGTATCTGGAGCTGGTGGTGGAGGGTTAGTGTAGCAGTAGTCCGGGATAGAGATGTCGTTTCGCAGGGAGGGTACCTGAGTGAAGAGGTCGTGTTGAGCTAGATAGCCTATGCCATTGTCTCCGGCATTAGAAGAGTCTTGAAGAAGATATTCAGACATGAAGTCTTTAAATGTGATGATCGACTGGCCCCATTCTGCATCCGTGTAGCTTCGGCCGATCTCCACCGGTATCAGTCTCCTGCCTCCAAAGGTTTTCTTCATGAGGTATGCCGGGCTGCTCCAAGGCCGTTCGTGCAGTGCGGGCCAATGGTTTATGGCGCCTTGGATGACCAGAGGGAGACCGGTGTTCAAATGCTTCTCGAAAGCTTCCATGGATAGAACAGCTCGGATGGGTATCTGCTTCCGGATCTCGGGTACATTGTTCCCCTCCGTAGAAAATCTATCCCCCTCCACTCTCCGCTTCTTCCTTGGTGGCCCACGATCTTTCTCTTCAACATAGATTTGTAAAGCAGACAGCAGCTCCTCGATCATCTCTTCCCTCTCTGGCGCCCCAGCCATTATGACAGCCATATCAAGCAACCTGACAACTTCCTGTACCCAATCTTCCCTTTCTCCTCGCCCGTTCACAACATTATTCCGATCCGCATCTTCAATACTTCCCGCTCTCTCAATCGCTTCGACCCCATGCTTCACGACCCGTATCGCCTGTCCAATACTAGCATCCGTAAACAGCCTCCGCCAGCAGACGGGGACTTTGCTGAAAGGGTAGCTGTGTATCTTTGCATGAGCTAGCTGTATCAGCGCCGCGGGACGAGAAGGTAGTATTGAGCGCGTTGAGGGTGGGCAGTCGAAGATGGGGTCATTGGGGCAAGGCTGGTAGAGGGTTTCGAGTGTCCGGGCGAGGAGTTCTAGGAGAGGTGTGGGGAGCATTGAGTCTGCTTGCGGAGGTTGGAAAGTCTAAAATGGTCACATCATTTGGTCAAGCATGAAACTGTTGCCCCGGCCTCACCTGTTATCGAGGCGCAGTGAGGCTTGGCAGTCGGCAGTACGAGTACAGGTCTGCCGCGCCAAGCTGAGAGCCTCGGAGCTGCGGAAAAACCCTCTTCCTAGTTCCTACAACTAACGGGTGGGTTTCCAGCAAATGCACGCTTCTTCAGGCAGAGGCTCTCGAATGAACACACTTATGGCGTGCCAATCCCATTGCCTTGGGCAGAGATTATTGGTGCCCCCCGCCACCGATTTAAAGTGTCATTCGAAGGCAAGAATGTCATTGTCACAGGTGCGAACACCGGTCTAGGCTTTGAAGCTGCCGCCAAGTTCGTTGCTCTTGACGCGTCTCTGGTCATGTACTGAATGCTGGTGTCTACATGGTCGCGTTCGAAGAGTCCAAGTACGGCTGGGAAAAGACGCTTCAGGTCAACGTCTTGAACAATGCTCTCCTTGGCCTGCTTCACTTACCAAAATTGGAGGTTTCCAGGACAGGAACCGTCCTGCCAGTCCTGGAATTTGTATTCTCCAGAAATCACGAGAGGGTCAACCTCTCTGCTGAGCATCGTCGTGCAGATAATCTGCAGCAGTCCTACACCACTGTCCACGGCTACAGTCCCAGTCAGTAGTACGGAATCTCCAAACTCTTCGTCATGTACGTCATGCAGACGCTGGCATCTTTTGCCAAGTCCGCGGACGCCGCTTCCGGAAAGCCTGACGTCGTCGTCACCTCAGTTTGCCACGGCACATGTAAGTCCGACCTTAGTAGAGGGTATAATAGCTTCTTGATGAATGTTGTCAAAACCATAGCCTTCACGCTCTTTTTGAGGACTACAAAAGAAGGATCGAGATTTTTGGTCAGAGGATATCCATTGGGAGAAGAAGCGCATGGAATGTTCTGGCAGCACCATCAACTTAAGCCGTGAGCTGTGTATTGGGCTCTAGTATTAGAATTGCTCATTTGTTACTTAAGCCATCGCGCGCAGAGTTGAGGGCGAAGGTCTCGTCCGAGGTTGTCGAAGGGTTGAAGAAGGATCTGCCCTGGGTGACCGATGCTGTTGCTGAGCTCGAACCTCAATGGCAACGTTTCTGTTCAATCGAATGGCTGATTGGGCTTCATCCGGAGAAATCAATTGAATGTTGTGACGCTCAATTTTACCAAGTACCATTCGCAAAAGTCTTGGCGTCCAGGACATTGTGTGCCAACCTCTCGCACAGCCTAATCTGGGTCGCTTCCAACACCCCTCAGAAGTGGACCCATGGCACGTGTGACACTACACTGGAGGCTTATAATGAGCAGTTGGGTGATATTTTTCAGGTTTATGAGATAGCGTGGAAGGCAGCGGAGGCGGTGCAAGATTGTGTGCTGAGGAAATGTGGGACGAAGGGGAGTTCTGTATGGAATTTGTGAGGACGCCTTGAGCGGGCGGTGAGGCATTGCGTAATTGTGATGGGAGCGGTTGGACAGCTCGTGCTCTATACATCGAACCAATCTGCTGGAGTAACGGAAAGAGAAAAGAGCTGCGAATGGCTTCTGAATCAAGATTGCTACACATTTCCACTTCATCGAAAATTTCTGTTGACAGATAATCCAGGGAAGACTTGAGCACAAAAAATTAAGAACCAGTTGAGTTATAAGGGATCCTGTGGACACTCTCGTCTCAAAGAACGTTACTTTGATAGGGTCCGAGAATGGACTGGTCGCGCTCGACTACTGGCCATTAGATGTACCGAATCGTAACTGCTCAAGGCCCACGGTGTTTAGTTCCGCGTAGACTTTGCAAGTCCACGATTGGAGTCCAACCACGAATACCGATTCGCGAGCCTTTTCCACACCAATGCAACATATCTGACACTCCATGGAGACAATAGATGCATACAGGACCGCGAAGTGGAGCTCTGAGCCTATTAGTCCGCACGTTGCATTGGTGTGAGTTCAAGAAGCTGAGAGTGTGGTTGTATTAGTTTGGAATGATATAGAAGATTTTCACAGTGCCCAGGTGGTGATGCGCTAGGATATATATCGCATAGTGAGACACGCGGGTGGTTATTCGGTCTCGAGGACTTAGACAAGTGAGTGCCGAAGTCGCAATCATCAGGCCTATCAACCACCCACGACAGGTCTCGTTCTTGTTACATCAGTCCTGAAGGGAAGTTGATGCAGGTATTTTTCTTAGTGAGAATTTATTGAATTGATCAAAGACGGGGATCGAACGAGCACAAGAAAGAGTCCAGGCACGAGCTGACCTCTGAACGAGGATTAAGACTATATAAAAGGTCTGAAATGTTGGCAATTCGATCCAAAAGAGTTCTGCTATCAAATCGTCTTGGCATCACAACGTAATGTTTTAATCCGCCTCAGAATAAATACAATGCTCTCAGACCAGCCCAATAGCATTGTCGGGTAGGGCGAGATAACTATCGCAGCAATCTGTTTCGAAGTGCTGAGCGCAAAGCCCTTGTTACCTCACGAAAATCGGAAGTCAGTGGAAATCAATTGACATCGTTAATACTAAACGTCCTGGGGACACAACCTCTAGCTACATGATTGTGATGGTAGAAAATCCTATCACTTAATGCCGAAACAGAGAGACCAAATAGGCCAAAGGTTGTGTTCCAAGGCTGCCGGTTCCTGTTGCTCGAACGATTAGCAAAACTCACATGTAACTGGTGCTTCGGTGACGTACTGCGTAAGGCTCGCTGGGCCCGGAGCACTTTTCTCTATACATGGTATACGAAACCGTCGCCGGTGTACGCTTGAAAGAAGTATCCAGAAGTGTTCGTGATTTCCCCTCCTGTGGGTGGGTAAACGAAGATTCCCTCGCCTGCAGGTGGGTAAATGACGAATTCTAGTGAACCAGAGCTGAACACATTTATCCACAGTATGGTCATGGGCAGGAACTCGCTTTCCGCTGTGAGATTGAACGTGTGGTTTTGGGTGTACTGCCCTGCAATACTTTCCGTGATAGCGGCGTTCGCGTTCGTCCAAGCGGAATAGGCGTTTGAACCCGTCCAGAGAAAGCTGTAATCATCAGTCCCCGTATCACTCAAACTAACGCTGTATTCTCCTTGTGGTCCATAGAAGTATCCTTCCAACACTACAGCGTAGTTCGCCACATCCGTTTGGTTAATTTGGCCTGGAAATTGGTAGTAACCAGTCGAGTTGGTGTTGAAGTTGATTTCGTCTGGAAAAGCCCCCTGGATATTGATGTCGGAGGCGTTGTTGTTAAATCTCGACGCATCCGGCTGAGTGCCCCTATAAGCGTCTGCCGGGTCTTCAAACCCAAAGTATTGCATACCGGGGGTCGGCTGAACCACTAGGACTGTGACCTGGCCGTTGAAACCTGTGTTTGTGGCTGTATATACCGTAGTCGTAGCTGTGTACGAGGTCGTAGTTGTGGTCGCTGGTTCAATAATTTCGACCTCTTCTTGCCCGTCAGGGAGTATTGTACTACTGGTATAGGAACTAGATCCCGAAAATATGGTAGTTGTAAAAGGGGTTGGCTGCACGACTTCCTCAATCTCTGTCTGGCTTGCGGAATCCAACAATGTTGTATACAGCGATGACCCGGAGCTAATCACAGTCGTGATAGTGACCTGAGTGAATGATGAACTGGATGAGGATATCCCAGGGCTGGAAGACGGCACCGTTGCCGAGCTTTTAAAAGCTGAAGATGAAGATGCAGATCCGGACCCCGATCCCGACGACGAGGACGAGCTTTTACCCAGGGACAATGCTGCTACCGAGGATGTGACATTGCTAGACAAAGAGCTGATCATCGAGGGCGCACTGACACCAGACGGCGGGCTTATCGATGTAAAAGAATAGGAAGAGTTCGAAATCAAGGCACTCGTCGAGGAGTTTGCGGAACTGGCGGGCAACGTTGGGATCGAGCTTCCATTACCGACAAGGGAAGGAGCGTTGGCAGACGAACCAATCGACTGGGACGAAGAATTGGAGCCTGAGAAACCAGTACTCTGGGTAGTTACCACGCTTGTTGAGGAAAAGTTGGAGCCTGTGGGGCCAGTACTCCGGGTGGTTATCACGCTTGTTGAGGAAGTATTGGAGCCTGTGAGGCCAGTACTCTGGGTGGGAACCGCGCTTGTCGAGGAAGAACTGGAGCCTGTGGGGCCAGTACTCTGGCTAGTTACCACGCTTGTTGAGGAAGAACTGGAGCCTGTGGGGCCAGTACTCTGGCTAGTTACCACGCTTGTTGAGAAAGAACTGGACCCTGTGGGGCCAGTACTCTGGCTAGTTACCACGCTTGTTGAGAAAGAACTGAAGCCTGTGGGGCCAGTACTCTGGCTGGTTACCAAGCTTGTTGAGGAAGACTCGGAGCCCGAGGGGCTGGTGTTCTGGCCAGTCACCACACTCGTTGAGGAAGACAGGCCACTGCTAGGGAGAATGGACGAAGAAGGGGCAAACGAGGCGAGTCGATCGTTCGGGTTGGCGTCGAAATACCCTGGGCACGTGTTCACTGGATACTGTCAACTGTGCTGCTCGTTATCTGAGTGGAAAATGTACCGACCTGATGCTTGCGTTAAGGATATAGCCGTACAATTGGCTGGAATCGGCGCCAGAAAATATGCCTGGATGGCGCCCGTAGGGTCACTGCACAAAGAAGCAGTGCCGTTGACGAAAAGACTGTTCTGCCATGAGAGTGTGCCTGCGGTCAATTGCCAAGTTGTAGAGATATTGCCAACGTTGCCAGAGGGAGCAAAAAGTGCTGATATTACACCCGGAGAGCTGGAGTAAGTCATGGAAGTCCCAGCATTTACTACCGACAATTGCCCAGCCGAGTCCAGGTTGAATAGTGGTGAATGAATGCAAGCGCTGGTTGAGTGACCGTCTAGGGTAGGGAAACTTTCAACGTCACGACGAAGCAGTGGACTGTTACCTGGGGCTTGATAGCTGATCAGAAAGCCTACCGATGTTGACGAGGGAGTACTAGTGGCTGCTGCGGAGGCATCCGGTTCTCTGCTCCAGATTAGATGAACCCATTGCCAACAGAGAGGTGAAATAACGCACGGTTTGTTGGGCATAACACCAGAGCCTGCTGGAAGGCCCGAGGGTTCAGGGCCACCAGTGTTGATGAATGACATGGACCCCAGGCTGGAAATACAAGTACCAACAGACACAGTCACCACATATTGACCAACGGCCATAGTAGCTAGTAACAAGCTGCAAAAAACAAAATTCAAATTTAGATGCCCCATTTTTGCAGAGATTAGAGATTAGATAGAGAAAGGATGCAGAGATTAGATAGAGAGGTTATGGAGTGAAGATAACATAGAGTGGTGACTGGTCACAGCAAATGGAGCAACTTTTAAATTAAACCTGTATTTACTGCAGGAATGTGAACCAATTTACCAAAAACATTCACTAGTCGCAGCTGAGATGGCCTACATTCCTTGAATCTAGTCGTCTTTTAAAGGGTTCTCGACGCTTGTTCTGTAGCTGAATCAGTGCTCCGCGCATACAATCGAGGCCGTTGCTTACCGGTCAAATGTAAGCTTGTTAGATCCCAACAATTAGATGTAGGTGCTTACCAGGTAGTCGCGAAAGGGTCAGCTCCTTCTGTCGTCAAAGCCCATGTATGAGGCTACCTAGTCTATCCAGCACTTATGTATCGGATTCTACAATGAGAATGCGCTCAAATGCAACAGCGAGAAAGCAGCCTGGTCCCGGTCCGCGACCCGTTTCAGCTCTGCTCTTAGTACCCTCCTTAGGACATCGGTTGTAGGTGCTTGAAGAGTAGTACCCGATCGCAGATTTCCTCGCCTACGCGCATCGAAGCTGGAATTGATCTGAATTCGTCCAGCTTGTTGACGACCGTTGTGTGGCTCACAGGTATCGCCTCTGCTAGCATCCGAATTCCGTTGAGCGTGTTCATTTGCTCTGTGAAGTTGTTTGACTCGATCTGAGCTACTTCATCTAGCTGCCGAATTATCGAGGACTGCTTTTCAAGTAACCGGTTCGTGGTAGTCACATGACATTGCTGCATATCATCCCGTATCTTCGACATACAGTTTGATGCCAGTTTTCCTAGCGCAAAATGACGTTAGCACTATGGCGCATAGTACAAAACCGATAAGTGAAGCAGAGCGAAGCATGTATTGGTTCAGCCTTCCATGAGTACGGACTTGCTTGTCATAACGTCTCAGAGATGTATCAAATTCATTTACTGCGCAACAGACTGTAGTCCAGTCATTAGGGCTATCTGCCGGCTTTCTAGCCTGCGGACCACCCCAGAAAATTATTTATCATCAAGGACCCACTTCAACCTCTGGCTTATCTTTCCCTGGGTGCCTGACGACGGTAGAAACTGATGCAAGAGGTCTGATTCTGTGTGAATGTCCAGAAGCTCCTTTTCACAATTTCCGGTAATAGCTGGTGTTGCTCAATAAAGAGCTTTGACGACTCGTATTCGATCACATACAGCCGTAGATTACCAAGCACTGAGTGCACATTTTGCAGAGTTTGTCGTAGGTGCTGGACGGCGTTTGGGCCATCTCTCAAATCAACGACAAGATTAGAGATGCCTCCGCAGGCACGAATCATGACATCGGCCAAAGACACTACGGCCGCCACCGTTGAGAAGGGATCAGCCATAACAATGTCAAGAAGCTGAAGCAAAAATATCTGGGACAACAAAGGCAGCATAAGGAGAATGGTTGCGTTAAAGAAGACTTCATCGAGGCTGTACATCTGTTGACAAGGCTGTAGGCAGATTTTCATCGCTAGACGGGCGTAATGAATCAGGCATCGGCGTTATACTCAGTGCATCAGGATGTCAAGCCAATAAGTATGAAAGTGTGTGTGTGGGATAAGGCACCATGAAAGCCGGGTTGTTGTAGGACATCGTTCAACTCTGAACTTTTCCGCTCTCGGTACAAAATACAAGGTCGCTTATATCGTAAGGTATTGGTTGGTTGTCGAACCGGTGCTGCGGGTCCAATTTTTTCAGTGAGGGTCGCTGATAAGGCTGCATGACACCTTGCATAACGCCTTGTCCCACCCACACCGACTTTACCTTGTCTGCCTACGATAAAAAGCTGCTTCCAGTGCATTCTGTGATATCTAGTGCGTTCCACGTTCATCCGTCCTGATTGCTGCCATCTTTTGGTCCAGTCGAGACCTGTTGACCGAAACCCTCTTAACTGTCTCGAAGGAAAGAAAGGGCCCGTTGCGCTTGATTCAATGGAGCTAGGTTTCAAGGGAAATGCACGACCCCTAAACCAGATCGAATGTACAACTTTTCAGTCTCGAGACTGCCGTGTATTTTGCGTATAGAGTCCATAGGTAGTAGACTACAAAGGCTAGGGCTCGATCTCTCCAGAAGGTGCTCTTGTCTTGCAATGCAAGCCTTGTAGCTGTTGGCACTTTCAGCCTTCCTGCGTACGTATTGAAACGATCAGAATATACTTCGTATGGAGCTGCAAGACAGCCGGGTGGCCGCTTCATTTCCATCAAACTGCCCAAAGCCTCGAGCAGCGCGAGTAAAGATGCAGGTTTATGCTGTATGCGTACAGTGACCACTGCGCTTCTGTGCTTCCTCGACGAAGAGACAACGAGCGCCAACCTAGTGGCCGTCCTACCCTCAGAAACACTCAACAAAAGTTGATGCTGGGCTCGTTCGTTTCCAGAAGAGTCTCTTCGAAGCTATTTCCGGGTTTGAAGGTGGCCAATTTGCGAGCCTTGGAACATTCGGATGCTTTGCAAATGGCGTCTCTATGGTTTCTTTGTTTCTACTTCAGCCGACACATCCAGCCTCGTAGAGTACCTGACCTTCAACACACAGTTCGGTCAAGTCATGGACCTTCCCTTGGACGAAAACGGCTTGATCGAGTCCGTCGAACACCAGACATCATTTAAACCGTACGAGTTTTCTCCTGCGGCCAACCTTTGTCAAGGTCCAAACTCTCCGGACCATGAGCCGTTAAATACGCAGAGGACTAGGTGGGACATTGAGCCTGACTGGACATCCTCGCCCCAGAACATACATTTCCGATGCCGTCTTGCTGGCATTCCTCAATGTTCCTTCGGCCCCCGGTGATTGCAGCAAAAGCTCGCAGGCATTCACTATATTCCATGTCGCACTGTTCCTACTTGTCGCCAAGATTCCCCCACAACAGTACAGTCAACCTACGTCAATCCGGGGCTCGACCAGGACGAGATCTGGAACGCAGTTCCCTACACGCACGCTCGTCACTTGGGACACTGCCATGTCCGGTTGACAGCAAATGAAGCCTTAGCACCACACAAACGTCACTACATATTCGTCAAAGTTATAGACGACGAGTTCGAACAGGCACTGGCCCTGACTATGTTATTCGATCCGTCGTATTTGTCACAGAGGCCCGTCATCGAAAGGTTCCTTACCTCTTGTTTTTGTCTTGTGGAGTTACCGCTGCTCGAGAGATCACGCGGTCCAAACAATCCATCTGCGTCGTTGTGTTTGCTAGCCCAGCGAACGAGGGCGCAAAAACCCAGGGCATTAGCATGTTGAGGCACTAAGCAACTTCTGAAATGGAAATTCGAGACTAGGATTGGGATTCGTCTTTGCGCGTTCGATAGTAAACACGGCTTCGTTGATATGGCTTGGAGTGTGGGCGAGAATTTGTTCCCTAGCCTTTTGGTTGTAATCAACTCGAGAAGGATTGCGCCCCATTGCCTATTTACGCATGTATAGATGCTTAGACGAGCAAAGTGACTCGGGTGTATATGGACTGGGGTTCTTATGTGATGAGCCGACACTGTGATACTGCCAAAGTGGATTTTCCGTTCCATTAGAATTTTAAGGTTTGACAGCTTTAGCGACAATGCCAAGGATCGATAGATCCCCGCAACTCTGGGCAGTGCACTTGCTCCCTCCCTTCCAATTCTGCCATGTTGGTCCGCCTCGTTCAACGACTCTCAGACTACTCGAAGGATAACGTTGCGTGCCACCTCCTCAACCAACAGCAGACGGCCTGTTGTACCTCATCAATCTTCACTCCTGGCGCGAAGGATTCTGGGAGACCAGCGCTACTGCTGCCACGCGGCGTAGCAGCGGTTCCACCACCTACGCTTTCGGACATATCACAGCATGGCTCGAAACCTTGACGCCTTCGCTCGCGGAAGAAGGAGGTTTGGCGAGCAAAACGTCGCAAATTGATTTGCTTGGCTGATGAGCGGGCACCAAGCTCCTCGGGCAGTGATGAGCTGAACATTTAGCGGAAAGCCAACATTTGAGCTTTTCGGCGTCTACGGAGAGCGTGAAACAGCCGGTGGGTATCCTTTTCACTGCCTCCTCGAGCGTGAGCTTGTAGATCTGAACGAATCTATTCTTGCCCGCGTCATGTTTCTTCACGCGGCTCCGTCTTCGCTCCTCTAGAGCCGTGCAGCGAGTCTTCTCTCCTGCTGCCCGACATCTCTTCTCCCCTCTGACCGATTCCCCTGCTCTGCGACCCTTCTCATCAGAACATTTCCCACCCCTCCACATCCGACAATAATGTTTGCCGTCACCTTCCTCCTCCTGACCCTCTACTCCCCCCTCCTCCTCCTCGCCCAACAAGCCTGCTACTATCCCGATGGCACGGAAGCAACAGCCGACACACCATGCAACAGCTCGGCGTCGAACACCCCGACCGACGCTTCCTCGTGCTGCCACGACAGCTCAAACTCCTACTGCCAAGACAACAACCTCTGCACCTGGAACGGAGCCATGTACCGGGGAGCATGCACGGACAAGACATGGAAGAGCCCAAACTGCCCCCAGCAGTGTACCGAAGGTTCCACCCCCCCCCCTTCCCTCCTCCTTTAACAACAACAACAACAACTGACACTCCCCTCCCCAGCTCAACGCAACACAGCCATGAACATCTTCCCCTGCCCCGCCTCCGGCGTCTGGGAATGCGAACGCGGCAGCGCCTGCGCCTCCAACTTCACCCTCCCCACCTTCGGCCTCCTCCTGCGCGACTCCCAGCTCCCGGGCGCCCAACCCGACGGCATCGGGCTCGCCGACCCCTCCGCCTCCTCCTCCTCCAACGCCTCCGCCGCTCCGGCGACCGTGACCGCGACCGCCGGGGCCACGGCCACGTCCTCCACCCCGACGGCGACGGCGACCGCGTCGACGGGCTCCGACGCCTTGGCCGTGGGCCTCGGCGTCGGCATACCGCTCGGGGTGCTCCTGGTGGCGTGCGTCGCGCTGCTGGTCCGGCAGCAGCGGAGGTTGAAAGCGGAGAGGGCGGTGGCGGCGCCGGTGGGGGGTCCGGAGGGCAAGGGCGGGGGCTACAAGGGGCGGGAGCCGGGGACGTGGGGCGCGCAGGAGTTGCCGGAGCAGGGGGCGGTGCCGGAGCTGAGCGAGGACAAGAACCGTGTCCATGAGTTGGGGGGGAACTACATGCCCGGGTCGCCGCCGCCGTTGTCGAGATAGTCGGTGGTGGCAGGGTGCGCGGCGGGGTTCGGTGGTGGTGGGGTCATGGCTTGGGAGCGGTGAAGTGGGAGCCTGTTCGGTGTGGAATGAGTGTATATAGTGTATATAAAGTTTCCGTACAATACGGTCAATCTTTCTGGCGCCATGATCATCAAGCTCCAGAAGTTTGGTGTGTGCTTCGATGGATTTCATAAACAAACACGGCGTCACGCCACCGTCAATCCCACATAAGTGTAATACAGACACCGAACGCCTATCGAAGAATGGGCTCCCGCAACAACATGGGGTATCTCGTACGGTCAAAGCTGCTTATGCCAATAATGCACGAACGAACCGGGAGACCGGCAAAAGAGCGCTTCGAACGTAATACAAGCAATCAATGCTTCAAAAAGCCAACGCCCCTACGACACTGGCTCTTGCAGTCAATGGCATCTCCGCCACACTGGCAGCGACAGGCATCTCTTGAAGCCGAATCAGCGAGGGATCAGTGCTATGATCCGTACAGCGCCAAAGTATCAAGAGCATTCAAGGGATCGCCCCGGAAGCCAACTTGGCATCCTGATACGTCGGCAACTGACCACTCAAATCACCATACGCCGGAGCCGCCATGTCCAGCTCCTGCGTAGCCATCGGGGATGCGTAGTCCGCTGCCAAAAGGTCGAATTTGTAGGACGCGAACTCGGCCTTGAATGTCTTCTGCGCACAATCGACAGAGAGCTTGACGGCTAGTCCTAGCACATTTCGGAGTCAGCATTCTCATTCGTTCATGAAATTTTGAGTAATGACATGTTTGGGAAGTGAGGAAGGGTGCTAGATTGAGTAAGTTGTTCCTTCAGCATGTCTCAGGATTCAGAACGCAATCTCGAACAGGAAGAGACAACTCCGAAATGTGCCTTACTGTATGTGCGTCTGATGTTGAACGTGCTGAATGTAGGTTTCTGGTGCCAGGGGACCTTGATCCGCATTAATTTCTGCAGGTCCATGGACTCGGTTACCGGTGGTGCCTTGGCCATATCTGCAGAGTAGTCGATCGACGCGATGTGGAACTCGTCACTCCAGTCCCTTTGCTCATCGCCTTCGCGGAACATTTCGTCGCGGATGCATTGGATGTAGGTGTTGGCTTGCAGCTCTACCATGCATTTCCGTAGCGTCACTATCGGGAGTGATTGTGTTGTGGATGCTTCAATGTCGTGCTCCAATCTGAGTATTAGAGGGAGTGAGTGGGCCAGAATTCCAACTTTGGGGAGGAGCATATGCAATTTAAACACCGCGACGGGAAGCTTGGACGTGCGGATGGACTGAAGCTTTTCCTTGAAGGTGAGAGGTCCATTTTCGTGACCGGGCTGGAGTCGAAGACTGTAGCAGGCTATTGTTTGACCCTTTTCGATGAAATCCGGTTTGAAGGTTTCGATGTCTCTGGTCGTGATAAAATCGAGTGTCTTTTCGGTTTTTAGGTCTCCCAGGGAAAAGATCTTCGTTCTATTGCCGATGAGGGACGCTTCGAGTTCGTATTTGACAAAACACTCGCCTCGCCAACTGAAGGTGTGCTTGTCATTGGCGAAGGAGGGAGGTAAACTTTGTTGAGGATTGATGTCGAAAAGGCCATGGCGCTGCTTGAACGGATCGGCGCCGCGGGCCACACAGCGGGGTGGGAATGTGAAGCTGAATGGCCAACTGTGCCCATTGGTTTTCATGGTGTTGGGACCCTTGAAGAGAACCTGTCTGTACTCCAGTAGAGGGGCTCTTCCTCTGTAAGTCGAACTACTGTTCTGGCCATTGCTCCGTACCACCTTGGTTTTGCATCTGCCGACAAGGCTTATCGTGATGATCTCAACATCAATGTCTACATCCCCATGCAGGGAGACGGTGCCTGAAATTGTTGCGCCAGCCCTGCACTTGGTGTTCGGTATATTAATCCGGATCGACATTGTGGGACGCGATAAGGGATATGTGTCCTAGGATGAAGCGGGAAAAATTCACCAGACCCTGGACCTAGATTGATAGTGAGAAAAGGCAATCATGCTGAAGGAGAAGTCCATCATGATACTCGTGCTGTCCAGGAGGAGTTACCTCGCTTAATAGCGCCGGGAGAGTTGACCAATCAAACTACGATTTTCGCGGAGAACTGAGTAGTTTGATTGGTTAACTCTCCCGGCGCTATTAAGCGAGGTAACTCACTCCTGGACAGCACGAGTAGGAGAGGTGTGGCAGAGCATCGTAATGTGAATTTAGGCAGAACCCAACGAAAATCTCAAGTTTTAGATATGTAAAGAGGAAGAAAACTACTTGGCGCATACTCCGTGCAGTGCAACAATAGTACAAAGGCGCTCCGGATCATTCTGGTAGCCTACCACATGAGCCTGGGTAGGCGCGTTGTTGTATGAGATTGCAGTGCTGCACATTATTATTACTATTTTTTTTCCTTTTCCCCACGTTGAGGTCAAAGCGGCTGAATCAGAAATGGTTGCGTGCAGCCCGAGCTGCAAGTTTGACAGCTCGATGGCGCTGTATCGAAAGACTCGGAATGAAAATTGAGCCAGACGGAAGAGGACGAGGAATGATTCCACGTATCAGATGAAGTGAAGCGATTTCTATGTCGCGAAGGAAGTAACAAAGGGTCAAAGCGCAAGATTCCCTTGAAGGTGACGGGACGGGACTGACCTGAACAGGCGTACCAAAGTGATGGCGTAAGTTTTTCTTTTGATTGTTTGGACTTTGAAGCGCCGGTTGATGCAGCTAGCTCAATGATCGATGATGCCGCGCGTTGATAAATGATAATGATACTATCATACGCTCAATGCCCTGCTTCTCACATGGTGCCGGGGGGAAGGAACTGGGGGAGAATGATTCTCGCACAAAGATTAAATTCATGCAGGAGGCAGAAATGGGCAGGCTACTTCTTTGACAGAGTCGTGCTAAAAGCCTGATAATGTGAGGCTAAGGTATGTATGAGCGTACTTTATCTTAGCGAATAGTGGGGCCTGGATTAAAGTGGTACCTTGTCTTAGTGCCCGCTCAAGCTAATAGCCGAGGTAGCCAGATTCCGTTAACACTTCAGAGATCTGGATACTCTAGCATCATTATATATCCCGGTAACCTGTCCTGTAGGATTCAAGTCATGCTCGTCTTAAGCCAGTAAGAAATCAATCCGACATTCGGCTCCTGTACGGGTCCTCTTGGCTGCCGTAGCTGATACTTGGGAATTGCGAATGGGAACATGAGGTGGGCATATTTTGCACGTCTCGGTTAGGGATGACCAGCCCTTGAATTTTTGAAAGTCTTGGCATGAAATTTTGCTGAAATTTCAGATACGATTGAAGTGATGAAATATATGAATCCGGTTAGGTTACTCGCTAATGTTCTGATAGGATGGAAAAGTGGTAATATTAGGCCCTAGGGCGAGGTTTTACGACGGAACCCTCAGGCCGGACTTGGTTACTAAGCATAGTCAACTAATCAATCATCTTGAATCTACCCAGTAAGCGGGTCTTGGCGTACTTGAATATGAAATTCATGAAATCGAGCTAAATCCACTAATCACTGCAATTTCAGTATCGATACATGTTTTCATGAAATTTGGCAACCCTAGTCTCGGTGCAAGGCTTGTGGGTGCGTGCATAACGTGGGGGAATGGCAGGATCAAAAGAGGCCAATCGAGTAGCTGGAGCAGAGCATCCCTCAGGTATCTCCTGATGCCTATGCCTGTGCCTGCCTTAGTCCCTAGTCTCCCTTTGCCAATTAGCCTAGCCATTCAAAACGTGCCTGTACTGTAGGCTGTACTCTAGGCGGTAGGCTGTAGGCTGTAGGCGGTAGGCTGTCGCTCAGGGTTTGCTGCCAAATTATCGGAACGAATTGATTAATTAACTGGATCACCCTCGCTTGCAAGGCGCCAAAAACTGACTGTTGTAAAGTACGAGCCGGTCGTCTAGCTCGGGGTGGCGAAGATCGTCATCTTTTTTGGCCTTGACCTACCTAATCCCTTTGGCTGACTTCTCCCCCGCCTTTTTGACAGAAGACACCCACACCCTTCTCAATTGCGAATCAAACCTGAGACACGGTTGGATTCATTACTGCATGAACCCTGAATGTTGTTCAAAAGGTAAAACTGATAACTGAAGTACCTTACGAGTCCAAAGGTCCTTCAACTTCACGGGTTGCAAATAATACAGGAATTGGTCTTCTCGGATCGACAGTAATCATCAAATGGGCGGCTGAGGATGCTGCTGCTGATGACGATGATGATGATGATAGTGATGCTACTCCTTGGAAAATCCCATCTGCCAGCTAGCATCACGCAATGATAACGCTTGACGGCAAGATAGAGGGGTATGTGGTTCTTGTTGGTGACTGTATGCCACCGTACTCGACTGAAGTCCACTTTCACGCATAATTTCAGGCAAGATGATGCACTGCGAAGCTACTAATGTCGCAATGCATTCATGCGACGCTGCGACGTTTTTACAGCGCAAAGCACATCAATCCTGGGGTTCATGAATTGCATCATAGTCAGTAAATGCAGATTGCATGGGCTAAAGGTAGTCAGCTCTCGTGGAGTAGATGAATTAATTGTCTTACTCGTACAAATGCTATCACCTGGAGGCCCAACCAGGCTCGAGCATAGAAGCCCAGTCGTCCACGGTAATTGGTCTTGTTATCATTACCGGGTCTCGACTCCTAACCGATCATGCATCTCTCGAAACGCCTCATTGTAAGAGAGTCCTGCCGAGTAGTGCAGGCCACGAAAACATTCCGAAATCATCACTCTACCTTGCCGCTTCCTGCTGCTGCTTACATGTGGTTGAACGAAGGAATATCTACTGGGATGGGATTGTGAGCACGTCCTGAAGGCATACGAGTGGTCGGCTGACTTGCATTTCCTAATAATCCACTACCTACTTGCTCAGACAATTCACCCGTGCATTCTTTCCATTAAATCTCAGGACCCCACCGAATCCTTTGAGGGGGCGGACGCAGGACATATGCACCTTTCTCCTAGCTTTGTCCGATGGTTGCAGCAATCGAGCATTAGCCCTTAGCCGCTTGGGGACTTTTTTTCATTTTTCGAGGAATTGGAGCTCAGCGGTTTGAATGGACCCCTGTTGGACTTGGCGTCGGCTGGGCAGTCGTCCCAACCTACGCCCAAAACTGCCAAGTTCATCCGCTGATTTTCGGGGGCTTTAGCTCGAGGGCTGCAAGCCAAAAAAGAACATCAGCAAATTCCCTTAGCGTCGCACACCATCTTGCCCTCATGATCATTCGCCAGAAGTTTTGGGGGGGGGGGGGGGGGGGTCTCATGCATCTTGGATTGACCACTCTCTCAAGCGGCCTGCTGCATGAAGTGAGCCATTATTATAGAAGCCTGTTGTTGCCTCTTTTCATTCCTTTCTTTTTTTCCTCCAATGCCCTTGACAACCATCGAGACATGGGCCTGACTCTCCACTCCCATTCTTCCTGCGTTGTTTCCATCCTCCACATACCGTCCATGTCATAGTCACCCAACATCCACCGGACCTTGCGTGATCTGACTCATTGGCCTTGCCTCTTCTTACGGAATCCTTCTTACCATAATCATCTACTTCTGTTCTTTAATATTCGACCTCGTCAGTCCTTTGACAGACCGGCTCTTCCAGTCTTTCAGCTTCAGTCAATCCCTCTCGCACCCTCTCACAGTCATCGCCCACCACTGTCATCAAGCAATCTTCTTCCAAACCTTCCACCATGGAGCTCAACTGGGCCCCCGATCACTGTCTCGCTTGTGACAAGCAGACCGAGTGTGAGACCTACTGCTCTCAGTCCTGCCGCCTCGCAGATCTCGAGAAATCTGCAAATTGGTCAGGTTCCACCTCGCCAACCACACCAAGCTGGACCTCGTCCGACTCCAACAGAGGATCAGGCTTCTACCTATCACCCGCCTTCAACTTTGCTGCCTACAAAACCACTCAGACAACGCCTAACTGGCCCACTTCTCCACAAACATCGTACTTTTCCACCACCACCACCACCACCACCTCCTCTACAACCCAGAATGCTCCCTCACGGACATTGTCGCCCTCTTCATCCCGCTCCTCGCTCACCTCTACCACCACCACTTCGAGCACCTCATCACATCAAACCCCACTTTCAGAACAAGCCCGCAGCGAGCTTCGCGGCTACACGAATTCTTTCGATAGTACACGCAATTGGAGGAGGCGGATGACTTGGTCCTGATTTTTCATCTACATACCGTTCTCGCATGTCTACGGACAATCCAGCCCACAGCGGCACCGGGCGCTCTTCACGTCTTTCCATAACGCAAATTGCGGCGCAGCATAGCAAGCAGTCGGCCTTTTGTATACCAAAAGCAATAAGCAAGCACTTATCATTGTACGCATTAGACAAGGAGGATAGGAGTCAGTCGTATCTCTTCTCCGGTGGAGTTATAAATGACGGAGGGATTGCAACTTGCAAATCAATGAGCACAATTTAAGGGTTGGCGAGGGGATTTTCAGGGATGCATATGCAGAGGGTGGTCTAGCACTTCTTCAATTCAAATACCCCAAACGTCATAGATGTACATTTCACACCACGATCAACCACTCATACAGAAATACATCTCAGTAACTAACCAATTGCTCTACGCTACGTGTCTCCGCGACGTCCAAAACCCTCTTTTCCATGGTATTCAACAGCCCAGCGGAGATCGTTCCACCCTCTGCATTTCCACCACAATCGCACCAACCAACGCGGGAAACCCCAGAAGAAAAAAACCAAAATCCAGACCCCCACCAATGCACGTTTGCCAACCGTCGCGACGCAGCATTTGCAGATCCACCAAACTCAAACCGAAAACCACTCCGCGAAAACCCTTTTTTCTTCCCTCTAGGGAAAGCATGATGGGCAATAAAGCCGGCGGGAAAAGACGGCAGCACCCACAGCCTGCCACACGCCCGTCCATCGATCGCTGGTTCGAGTACCCTCGCAAATCTCTGCTCCTCGATTCGTTCCGCGGTACCAAACCCCCCGGTTCCGTATAGGTACTCCACATTATGTGTGTTTGCATTTTTTTAAGAAAAGCCCTTTTGGTCCTTGACTAGCCCTATGTTACTCTCGAGTAGCACACACGCACACACACACGCACTACCTACCTCAATTCCAACAACAAACAACAAATCTACCCTATCGCCCCACTCCATCTGTGTAATTAAATGAATCTGCACCTTCCCCCCCCCTTCTTTCGGCTCTAGAGTACCTAGGGGAAAGAAAGAGCAGGAAGTACCTTGAGATCGACCGGCGTTTGTTGCTACTAATGCACAGCATGACGGAGCATCCGCTTCGATAGGTTGGAGATCCCCACATTTTTTGCCATCTTTTTGGGCGGTGTCGGCCGCCAAGAGATCTGGGCCAGGGGGAGGTGCGGATGCAGTGGGTATCTTACTTACCGGTATCGCGGAGATTTCGTTGGTGGCTTCGGCGTTGGGGGGGGGGCGGCGTCATTTTCTTGTTTTCTCCCTCTTTTTCGTTTTTCAATCTGCTGCTAGCTTTTTCGAGCCTGGCTTGGATGGATCTTCGTCCTTCTTCCCTCGTTTCCTACCCTTCAGCTTGCGTGTCAGGGCGCCGCGTTGCTTTCTACGTCTCTCTGTCGTTGTTTGGCCCTTTTTATTGTTATGATCATCGTTCGCAGCACCTACTCCTCCTCCCCCCTCCAGAACCCATCCTCGACTCTCGAAAATCACGACCCCGAGGTACGGAGTACCTACATCACTAGCCAACCTCATGCAAAGCGCACGAGACTCTCTTTCCCCCCGAAATAGGTCCGTCAGCGACCAAAAAAACCCAAAACAAGGATCCCCAACCAAACCCTCCCACGCATCCAAACGGCCTCTAACACCGTCTATCCGACCCTTCCGGTCGTCGTCCCCTGCGCAAGCAAGGAAACTTTGGCTTGTTTTTTTTAAATTTCCCCCTTCTCCTAACGCTAACGACTTACCCACGTAAGGACCGAGCGCTCACTCGCTCAGGGGGGGGCGGGGGAAGTTCGAAAAAAAATAGAAAAATAGGAAAATGCACTAAGCTAGCTCGCGGGGAAAATCAAATGGAAAAACGGGGTTACCACAGATCCCCATCGGACCAATCGTTTGGGGTGTGGCGCTGAACCGGTTTCCGTCAGGGGTGTGTGGGAGGGGATCTACGGTCAGATCGGATGGTTGGGCTGACCGCAGATGATCAAGATCGGAAGATTTGAAGAGTGAGCTTAGCTAGGGCGAGTCAGGTAAGGGTAGGGTAGGGTAGGAGGGTAGGGTAGGAGGGTAGGTAGGGCGGTTTGCTGACCGCAGCGGAAACCGGAAAAACGAATGCACCAGCGGTGAATCGGAGGATGGATGGCACGTGGCGGTGAAGGCGGTCGAAGGAAGGGAATCATCCTGCAAGGGCATCATCCATGATCTTTACATTCCAAGACATTTCGCCGGACCAGGCTCCGCGTGTTCAAAAAGGACTCGTGACGTGAGATACGAGGCAAAACACGTCATGGGTAATGGAAGATAGTGTCTGTCCGTCTACCAGAGCTCGCATATCCAAGCGCTAAAAGGACACCAAAAGGCTTTTGGCCTCAAATTCATTCCTTGCCGCACAGCAAAGCCTCAATCTTCAAATCATCATGCTCCGTCGCCGACTCGCAGCCCGGTCTCCTCTGCCTACCGCAGCCTCTGCACTTTCAGCGCCAAGCTCAAGCACACTTCTCGTCCCTGACATCTGTCCCTCTTCTGTCTCTGTTCTCTCCGCGGGTTGTGCCACAACGAGTGTCTCTCTTCGTCGATCACCTCGTCTGGATATCATGATAGAGCCTTTTCCTGGCTCAGAGGAAGCCGGCACGCTGGAATGTCTTCTGGATGATCTCGTCGTCTTGGCTAGCTCTTCTTGGCCTGCATCACTGGCATTCATGCCGCTCGGCTCGACAGGAGAGCTGCCTGTGAAATCGTAGATACTCATCCGTTCTATTGGCTCCCTTGTTTGCTCTCTCATTTCGATATCCCCACTGGGCTCTTCTTCCTCTTCTCCTCGCCTTTTCAGTCTTTGAGTTCCAGCTGTAAGTGCTGCAATTGCGGACGCAGCGCCAGATGTTAGCTTCATGGGGTCAATTACCCCCTCTTGAAGTGCGGGCACAATTGTACGCCTTCGTCGTTCAGTGATGACGCTGGCCGGCAAGTCTGCCGCTCCAATTTTATTACCAAGCGGACTGATGGGCTCTGGTCTCCTTCTCTGGTCCGTTTCGGGAGCATTCGTCTTCCATGTAGGTAATGCATCTGCATCTGCATCTTCTTCTTGCTTGATGAGAACCGGGTTTGACGCATCATCTTCCGCTTTTGCCATCCGTGCTCGCTCCTCCGCACCAACAGCATCGACGAGCTCTTTCGTTGGTCGGCGCATCTTGTCGCGGAGGTTCGGCTGAGCGTAATTAACACTACCTCTTGGACGCCGTGAAGCTCGACCAAACGATCCTGTGCCTGTGTCTGGTCCAAGGTCGGGCGGTGGAGGCGTGTCTCGCGAATCGGGTCGTGCGGCTGAAGGTCCCGGGGAGCCAGGCGAGAAGAGGTCGGACGGTGGTGCTGGCGTCTCCGGAGGGGCTTCGAGAGGCTTCCTGACTTCAGCGCCTTTGATGGCCGTCTCTATGTCTTTGGTGATGCCTGGGTTTCTGGGTCGGCCTTTGTCCTTTGGTCGACTTCGTTCTCGAGCAATTTTCGCCAAATCATCCTTGGCTTCTGCGACCTTGTCCTTGCTGGTGCGGCTTGCTTTGAATGGCGAGTTCGTTGGGTCAGTGTTCACACTCTCTGCATCATCGTTAGAAATTCCTCAATTTGTAATCATTTACAAGACTTACTCGGCCCGAGAGCTTTCCGACCAGTTGCCGTGACCGTTGCAGATGCTCCAGATGCCTTGTCTTTGCAGTCTTTGCCGGTAATGCTCGGTATCGGAGCTTGAGAGGCTTTATCACTAGCTCCCTTGGTGGCTCTGCTGATAATTGGCTTTGTATTATCATTGTCATTGATCCGGAATTCTGAACCTCTGCGGTTGAATTGGAAGTCTTGTTTCCCGGACTCGTCTACTACGGCGGGTTCGCCGTCGTCGTCACGAATGCTAAGCTTTCGCTTTGCGCCGGATTTCAGAGGCTGACTCATTGGCATGGCTGTACCTATGGATGCTGTGCTCTTAATGAAATTCACGTTGGTGTTCTTCACGTCCACATCTCTTCGATGCGAGCTTTCCCGTCTCTTTCTTCGAGTCTCAAGATTTGCTGAAAGCTTTGGCTGCGTTTCCATGGTACTTTCAGCTGATCCTTCGGCGGATGATCGGTCTTGTGTGGAATCAAACTTGATCGGATCTCCTTCCTCGAAATGCGCAACAGGTGGCGGCCCAAGGTCTGGTGAATCGGTAGCGTTCGCAGGGTCCGCAAAGATATCAAGCAACTCTTCAGCACTGCATAGCTGTCAGCATTGAGGTATAAGATGCGCAGGAATACATACTCCATTGTTCGTCTTGGGAAGTACTTATCCTCGACGATTGGCGGTAGTCGACCATCTGCACCTCCAGTGACCTCTGAAAGCGTGAGGGCATTCTTCCAGTTCCTTTGATCCGGAGATCTTTTTGGGGAGCTCCGGTTAAGTGATCTTCTCCTTTGGGCACGTTGACTGTCGACATTCTTCTCGACGTTTCCTAGCTCTTGAACCAATCCTCCTAACTCTGCCAACTTTTTCTCCAATTTGCCCTTCACAATATCAACACCCTCTAGCACTGCTCGTCCTGCAAATTTCTCGGCTTCATAATGTAGCCTGATAATCTGCTCTCGTAGGGATACATTTTCAGACAGTAGTCGAGTGACTTCGCTTTCGAGGTTTCGTATGCGGAGGGATTGAGTCGAATTTGCTCTTCATAGGTCAGACCTCGTAATGGCAAGGATAGCAGATAGCGAACCTTGCAATCTCTCGATTTTGGCGAACGAACCGACGTTTCACTGTCTCTAATCAGCGTATGAAGAGGTTGTCTGTGGTGTAACCTACATGCATCTATTGACTCGACCGAAGGTTGTGGAGGCTCGTTCAGTCGAGCCATGGACTGGATATCCACGAGGGCTTCTGTGCTCTAGTATTCGTCGTAGTTTGACACACTTCCTCAGAATGTCAGGTCATCAGTCATTATCGAACATTTCGATGTTTGGAGAAAATGTAAACAATGTCGGAGACTAAGATTTGTTCCCGCCGCTAGCGGCTTTATTCAGCCCTGTCGCGTAGATCCAATTCCTCTCCTTTATCAAAGCAGCACAGCAGCAAAGCCATTGTTGCTTACCTTACAAGATATCGAACAAGATGAATCTAGCAGGATCACACTAAACTGCTTGTTATTCGAACTTGAGCCACCGAGCCATGGCCTACCAACGACCCCCACAGCCAACCCCGGGCCTACGGCATCCGTCTATGGGGCCTCACGACTCTGCATCAACAGGACAATCTCGAATGCTGGTGGCAAGAATCAACGAAAAGAAGGCGGAGCTAGAGAATCTCAAACAATTGCGGGATTTGAGTGGAGGACTTGCAGCGCAGATGCAGGCGCTAGAAGAAAAGCTATCTACGTTGTCAGAGGGGACAGAAGGTAGGACTCCCCGGAGTAGATGGTGCTTGCCAAAATCTGATAACGGGTACGCAACAGCGGTGGCAGCAGTTCTATCCAATTGGCATAATGTTCTAAGAGCGATCAACATGGCATCAAGTAGGCACCCATGTTACTCCACTTTAGCCACTGCCATGCTGACGTACGGCTAGTGAAAGTACCGAAGCCCAGCACAGCCGAAGACGAAGAGAAGCCCGGCGATAAACCTGAAATACCTCTGCCTCAGACCATGGTGCGCATACCGGTTGAGTCCGAGTCGACCCCGGAATGGCACAAGGAAGAGTAAACAAGGATGAAATAATGCCATAACTCCAGCGGTTGTCGCCATGCGAGCCCACGGTCATTCGAATCCGCACCCTTACTTTGTCACTTGCAGCGGAGTGACACTCCTTTGAGCAAACGCTTGGGAGAAGTGACTGTGCTAGCGCGAGCGCGCACGCGCGTAAAGAGGTCGCGCTAGACTCGGGTCTAGCCGGTTGCTATGTAAACATTCACAAAAACCCTCGAGTCGCGCATCGGACGTGCTATCAATACCGCTACATTGACTACAAGAAAGAGGTTCTTTGCTCACAGTGGAAGCCGCTCAGGCTTTTTTGCAATCGTAGCATCATTATCCTTCCATAGCTTACAACCATGCCTCGTGTTACTCGCGCCGCGCTGCGCTCTATGGAGCAACAGGATGAATCAGATGTCGCATCCTCAACACCTTTACCACAGACACCGATTAAAGGTCGTGTCCCTCTTGGTGAAATTGCGGGCAACAAAGGTACCGAAGGCGAAGAGACCAACACTTCTGAAGAACAAGTGGCGCCAGCGAAGAAGGGAAATGGGAAAGGAAAGAAAGGAAACACTGCAAAGAAAATTAATGAACAAATAAGGGAGGAGGCTGAAGAAGTGCGTGTTGAGGTCTTGGAAGATGAGGACCAGAGCATACACAGCTCTGCAGCCAAAGAAGCTTGCCGAGATCTCTTGCAGGATGGCTCCCAGAGTATGTTCCATGGGACACCAGCTTCCAGTTGTGCGGTCACTGATTCATGTCGGATTAGATACACACGAAATTGTTATCGATAATGACCGACCACAGACCCCACCGTCCGCTGCCGCCAACACAGCTAGCCGACAATTGTCACCAAAACCTACAACACCACACTTCGATTCTGAAATGCAGAAACTTGATGATATGACAATGCCGGAGAGCAAGGAAGAGAAAGAAGACTCCTTTGTAGCAAAAATTGAGTCTCGAACACCTCTCAAGATGACAACCAGTGAGGAAATGGATATGCTGCCAACCGAGGATTACAACCAAGATGATTCGTTTGTGGAGCAGATTAGGACTCGGACTCCTGGCAAACGCATGTCACGTATCGAAGACTCCGTTGAAGCCTTAGATGCTCTTGAGGAAGAGATCGAAAAGGTTGGGGGATTGATCCCTGCAAGCACCGACGGCGTACAGTCCCTCAAATCGAAGAAGCAAGCAAAGGCTCGGTCGACTACTATGGAGAAGAAAGTTAGCGGTTCGGTAAGAATGAAGAAGGGCACAGGTGTCCAAAAGAAAATCGCAACGGGGAGACCAAGCACAGCTGCCGGGCGAGCGACGTCAGATCCATCGGCTGGAGCCCCCAACACGGAAGCACGACCGAGCGCGAGTCTTACCGAAGAGAAGCCTGGAGTCACACTCCCGAATCCTGCTTCTGCTCGGAGGATGGGCCAGCCCACACCCCAAGCTACCTTGAAGAAACGTATCAGCTCCGTCCACAAAGCACCCTTTCAGCCCCACAAATCTACGAAGCCGCCTACTCGCTCCAACTTTGAGCTTCCTGGGGATGCCTTTGCACGTAAACTTAAAGAGCAACGCGAGGAGCGGTTGAAGCGCGAAGAGGCAGAGGTACCCAAGCCACGAGTGTTCAAGGCTCGTCCTGTACGTATTAGCCATGCGCCTGAGGTCAAACTCACAGCAGCAACCAAGGCTCGCCTCAGCATGGCAAAAGGAGAGCCAGTCAGTGTCCGTGAACCCAGCAATGGCGGCGCCAAATCTAGGCCTGTCACGCGTCCTAGTGCCATGGCTACCGCCAGTCCATCCAAACGCCTTTCGACACTTTCAGTCGCCAAAAATTCTACCCTACCCACAGCCAACGGCTCGACACAGCCATCCGCCAATGGCTCCACTCGCCTTGCCCGCGGTCCGTCTCTTAACCCCTCGATCACCGCTCGCGCTCCCAGTGCACTGGGTGCAAATCGTCCGGCGCTCACCGCAGACGAAAGTGCGCACCAGAAGCTGAAGGGCAGAGAGGTCTTTGGCAGAACTAAAGTCGAGATCATGGAACGTGAGAAAGCGAAAAGGGAGAAAGAGGATGCAGCAAGGAAGGCGAGAGCTGATGCAGCGGAACGTGGTAGGATAGCAAGTAGGGATTGGGCTGAGAAGCAGAAAGCGAGGAAATTGGAAGCGGGAAAGGCGAACGAACAGGGAAAGGCTGTGGGAGCTTGAAAAGACAGGACCTGGGTTTTCCGGGGAAGATGAACCATGAAAGGGATTAGCGTTTTCGATCTTAGCGTGGCTGTGTTTATGAGAGCTTTGCATCTTGCTGCCGATGGACGGGCCCCTCTCTGCACTTCATCAAACAGGTATTCCAATTCTGGTGTCAGAGGAGAAGCTCATCACAGCATGCTTAGTAGGTTTTTGGCTCAATTGATTATTGCACGTAAAGTTTCATCCACTATCTATCAAATCCAGTTATGAGCCTTGGAGCTTGCTGTATTCGAAAGACACTGACGAAGTGACGAGATTAGAACTTTTCTTCGGTCACTTATTTGCCTCCATGGACTTTCTTTAGCTGCTCCCCTTTTGGAATTAAATAGACAAACGATGCGCACGGAAGAGGATACATGCCTGTACTCGAAACATCATCGACTGGACTAATTCAGCCTCGATCGGCGGACGGTCCAATATGTTGCCTAGGAACCCTCTTTTTACCGATGTGGCACTTAGGTACCAAGAATTGACCTTTTCTGATCTTCCTTACTCGTATCCAATTACAATATTCAGTCTGGACGGCAGTTTTATGGCAGGTACGACAATCTCGAGAGAGGCTTCTCGGCGGTCTTTGAGTTCTCTTCAAATAATGAACATCTTAAATTTTATGATCAGCTTCACATCCCTCGCCCCCTACAGGACAAGGAAAATTCTCGCAACCTACCGTCAGCATTTCTTATGTCATTCGAACAAACAGGACCATCCATAGACTTCTATTTCCCATCAAAGCAACTAACAACACCAGTTGTATCCCTATTAGTCCAAGTCCGACTAAATTGAATGTAGTCGCTCGCGCATTCTCCAGTCATTACAATTTGGCAGCGAGTCGAAAGATCGGGAAGAGTAGGCATCTTTTAATATTGATGGACACGCTGCGTTATTTGGCGTATCACCGAGCAAGTCGTAATTGCTTTACCTCAGTGCACCATGGTACTCGTACACAGCCACACACTTAGCTCTGGAACCCCTAATAGCGGCGGTCATGTTCAGCCACAGGCCGATTTACCGATTCACCGATTCCCGTGAATGACGCTTCAGGGTCTTCCTCCTCTTGAACCATCGTACCGTACCTGAATCCATCAAAACACCATCAATCAATTAAAAAAATCACATGTCAAGCAATGAGGACCCTCTCAGTTTGATCCACTTACACCACCATCAAATCTAATGAGCCAATACATATCCTCATTCCTCATCGATCCCGTTGTTCGCCAAGCCCGCAGGTTTTCCCGTTCCAATACTGAGTCCCCGCATCCTACAAATCTACGTCCATCTCTTACTAGCAATGAAGAGCCATCCTTTTCACACTTCGAATCTCCGGCGGCAGCAGCTACGGCAGTGCAGGAAGAGCCGCCTCATGTGAACATCGTGACCGATGTGAATCTCTTGACTACTATCACTGGTGATCCCGAAGTTGTCTCACCGACATCTGTCGAGGATAGAGATCATCATGCTTGGCCACGGCATGAACTGCCAAATTCGACTGCATTTCCTTTGGCAAATACAGACAACCTTGAGCATTCAGTGAATCCAGTATCATATATTGTGACCGCTGCAGACGAGGTCTCAAATCCTCTACTCCATAGAGTACCTGATAGATTAAGATCCACAACATCCTCGTTCAGCAATTCATCACGCTCCCTCATCGATGCAAACATGTCACCAGCAGATGGGTCCGACCAGTCGTCTAGAACAAACACACCGGATACTAGGGGTCGTGGTGATAGTGCCGGCAGTGGAGTTGGAGATAGATCTTTGCCAGAAGACGATGGAATGGGCCCTATGCGGAAGCGTATCATTGCAATACAAAGAACCGATAGCTCAAATGAGGAGAAGGCGAGATTGGTACATGGCCTGATGACGGAGAAGCACAATTCTTCACAACAAAGCCTACACGGACCTCACTTCCCTAGAGCGCATTCACCCGGAAGCCGTCATAGCTCGGATCGACCGTGGACACCTTCTTCTCCCAAGTCAACCGACAGCTTGAGGCAAACCTTATCACCGCCAACGTCATCATCATCGAACGGTGATGAGCCAAATCCTTTCCAGCTGTCACCTGATGACTTGAAACCTACATATTATCAGAAGCCACTCCCAGTCTTAAAAGATGGAGACCATGAAGGATCGTCAATGGAAATCGAGGAGGTGACGAAGGCTCTAGGATGTGAACATTATAAACGAAACATCAAATTACAATGTTCCGCTTGCAACCGATGGTATACTTGCCGCTTCTGCCATGATGCGGTAGAAGATCATATGCTCAACCGGAGGGAGACAAAGAATATGCTATGCATGCTTTGCGGCTGCGCACAACCGGCGTCGGAAGAGTGCGCGCTTTGTAGCGAGCGAGCGGCCTGGTATTACTGCGATGTGTGCAAGCTTTGGGATGACGATCCTGAGAAGAGTATATACCATTGCAATGATTGCGGCATATGTCGGGTGGGCAAGGGCCTAGGAAAAGACTTCTTCCACTGCAAAGTAAGTACATTGAAACCAGAGCCTTTGCTTTACTGGCTAAGAAATCTAGACGTGTTGTGTATGCATGTCCGTATCGATTCAAGACACCCATCGCTGCATCGAACGTTCCACTGACTGTGACTGCCCTATATGCGGCGAGTACATGTTCACTTCCCCTCAAACTGTGGTGTTCATGAAGTGCGGTCACAGCATACATCACCGATGCTATTACGAACACATGAAAAGTTCCTATAAGTGTCCGATCTGCAGTAGAAGTATTGTCAATATGGAGTGGCAATTCAGGCACCTGGAGCGAGCGATTGAAACTCAGCCGATGCCACCAGAATTTCAGGACACGAAAGCCTGGGTATACTGCAATGATTGCAGCGCAAAGACATCGGTCAAATACCACTGGCTCGGATTAAAATGCGCGGTGTAAGCGAATATTCAATCGTCAAGACCATGTACAAGAAGCTGACATCTTGAAGTTGCGACTCTTACAATACAGCGCAACTGCAGATTCTCGCTGGCCCAGATAGAGGTGGAGAGCCTGCACAAGCGCAGGATGCTCCTCAGAGCATTGCAGATCCCTCTATTGTCTCGAGGTCGAACTCTCGCGGGAGATCTAGGCAACCCACAACCATTTCGCGCCGGCCAACAACTTCCGCTCCGCCGTCAGGTAGCATCCAAAGTCTCCTCGAGAGTAGTGCATGGCCGAACCTACGGGATCGCAACGCACACTCTGTCGCTCCGGATACTGTACCTTTCGCGCAGCCAAGCCCGGCAGCTAGTAGCAGTGACGCCGACGACTCAATGGATACAGATGAAGACTGGGAGAGTGAAATGGAGTTTTGGGGCGGTGAAAGTCCCAGATCAAGACACACTTCTCCAACCCTAGATCATGAGATGGCTATTGGTGACGGCAGTGAAGAAGAAGATGGCGACGATAGCGCGGACGAAGATATGAGTGATGATGCAGAAGAGGATGAGGCTGATGAGTACAACCGAATGGACATTTTTGGACATCGGTAAGAGGATGACGACAGCACGGACTCAAGCATTTATGGTTACCTTCAAATATACCCCTGGGAAGGCAGGATGATTGCGGACTGCATTGGCGTAAACCGTTATGTATATTCGTTGCAGAAAATGTTGATGATTCGGATGTCGAGCATGCTTTGCCTTTGAAGTACTGAGTTCTCAAAACAATGGAGCGTTGGTTGTCATTCATTCACTCAAGATATCTCATACAATCAGAACACTTGAAAGGCGCCTACCATGACCAGAAACAGATAGTACCGACCCCTAATTCATCCCCCTAATAAAAACCTCCCTCATCCCCCTCAAAAATGCTCCCAAATCTCTGCTCTCATTCAATCGCTCGACACAAGTCTCCACCTCCCACTCCTCAACTTTCGGCCGGCACCCTATTACCCTGTATTCCCTCCTCTCCGTATCAAGCTCAAACCAGGCTTCCTTCTCCCAGTCCCGTTCATCTAGGTTGCTGAATACAAACTTGAGCCTATCCACCTGCCCGGCTCCCTCGATACTCAGTCCCAGGTACGTCTCCCAGAAATCCAGTTCAGGAGCATTAAGTCGGGATTGGGCATCTATTTCTTTCGCATAGGCTTGTTGGGCAGAGCGCCGGGCGGCGATCTGCTTCTTGTACGAGGCTATTTCGGACTTCAAACGGTCCCGGTGTTGGGCGTGTGAATCGCGTTGTTGGATTATGGCTGCAATGGCCGATTGCATCTCTGCTGTTTCCACTTCCTGGGCCGAGAGAGCGGCAGCGTGGTGTGACGATTTCTGGGCCAGGATTTCGATGTCCTTGTGCTTCATGCGCTGGTCCTCTGCGTACTGTATCAGCGATTCCGCCCCTCCGGTAGAGAAAAGCGGTTTGATTTACCTTGTAGCTCGGCAACATTAATGCAAAATTGGTTTCGCTCCTCCAGGACCTGTCTGCGTCCTCTGGCAATGAACTCGTCGAATCGATCTGTGAAGCGTGCCATACGCTCGCGCAAGTCGTCGAAGCCGAAGGTGATGGCGGGCAGGCTGTCGGCCATTGATGGCGCGTCTGCAGTGGAGAGTGGGGCGCGCATAGCGCTGGTGGAGAGAGATGGTTCGAAGAGAGTAGACATTGTTATGCGGCGTAATGAGTAGAGGATGTTGCGGAGGCTTTTGATGCTGTCGATCGAAAGGCGAAGATTATTCAACTGATTGTTTACCTTTCGCTAGTGCATAGCAACGCCCGCTATACCGCTTTGAGCTGACATCAGATTTCTATGCGCTGGTTGGCGCTTGCCAAACTTTGGTAACCATTCACTTTCAAGTTTCAATTAACAACCTGTTGAGAAGCGAGATCAGACCCTTTCCATATTTCTTACTACGAAAGTCAAGGTCGTTATGATCAACGTTCTTACTGTTAGGATTCACAGCTGGATCAAGGCTCGACGAAAACCCGGATGAGTGAGGCCCGCCCTCTTGACCTTAATTATGGTCATTTCGGCGAGCCTAGCTATGACTCCGAAAATCATGAATGGCACTTTCCTCGGCAGCCAGGCAGAACCCGAGAACTGAAGCTGATCGGACAACCAGTGAGAGCACTGCAGTCTCCCTTGCTTGGCCGTACCGCGCACATCCAGAGCGCTACCGAGCGCGCTCAAAACATCAAAGATATCACGCACCAATACCCCGAGCTGCTACCTGCCTCATCTCTACTGCCTGCATTGGCGCAAGTATCAGAGGTTGTCGAAGACGTCACATCTAGCCATGATCCAACTGTGTCAGAGCTGCTGGCATTCGGAGAAGCAGTCGACTTAGACAACATAGGCCATAGGTCTGAAAAAGTGCCCATTGCTGCTGTCGCGGGAGGTGATGCGGGGGAAGCGGTGAGACTTGTACTGCTGAATCACGAGAAGCTGGGTTGGGAAGGAAGTAAAAACCTACGATTGAGTGCGTTCAGCGCCAAGGGCGGAGAAGAAGGATGGTGGTCTGGCAATGGTAGCCCTATACAACAATTGGTCTTTGGGGAAGCTGAGGGTCGACCGAGTTCTTGGCTCGCTGTTCGATGCCATGGTGCTGTGTCGGTGCTTCGACCTCAGTTACGGCGAACTGCTGATATGCTGCCGTTTGCCCACGCAGCCTCAAACCACAATCCTTCATCTCGTCTGAATGTCAATCATATTGTCACTTTACCGATCCACCAGGTTAATGACGCGCCATATTCTGATATTGCTTTCAATCCGTGGTACAACCAACAAATCGCAACCGTCGATCAAAAGGGTGGTTGGGCTCTCTGGGATATTGAGAAAAAGGAGAAGCAAGCCAGGGGAAAAAAGTCTTGGACAGTCCAAAAGATCCGGGACGGCGGGTTGCTCGGTGGCTTGCCTGAAGGGGAGACCCTTACGTCCAGCGTCGCAGACGGATGGGGTACAGTGCTATGGGCTGGTGACCTTTCTACAATCGTCGTCGCCCGTCGAAGGATGCTTGCGGTCTATGGTATTGCAGGCAAGCCGAGACGACTCGTTGCACCGAGCCTCGTATCGACGACGACCTCGGAGTGGATTCTCGATGTGAAGCGGAGTTCAAAAGACTCGACTCATGTCTTCGTGATAACTACATTCAGCATCTTCTGGCTGCAAATTGCTGGCTCTGCTGGGAACCGCAAAGGTGAAGAGGTGGCAGCGGGTGCGAAGTGCTTACTCTCCTGGCGTCATTTCAGAGACCCCGAAGACATCTCTCTGCGCTTGCGGGTTGCTGAAGACTCCGAGAGTGGGGACCGTGATGACGACAGAGAAAGTAGGTCATTCTGCATGTGCTCGTACATTTGCATTTGCTTATCATGCTCCAGCAACCCTCGTTCTACTCTACTCTCGCTTGACTGGTCTGGCAAACGCCTTTACATTTCGGTATGCAAGGTCTCTCTCGAATTTAGCACCCTCCGCTTCAGATCCCTACCTCCTCCCGCTACCTAAAGATGGGCCGGATATCATGGCCTCAAGGGCAAACCATCATGGCTCGCACAGAAGCTCTAGGATCTCAGCAATAATTCTCAAGGCTATCAAATACGAGAGTCCCAAGGGCTCTATGGTATCTGGGCTGGGGCAAACCTACTTGGAAAACGATGTAGCGTTCTACCAGCTCAGCTTACTCACTAACGACCTGGCCTTATCGGAGTGTCTGTACGCGGAGGTGCAGACCGATTTCAAAGCAGAATTATACCCGCCAAAAAAAATCAGCCGCTCAGAAATTGCAAGAACTCCAGCAAAAGTTTTCAGCGACTTCTTTGTCCCCAATGGATTTGTGGATGGAGATTATGAAGACTCGCCACACAATGGTACTGCTGAGAAAGATTCAGACGTTGAGAGTCGGGCAAACCTTGCAATATCCAAAGAGGATCCTTGTACCTTAAACTTTGAGTGGCTGGAGAACGAGATCCATAGCACATTGACCGAAGCACCTCCCGCCGCGGCCTTCCACGAAGTTCTAGATCTCCTTCGAAATGAGGTAGAGGACAAGGCTGCGTTAGGAGTTCCGACTATGGAGACGCTGTATGTAAAACTTTATGATCCAAGGAAGGCTTTCCGTACTCATGCTATCTTTATAGGCTTCGCATAGTGAATGCGAGCGTTTCAGTACTCGATTTAGACAAGGCGTCCGGTGACTTCATCGACTTCTTGGACGACATCAAACAGTTGACTTCTGAATATGAGAGTGGCAAGAACACGGACGAAGAAAGACAATTGATGGTCTCGACTATATTGACACTTACGTTGCGGGCAGGTCTGGGTATTCGGAATACCGCTGAGCTGTCTTCGATCTACGAAACCCTGATCCAAACCTGGATAGTGCCGTTGTCACGTCGAATACCTGGCCGGGTACGAATTGCGTTGGAGAAGTTATTGAGAGACATGGCAGGCAACATCTGTCTTGCCAGCTATGCAATGCATATCGGCTCGGGGACGAGAAGCAAAGATGACGAGGATCAAACCCAAAGCTTGGAGGCTGGCGCACGGTTTGTGCTCCCCGTTAGGAGGCGAACATCAGCAACCAGCTTGGGCAAGGGCAAAGAACGCTCAGATGCAGTGCCTTCACCGCCATCAGCATCATCACAGATGTCCGAGGACGCTGGTTTCATGCCTTTATCTGCATTCGCGGCTCTACCAACACCTGAGCCGACGCCATCGCTACGGTCTCGAAGCTCTGTATCCTCTCTCGCAGGTTCGGAAGACCCAGCGAGCCAGCGACTACGGGTGTACGCAAGTTTGACACCCCAGCCAGCTCTGCCCGAAAAGTTGGCAAATCTTCTTGGCCACTGGCAAGTCGGTGGTGATCCAGCCAAGTACGACTGGGAAGCAGCTCAGCAAGCCACTGTGACGGAAGACGAGAGCGAATATGATTCGCAAGGAAGGCAGCGTCGACGAGCAGAAAAGCGACCTAAGAGGCAAAGAGAGAATACCGTTGGACCAACATCCCAACCAACACCAAAACGACTTGGAGGCAGTCAACCTCAGCAAGGCCAGGATACTCAAGATATGCAGGGCAGTAGCCAGCAGACAGAGAGAGTGGTCACCATGAGCCAGGTCGAGTCTGGGAAGTTCGGTGGTCGTCCTGCTAAGAATAGGAAAATGAAGGTCAAAGCTAGACCTGCAGGCTTCAAGTGAATGGTTTGAGAGAGCCTGCGCTGGTCTTGAATGCACTTGTGCACGCTGCGGTTGCATGTGATTAGTTAGGGGTTGCCCGACTTTTGCACATCGCTCTTGCGCATATGAAAGCAAACACTTATTTTACTTCATTTCATCAATCTTCGCACAAAGTCTTTTTGCGCATGCTGCCATTGCTCGTTCTTATGGGCACTTCTTTTTCGCCTGATCCTGTTGTCGAAATCTCTGGCCATGGGATGACGGCACAGCCTCTGCTAGGTTGCTACAAATTGAGCAAGTTTTAACCACCACAGCGGGTCAAAGTCTCTCTACTAAACACACAAGCTAAAACTCATCCATGTGATAGAGGAACACATAAACTCCAATATCCTACAACACGCGATATACTCTTCATCACTTCTTCTTATTTTGTACTTTCTACCGCTTATCTCTGCTTCAAATAACATCCACATGGATTACTTCTCGCTCCCCATAGGCCCCTACAAACACCAACCAGCCACCCACATCCTCGCCCGAACGCCCAAACCCACCTACGTCGACATCGACCTGCCACTTCTCGAAAGATGTCCTCGTCTCCCGACTCCAGCCTCCACTCCACTACCAACCCTGACGCCAACGTCCACACTAAACACGCCTCCGCCTTTCTTCCGCCTAACTCTTCCCTCCCGACCATCAGCGGCGACATCTCAGGCTACGGCGCCGTGCACAGATACCCAAGTGACAACGACATGCGTCCCCGAAACGCCCCCACCGCAGCAGAGGCCACCGCCATCACGGCGCTCCAAATCGCTGAAGAGCGCCATGCACGCGAAGTTCAAGCGCTTAAAGAAGAACATACCCAGGATCTGGAAGCGCTAAGAGAAGAAACGAAGCACGTCCACGACATTGAAACTATCGAAGTGAAAATGGCGCTGTACGCGGAGCACAAGAGGGACCTGTCGGAGTTGAAGGAGGAGAGGGAACGGGCCTGCGAGCATTCCAAAGCTTTCTTCCTCGCCACGCGGGCGCGGGAGAAGTCGCCCGCTCGCTTCCCGACCCCGTCGCCGGTCGCTGCTGCTCCAAGGGAGCTTCATCCCACCTGCGCGGCCGCTCCGGTGGAGGCGACTTCTGTTCCCAGTGGTCCCGCTTCGACATCCACAGCCAGCTCAACGGCCACAACTTCGCCCGAGATACCGACCAGCTCGACCACCACCACCACCACCACCACGGCGCCGACCTCCCCCCCGATGCCACCCTCTCCCGACGCCCGTCGCGGCTCGGCTGTTGCCGCAGCACCCCACGTCCACTTTTTGACTACGGGCATCACGCCCACAGAGGCGAAGGAGGCAACGGGTGAGGGTGGAAGGAGGGAGGGGGATCAGGGAGGTGCTGTGAAGGTTGTGGTTGGGGCGGGAGAAGGAGATGACGGTGGGAAGAGGGAGAGGGAGGAGTGGGTACCGCCGCTGTAGTTGAGAAGTATTTTCTACCGTGCCGATTGGAGTGGGGGGATTAAAGGGTGGGGAAAATCTTACGGGTTCTGCGTGAGGAGATTTGCATCGGTTGGGCAAGACTGCCAGCTGGTAAGAGGATGCTCACTCTGGTAAGAGTTCAGCGGACTTTGATGTTTGAAATTATTGGAGAACGGGCTTTGGATGGACGTGTGATGTTCCTATGCAAGCACTAAATATTACACGAAGGCCGCCTTAAATCTAGCATCCTACCCTTGCTTGGATCATGGTATCCCCAACATGCACCCTTTGAATGCACCATTGCGCCTCGAATATTTCTCGTGTTCCTTTTCTGTTTTCGAAAATCTGAATCCTCTGCTCCACTGTTTTGACGTTAATGCGTCTAAGGGACACTTGAAGGTCCATGGGAATTGCTATGCCCCATGCTCCAGGAAGCATCAAAGCTCGTAAAGTCCCCAGCCGTCCAGACCGTCTCCGAGATCAATCGAATAATGAGTGGGTGCGGATGGCCAGCCATGGTCGATCCCGCCTTTTGCATACTCGTTTCTCAGCTCCTTAGCTAGTCATAGCTCATCGTCCTGATCAATCTCCGAAGGCTTGATCAGACCTCCGACTTGCTTTGCACGTTCACGCTCGGCGTCCTTTACGGCCTGCTGGGCCTGTTCTCGATCTTCGGCGTAGAGCTCGGCATTGTCGTCGGAGAACTCTTTCAACTGAATCAAGAAGTCTCGGATATGGAGCTTGAACCTGGAAATGTCGCCGCTCATGGTGAAGAGACCGTCAATAAATTGTCGGATTTGTACACTAGAAATAGTTAGTTGGTGATCATGGAAGAGTGTATTGAGAATTGACTTACACTTGGAGATTCGGGAATGCGCTTTGTAGCAGATGACCGATGAAGTCCAGGAGAAATTGTCGGTTTGATGTGCCAGCAGGCGATTGCTCTGGGGTATAGACCGGTTCTGTAATCTTTCCGGTTTCCACAAAATAGAACATCCGTGAGAGCAGAAGCGACTGCAGCTTGAAGCCTGACCCAGACGTTAGCATACTGAGGTAGCGTATGGAATTACTCGCCTTACCAGCTTTGTGATCCGAGTCGGTCAATACGAAGAAGACATCTTGCAAGATAGTGATATAAAATTGTTGGAAGAACATGCTCGATGTCTGTGGATCGGTGTGCTCCGCCATGTTGTCCATCAATTCGATGCACATACTTAAGCCCGTATTCTCCACCTCCCGGTTGTCGTGCTTGCTAGCCCACATGCATGAGTCGATGACGAATTTGAATTGCCGTCCATCGAGCTTCAAGAGGGCAGGGAAGCAGAACAGGTTGATTGCTTTTAGCAGCTTAAAGAACTCCACTCGGTGCTGAGGATACTCGGAGAAGTCCTTGTTGATCATTTCGAGAGTGCACTCAAAGACATTTTCCATGATAGTCGGTACTTTGTCGGACATGAGTCCCTATTGCCTGTCAGCACTGTGCGTAAAGCGTCACGAAGAACGGCTCTAACCGAATACTTCGATGTATAGACGGTCCAACGTACGTTTAGTTTGCTAATGATTGTGGTCATCACGTCCAAGACTTCAGCATCTCGAGCATCAGGGACATTCCTATTGTAATCGACCAATACTGCATCGAGCAACGGGGGAACCATGTTAGCATTGACCGCCTCGAGATCATCAGCTTTCTCAACATATATCTGGATAAGCTTCAAGATCTCCTTTTTGATGGTTCGAAGGCCACGGACTTTGGGCATCTTCGTTGCAATGATACCTTCGAAGCATTAGCAGGTTTATCAGCACAGCTTTAACAAAGATCATGGCTTACCATCTCGGACTACACTGTCCGAGATCATCTGACTTGTAGCTCGATACATTGACAGCATATCGTTGTATATGCGTCCGATCTGTGGGTAGAAGTAACTGCCAATTGATGTACAAGCTGCCACGTTGGTCTTCATGATGTTGCCGACCACTTTGATGGTTTCACCATCCTGTAGGCACGTAGGGTCCTGGTTTGCCTGGGAGATGATTGTGTCCCAAGCCTGGTTCGGCAATGACATGAGCTCCGCAATCAGTCTCTCCTGCACACTCTTCTGGCCTTGGGCGCTGATCATGTGCCCGCAAGCTTCGTAGAATGTATGTACTTGCTGGGGGCTCAAGTCCTGTGTAATCTTCCGCAGTGTCCGAACAATTTCGTCGATGAAAGGCTCGCTCTCCCCAGCTTGTAGAGCGACGAAGTGACGCTTGCATTTGCTGGCGATTTTGATGAAGGTATCGCACGCCATATCCTGGACACCTTCGTGAGTCTCGTGCATGAACTCGAACAATTTGTTGACCACTGTCTTTAAGAATTTCCAGTGGGCTTTCAAAAACCGTGGATATTGGCCCACGATATACATGATGTTGCTGGCAACCACTGCTTTGTTATCCTTGCCTCGCTTCATCTCTGTCAAGCCTAGAAGGTCTTTGATGACGGTCACAAGAAATCGCTTCTCCGTCTCCTCGTTCATGGCCCCAGATATTGATCCGATGGCCCAGCAGAGAGTATTGCAGTTGGCCCATGACCATTCGCTGCCGTCCACTTGTCTGGCTAGCTTGTCGGACATGATATTCTCCGTATCGACGACATCCAGATGAGTAAGGTAGACGAGGCACTCTCGGCTCGTCTTGTATAGCTGGATCGTATCACTCTCCTTTACGAACTCGCGGACGATCTCGCCTTCATCGTTCTCGACAATCAAGACTTCTTCAGGCCGAACCATCTTCTCGATCATGACTTGTCGTAGATGTGAAAGCACTTCCGAGTACTTGTGCTTGCGTAAGGGGTAGTTGGCTAGGACATTGGGGTGAGGTGCGCCGCCATTGGCAAGGCCGCTTGAATTCATGCTAATGAGGGGATTGATGTCCGTGATAGGTAGTTGTTGCATCTCTTCGTAAAGCTCTTGCACCAGCTTCGTCCAGTATTCCAGGCATATCTTGAAGATTTCTCGATCATCTATTTGGGATATCCGTATGAGGTAGAAATGTGCATGATTAAGGAAATCCCTTGTAGGTAGATTCTCGATGAGCTAGGAGATTTTAGCATAGAAATCGAGAAGACGGGGCGCACTCACGTTGAGGTGGACGGAGAAGAAATTGCATAAAAATAATGCTAGATTTTGAACGAATTCTTGGTCTCGAGAGGCACTCTTCTCGTAGGACTCCTTTAGGCTGACGGACAACGGGATGATCTTCGATACGGTCGTCATGACCTCCGTGAACATCTGTACAAGCTTCTCGTCGTATGAGTATGATGACCCTATCTGGAGGCCTCCAATCTCTGTCAAGCACTTGAGGGATATGTTGCGGAACTCGGGCGCCTCCAAGAATCTGCTCCGCAATGTGTCAATAATTGGCGTCTCGAAGATGAATCCGAGCGGGATCCAATTCAAGAAACGTAGCAGAGTCTCCAGTGTGGCATTTATCAGGCTTGTTTGATTTGCAGTGCTCAAGACCTCCGAGCATAGCTGAAAGATGTTCGAGAACTCCGCGCACATGGTGCTCTTCAGATTCTTCGTCTTCGCCGCGGTCATCTGGTCGGCCGAATAGTCAAACACCTCTTCTGAAAGTAAGCGCAGAATAGCCATATTGTTCTCGCAAATCGATAGGTTGGTGTGACAGGAGGAAATGATCTCGTTGATGAAGGTGGGCCAGTTGTGTGGCCATTCTTGCTTGAGAATGGAGACGAGTACTAGGTTGAGCTTATTGACGAAGGTTCGCTCGGTCTTCAAGCTCTCTTCATTGCTTGAGCTCTGGATGATAAAGTTGACCACAAAATTCCGTATGCCTACAAGGTCAAGTCAGTGACGGCAGACCTTCTAGAAGCTGCGGGGTATCCAACCTAGACACTGTTCCCTAGGTAAGACTTTCCATTTTGTCATGATGACATTGTCGAGGACCTGTAAACCAATATCTGAAGCAGGTTAGCATGGCCCCACTACGTTGGACTTTCTGGCTTGCTAACACTTGGTTTGGGGGTATGATGCCTCCTGCAGTATCTTGTCCACTAATAGCCAAGCATCTGGGTTCTCTTTGAACTAGAAGAGGATGTTAGCGGCCATCCTGCTGGACAGTGAGAGAGGATTGAGTATTACCTGGTTGAGTGTGTTCTGCGCTTGCTTTTGCTGTATCACCAGTCAATTTCAGGACCGCAAGAGTGTGGTGGCAAGAGCTGTGCCCAATCATACCACTTCACCGCGACCTTCGTAGAATTGCTTGACCGTCTGGTCGAGCTCCTCCACGGAGAGAGACATAGTGATGCGGCTGCTCGAGATGAGCTGTTATCTCTGGAGCTTTTGCAGCTCACGAGCGGTTTCAGATGCAGTTGCGTTGTAGAGATTTTTATGATACTGGTATGCGACAGGACAGCAGTTTGTGCTGTGGGTTGAAGTGGCCGCGGGTGGGGCGCAGGAAGAGGTGTTATAGGTGGGGGGAGGCTTAGATCCAAAGGGTTCAACAGGTAGGATAGAAGGATGCAAGTGCAAAAGGGTCAGTCAGGTCCCATAGGTAAGGACTGAACTTGAGCTGTTTAGAGACGGGATCGTGAGAGCGGTGTTGCGAGACGTGGTAGGGTTGTGTGGACAGGACCGCGTCGAATCAGTGCTTTGAGGCTCTAAGACACCCGAGGGAGTGACGTCTAGCGTGGCTTGGCAGCAGTTTTTCTGTGCCCCCCTCCCCCTCTCCAAGTAGGCCAGTACGAGTACGGAGTATCTGCCATGGTCTTGGAATTACTGGAAATATTTCTGGGCTTCTGCTGTTCTACAGTCTACATTTCATATAGCTCTTGCACATAAAGGACAATCTTGTTGGTTCCCAGTCGGAGCTTGCTACAATATACATAATGGTACAGCTTCCATACACATGAGGTTTCTCATATCTCTACGCCCAGGCATGCAGCCATCCTGTCAGAATCAATCTACCAATAAACCCCCGCGTCCCCCTCCAGAGCTCAGAGCTCA